CCTCTCGGCTAACTCCTCTCCAGAAAGACTATTTCAGATAGTAAGGCTAGAGCTCATTGCTTCTGGGTCTTATACTAATCATCTAATCTAGCCGTTCTGACACCAACGGACGTTTGGGGCGCATATGTCATACCCTAGGCGACACAGCCGTTCGAGTTGTGGAAGATCTGGACCATTTCGACTCTGGTGGTCAGTTGGTCGAGAAAAGGCCGAAGAGAGATGGCTCACCTATCACTGTAAGTTGTCCGTCTGTGGTACAACAAGCCTTTCGCTGACTGAGTTTCAAGGAGGAAGATCCAAAGTTCAAACAGTCCCCGCTCCTCAGGATTGCTGCAGACGCGCTCATGCAAGTCTCAATTACTTTCAAGGATCCCAGAGTGTCTAAGACTCATGGAGAGGTAAAACGTTGAATATCTTTGTTCCATCTTGTTACTAACCTGTATCAGGACGAATACATCATGGTACGGCTGTTCAAACACGCTGCGCGAGTCGTCAGGATACTCCAAGGCATTGTTGAGGGTCTTTACTACAACTCCCAGAACGCCAACACCATCAAGTGGCTTGAGATGCCGTTTATGATGAGCGGCCCTCTCATCAGTAGACTAACCCTCCGCCGCGAGGATCCAATGACGTAAAGCGCCCCCTATACACATCATGAAGAGGATACTAACAGTCTTAGCATTATGCGACATCTGAGAAACATTGGCCTTTCGGTGGTGAATGAGCCGTTAGAACGTCAAACGTATAACTTTCTCGACAGACTCATGCATCACGGCTTCTTCAACACACATTCTGTCGACATTCGCAATGCTGTCTTGTCAGTTCAGGATGTTACGCATAGCGAAAGACTAGTCGACGAAATCTGTGGGGAGCATGGTATCATTGATAGGAGACTTCAGCCTTATTGGGGGTATATTCGGGAGATGACTGCTGGGGAGTCGCAGGCACCTCTGATGATTGAGTCCGCCAGGGGTAACTAGGTGTTACCATAGTCTAGTAGTTAGCTATATGCTTGGGAGCTGGGCGTTTATGGAGATATTGGTGCGTTGAGAATTGCTTTTGTGCTGGGATAGGGGTGTTTTGATATGTCTTGGACATTCGCGGAGTATACGGCCGATGATTCACTGTGTTGCATAAATCAGATTGGAATAAGGGGCATAGCTTTTGCCTAGGGCATGTGCATTTTTCCACGGTTCATTTTTTACGTAGTTCTTATTTGTTTCTGCATTCGCGATGCTTCATTCTCTTATCCACCTCCCTCCCTCCTTAATTTCTCCTCCCAACAACACATGGGGATTCAGTAAATCAACAACAGCAGTCTTTCAATAACTTAAATAATTACAGGCTGATCCTGAGAGACAATCACCATCTTCTATCCACGTATTGGCTTTTTTTAAAAGTCTTGCGGCGTCGATATTGCATGCCTCACTTTTCATGGTAGGAGGAGATCCAGAGGTCTTCGGCTGACCATTACTGATGCCCTCTCCAGTCAAAAACCCCATCCACTCGCTTTCATCTTCGGCGCCACAACCAGGGTTTATCGGAGGCAGTTAGAGCCAAGCTCTTCGTTTACCTCGTGTTGGTCACTTGGTCATCAGTCATGACGACGATGAATTGTGACGAATTGGAACATTAAGAGCGTCATTGAACTTCAAGAGTTCTTCTCTAATATTTCGACCTACCAACACACCACTCGTCCTATATTAATCATTCTCACGTAAAAAAAACAGAAAAGGGTTTGTCATTATGGAAGCTTTCTATCATCTCGTGCTAACTTGTGTCAGTTCGCAGTGCTACCAGCCTCCACCAAACATCTGGAACCCAGTCTCCTTCCTCTGCCCGTACCCCTGCTCTTTAATACTAGGGCTACAACGTTGGAGACCATTATTACAAAGGACTATAACAACCGATAGCAACAACCGATTGTAACAATTCATTTCACCTTGAGACTCTCCTTCCAAAACTTGATCCACCACGATGGCAGGCAACACATCAGGGCCGCCAGCCCTAGAAGAAGCAAAGCCTCCCGTGAGACTCAAAGGCAAGGAACATGAGTATGGTGAGACTCTAGAGTTTGACGCTTTCCAGTCTCGGGGTGGGAATCCGGAAGATCTCTTGGACGAAGAACGATGGCTTGACTTTCCAACACATGTTCATTTCCCCTTAAAAAAGGGTAAGATGAAGGAATCCGATAGAGATACTTCTCTATCACCCACTGAAACATCTGGGATGAGAACTATCTGGAACCCAGAGCCAGTCTCTGGTCTTGGAGATAACCGCATTTCGAAAGTAGACACTGGTCGAAAGGTGACTGAGAGACATCTGGCAGTTAAGTTAGCTGCCAGAGCTTGCAATAGTGGCAGAACCCTCAGCTACGAGACACAGGAGTGGCTGGGTATCATAAGTGGTACGCAGCTCGCGACGGAAAAGACGGTCAGCTGCGTGTTTGTCGGGGTATCGGCACTTACCTGCCAAGCTATCTTTATGATGAAATCGAATACTCAACATTTACCCGACGGGTTTTGCGGCGTCTCAAGGCAGCAACGGATTGAAGACTTGTTGAATGTGGACACCACAGAGCTTATTGAATTGGCTTTTAAGCCAGAACTTTACATACACGGCCACGAAATCATATGGACTGAGAACATGCTGATCCCCGGCAATATCTCATACATCAAACGCGCACTCCATGATCACCTAGCTGATGATGAGAAAGCTCAATTTCTGCAGCGCATGAGGCGAGAACATCACCTCCTTATAGCTGGGAGCGCCCCAGCGGGTGTTGCCAAGACCCTACCGTCCAACGAAGAACCAGGCCGAAAGCCTTTGATTTGTCGTGCTATTCAAGGTGGCAAAGCTTACAACCATCTACATTTCATCCTGAAATGGCCTCCAATTGCCCTGCTGGAGTTTCCCAAAGCCATGGTCAAGGAAATACAACGCTTTCTCGACAAATATCCATCTGACAATGTGCCCTTGAACATTGCACTGGCCGCAACAATTATCTATTTCGATATTGAGGAAACATGCGATTACAAAATGGAGGGCTTTCTGGATTCTTTTCCTAGGAAGCCATCTCCTGTGCGAAAGGTTCCCCTAGCGACTTTTATCATATACTTTCCTCACATGCTAAGCTACGTTGAAAGACACCACTTGACGTCGTTCTTTCACCCATTTCGGTTCGCCAATCTTCATAAATCTCACAGTAGTCCTCTCGCAGTCACTACCGGTCGCGATTATCTCAACCCAGCCTTAATGCGCTCCTGGTATCACCAGATACGGTCTCGTCATCCGCAAATTCTCGCGGACTCGAGGTTCACTCTGATTCCTGCATCTATGCCAGGGTCGACTATGGTATTTCCCGAAGACTGTACTCATGCTCAGAGGCCATCACCTGACCTGTTCACGCTATGTTGTTTGAATGACGTGCGAACTCTGGGAATTCCCAGTTACTCATATGACCCAGAATCCTCTTTTCAGCGTGTAGGAGCACCCAAATGGCTCTTCACAAAAGCGGTTCGGCAATCTGATAGCAATTTCTTTCGACTCGGCGGTCATCCTACAATCGCCTATTGGAACACTGCCACTCCTGAGAAAATCAAAGCTCTTAACGGTCCGGCAAGGACAATTGGCCCTGTCTTCCCAGATATCGGGTCTGATTATTACAACACGGAGGCCATAACTTCTTGTCTGAAGCGGTGGTTCGGCGATGAGACTTATTACACTCAGAACTTCCAGTTTTGCCTCGATAATCCGGAGCTTGAACGAAAGAACATGGCAACCAGAGCAGACGAACTCATCAGGATTGCGGATCGCTTGGGCATTCCACCCACCCAAAGATGGACGAGTCATAAGACCATGTTGCTTGAGTGGGATGGTATGGAAGGACATCTGAAATCGCTTCGCGAAGAGGGAAAGCTAAAACGACTCGCTGCGCCGGAATATTCTATACCTCCAGCCAAGCGAGCAAAGACTGTCCAACCAACTTTGGGCTCGGACATCAAAGGGGAGATTCTTCAAACTATCAAAGGCCTTGAAGCTGCATCCTGCGACTGGGACAAACTGCTAAAAGATCTCCAAACTCCAGCCCCAACAATGAAAGCTATTCAAGAGTCATTCTCCCGTGTGCGTTTGTTCATATCCGAGTTGGAGAAGACACTACAGAATGAGAATGATGGCAATGGGGAAGGAGATCTGGACCATGTCATTCGACTGGTGTTTCGAGCCGAGGGACTTTTCGGGTCGGGAGTAGAAGCAATGGACTACGAGTCAAAATGGGGCCAACATCGCGACAGGCTTTCCCAGCTGTTTGGACAGCCAACTGGGAAGGCTATGGAAGCTGTTTTCAGACTTCGGAACACTCCTGACGCTTTTGATATCATTCTGCCCCAGATTCAGGTTTTGGGAGAATCTCCGTTGATCAGAGACCAAGTCGAGGCATTCAAGAAGGTCGAGGCACTACTAGGATCATTGCTAACTGTCACCAACGTTGATACAGCGTCAGGAAAAAATGGGGCACAGGAATGAACGATGGATCGTCTTCTAGGAGCTCAATATTGACTTTCAGGCGTAGTTACTTCAATAGTTTGGGATGGGGATGGCAACCGAAAAGGATTGAAAATTGCTGAGGAGGTTTGATGAGAGATGATGGACTGGAACATCGAACAGTTACGAGATAAAATGATAGCTCTATGAAGATTCATAACTTAATGAGGTCATCAAACAGAACCTTGACAAAATAGTCGTAATTTATCTTCAGCCTGGTGTTCCGGTGCTGCTAAATTGTATCAGGCATTGTAATAATCAGTAATACCGTAGAATTTTGGCTCTGCTACAACACAAAATAACAACCTTTATTAGACATCTGTAATAATCTTTAATTGTTTACTTGTATTGTGTAGTCTATTCTATATCTTCTCTATTTTAGCCTCATTAGCTCTTCCTCCTTTTTAGATGTATGCTCTATTGCATCTTGTGCAGTCCTGCTGACAAGTGCTTCTCTATCGTGACCCCATCTGACTCTCCTCATCTGAAGGACTGTCATGTCCATGATTATGCAAAACACCTTTGCCTTGAGGTTCTTCCTCGTCGTCAACGTCTGCAAGATACATCCACCAAAAGTACACACCGCAGCATAAGCTGCCTCCAAGGATATTTCCAAAGAGAGCTGGAATCATTCCTATGAACCTGTTAGTAAAGTTCCTCGAGATAATGAAGCTGTTATCTTACCCTTCCATATGTAAAGTCCAATGGTCAAGCCAGGAGTCCCCATCCAGATACCCAAAGGCATAAAGAACATATTGGCAACAACATGGTCGAAACCCAAAGCCACAAAGGCAAAGATAGGAATCCACATTCCAACCACCTTAGACGTCAAGTCTTTTGCTTGTACGCCGAGGAAACATGCTAGGCAAACAAGCCAGTTACAGCCAATAGCACGAAGAAAGATCTGGTGGGCCTCTGGGGTTATTTGCTTCTTTGTTGTGAAGGCGATGATTTCTTCTCGGTACGGATCTGAGTCAAAGATGCCTCCGTCTGTGAATGATATAATTAGATGGTGAAGAATAAGTGGTGTCGGACAGGGTTACTTACACCCAACGATGATGGCCATTACAAACAGGCAACCACCTAGATTACCGAAGAAACATAGGAACCAATGGAGTAGCATCCTCCATATCGATAATCTTCCATTAAGGACGGCAACAAAGGTGAACTAAGAATATCATTAGAAAAGGTGCTTCTTGAGTCTTGATACATGAGTCAACCCACCAGATTTGTTGATGTGAAAAGATCAGCTCCCGTCAATATCACAGTGACCAAGCCCAAAGGAAATACGATAGCTCCGATGAGTTTGATAAGTCCTGGTGCATTCTCTTGATACCATGGTGCCGTCAAGGCTGTTAATGAAACAGCACATCCAAAGGCAAGAATGCATCCACCAGAAATACCAGACAGCAACACCTTGTCTGGTCTCGATCTTCCCTTCTTCACACCAGCTCGACAGATAAGTTCCGCCGTCTCGGCAGGCGTATAAGCCAAAGGGCTCGCAAGATCGATAGTCATCTTGACCATTTCAAAAACACTCAAATATCCATGCTCACTTAAAGAACCTTCCATTGCCTCACTGGGGACTCTCCCCGTTCTTATCCTCCCCTGCAGTGAAAAATTCCCATCTTGGTCTCGGCATTCTTCAGACTCTAAACCGCCCGTTCCCACCATGCCGAGCAATGTCGAGAAAACTCCGTACGTAATCCACTGTACTAGCTTCCAGAGCCAAGAGTCTAGACCGGTTCAAGAAGCATCCTTATCTTTGGGATGTTTCCCGATGCGGATTTGGTGGCTTGCGGTGCAAAGTCGGGATACGACACACCTGCAGATGAGGCTCAACGGCATCTCGTTTAGTATTCTTGACTCCTACCAGCCGTAAAGATTCGAAGAGTTCAAAATACGAATGGTACAGAGAAATTGGGCATTTGGGGATGAATTAAGCTTGTTTCCCCATTTCGGTAATGCATCCCGCGCTTTCTCCACCGCCGATCAAGGCAGAGGTAATTTATGCTTAATAGCTCATAGATAAGAAACCCGTGGAGTCGTAACTTGTTTTGTTAGTCTTGGCCCGGTCGAGTGGATAAGCTTGTGATCAGCCGGAGATGTAATTTGAGAACTTGATTCATAGCGGAGCCTCATCGGAGACCTGTACGAATATTATGACGCTAATGCTGGTCCTCTTGGGCAGCTATCGCTTGGCACTAATGAATTCAAGTCGGGAGAACGGGAGTTGTGAGTCGGGCGATATCGGCATTCGAACCGGTTTATGAATTGTTTATCATGACGCTTAAGCTAACAGAGATTTCAGATTGCAGATCTTGAATTGCGACATTTGAATCATCTTTTCCAAGCCCCCTTCCTATTGTGCAGTCATTTCAACATGAAGTCATCACACCAGAGCTACATCCTACGGTGATTACGGGAACTTCTCAACCCTTGTTCTTCCGTCCATCCGCAAATCCGCAATAATCTCATGATAAGCTTATTGATCTTGCGGGGTCCCCGCGGGGTCCTTCCATCCGCATCTTTCTTGATTCTGACCTTGTCTTGTGCGCGGGTGCGGCTTCTGCGGCATCATCAGTTGCGGGTTGCGGCGATTCTTCTCCGCAATAGAGGCAAATTCGTGATGTCTTCATATTATCATCTCATCAAAACACAAATCCTTGAGCATCTCATGATCCCAGCGATTTCTCATCCGTTCTTCCGGAACTGAATGGGACTGTTGACTCTTGGGTTGAAGTTGGGTCCTGTTCCGGGTCAAAGGCCCCACTGTAAAATGGAATCATTTTGATCAGGCATGTGAGTCAGGCATTGATTAATACTTCTATTCCAGTCGATGTGTCTTTTAAGAATATCCAAGAGGCTATAGTTGGTCGCTACTATCCAACTGATGGGTCCAATGTAAGCGTCACTTCGTTGGATTTCCTGACCCTGGGCTACATGTCGGCCCAGCCTCTGAATCTTAGTTAAATTATCCCTTTCACCGAGATCAACCTTTTTTCACTGGCTCAGAAGACCCAGACATCAGTCTGGCCGCAAAAGGAACGGGCCAAGCGAAGGTGTCTGTAGGGTCTTCGGTCACCTCCCCTGTCGTGACGATATCGATGACTGCAACAGCGGAATAACCTCCGATAGCGGTGAATACATGCCACCTGACGGATATTAGCTTGACTCATGCTCATGAAACCGCATGTAACTTACCATCCATGAAGTTCCAAGAGAAACGCAAAGGGCAAACCAACTGCGTGTCTCGCACTCGTCAGATACCGACAAGCAAACTCATCAATGAGCCAAACAATGTATCCAAAGCCAAAGAATCCTATCATATTCAGCCCCGTTCAATGGGCAGACGGTCTTCTGTGTTACGTACCAAGTCCGAGAACAGCCATGTTTTGAAATTTCTTTCTGATGATTGGGTCCTTAACTTGCTGAGGAATAATCTTCAGCACACGAGTAGCAATGACATAAATGCCCAGGCCAAACGTAGTGGCGTGCAAAAGGAACTCATCCATGACCATATGAGTGACCATGACAATCGTGAATAATATTGAAAGAACGGTCCCAACGATTCGAGTCTTTTGAGGACTGGCTTTGAAGCTAAGAAGACGGTAGATGAGGGGTGTAGTGAGAAGATGCATTGACAGTTCATCAGCTAGCAATTATTAGGCCTTCCTCTCATTGAAACAGAGATACACTTACACATTTGAGTATGATACTTCAAGGTCATGTGATATCCAGCTGAACATATCCCCACGCCTATTAGTCCACAGTACGAGGCCAAACGTGGCCCAGTCGGGAATTTAGGCGATGTCAACAAGCCATAGAGTCCATATGCCACTAGTAACAAGGTCAATTGCAGATCCCAGCCCATGGCAACATCACTTACCATATGTCGAACTGCTAAGAGTATTTATAAATTCAGCGATATACCGTGTAATAACATAATCCTAGAACGACACGTTAACTCAATTTCAGTCAAGGGAGACAATTGCGGTATTTACCTCTTCACAAAAGCTACAATAGTCAGTAAATCTTCTCAATCCGATTGACCCAAGAACTTACTTTAAATAAGAGGTCTGGGGACCCCAAAACGGTGCTGCCATGGCCAAACAATTCCGTGAATTGCGATGTTTGTTCTCCCAAGCGTCGAGGCATTGAATGGCTTTTGGAGACAATAAATAAGGCGGTGAAGTGTTGCAGAATAGACTCGAAGATGCCTCGGAACGAACGGGATGACGTGTGTATTAAAAAAAAGTCTATGGATCTGAAATGCCTGCGGGCTGCGATGTTTCACAATACGGGCTTTGAGTTATTTCCGGCGATAAGCAATACGAGTTTTCTTATTGGATATGAAGGAAAGCCACTTTAGTGTAACATGCGTGCACTTTGACGTGGCTTGGCATTCACATGGAATATCGAACTCCATCCTCTTGTTCAATGAAAGAGTTTATTGATGTTACAGCTTGATTAGTAATTATCGTGATGCTTGATCGTATCGCGATAGTGTCTCATTCCGTGTGGAGCTCATCCTTGCGACTTGCAGCCATTCACAAGTCGTCTGACTCAGCCCTAAGCCATACTACTCTCGAGAGAATATCATTTATCATGAGCAGCCGCCTCCACCCTCAATCTTATCTGATATTTTATCTCACATCTTTGCCCTGTTAATCTTTTAAAGTGCCTAATCAAACATAAATACTGCAAAAATGTCTATCGCGTTGCTCAAAAAGTACCTGCCGATATCTCTGGCACTACTCCTCTTCTACGGCTGCGCCTCACGATTTAGCCACGGCGCAACGTCGACCGCATCCTTCTATCAGTATCAAAATGACCGAAGTCCTGATGATGGATCAACTCTGTCCCGCGTTATCCCTGTTTTCGACTTTATCGTTGGAACTGCCATTCTGCAGCAAGGACTGTCACGCAAAGTTGCAACATGCTTTGTAGCGTCAACTATCAGCAGTGTAGCTGTTCAGCGTTACTTGGCCGGTTTGGACTGTCAGGGAGACTTTCTGCAGGGGATTTGGGCAACTTCTGCAGCGATTGCGACTCTGATATGAAATTTGTGCCATATCAGCTCTCTGGGGCTCTTCGTCCATTTGAGATCAAGTCACATCGGTTATGAGAGTTGAAAAAAGGCTTTATTAACACTAAGAAGGCCGGAGTAGTTTTGAAGTACACATAATACATGAGATTGTAAAACATAGAAACTGAAGCTCTAGCTGTAATTGTCCACCAGGTGAATCGTTAAGATTTGCAAAGCGGAAATCACCCTTACCTCTCGCCAGCAGGCCAGCATGAACTTGAAGGCATCCCCTACGAGTTGACAGACTGCAACGTGACTAATATTCTCTCTTGTATTTCGGACCATTCTACTCGAAGGGCGTGATATGGATGGTAGCATCGGCTTAAGCCTGTAGATCTTGTGTTTGACAGGAAGGGCGCAGATCGTAACCGAGCTACCGAGGTCGACGTTAGCTCATTACCCAGTTTGGAATAGCTTATATTGTCTTCACTCACGGACTATGTAAGAGAACCATTGTCTTTCAACAACTGTCAGCTGTGTTAATATTATATTTCACACTTTTGGCGGGTTTTCAAAAGGACATTCTTATCCCTAGAGTACCTTAATGTGGTTTAGGCTCATACCGCGTTCCTCCTTTCGGGCGGCGTACGTCAGCCGGCATATCGTACGAACAAGCCAAGCCAGACATCTATCAACGCCATCGAATTATCGGCTTGTTGAGCATACCATTGATTGCAGCCATTCAAGAGAATATCTCGCTGAGACGGCCAATGGCGATGAAGACATACCAAAGCTTGCTGTGAAGCAATACGTCCCCCACGACAACCCCAATCCTCAACCTGGTGATGTAACCATTATTGGTGCTCATGCAAATGGTTTTCCAAAGGTAGCGAAGCTGAATACTTTAAGGCGCAAACTATAGCTGACTTTTCAGGAACTGTATGAGCCGCTATGGGATGAACTGTATGACCGAGCAAGACAACAAGATCTCAGGATACGATCGATATGGATTGCAGATGTATGGAATCAAGGACAATCAGGAGTTATTAACGAGAGAGTGCTCGGCAATGATCGTGAGTACAATCCCTATCGTATACCGTTACCATTACTCACATATCACAGTCAGTTGGTTTGACCACGCAAGAGATCTAATGAATCTCATCAACCAGCATCAACGAGACATCCCTCATCCCATCGTTGGTATTGGTCATAGTATGGGTGGAACTCAGCTGTGAGTAACCATCACAGACACTGGTACACTTGAAGAATTCTCTAACTGAAGAAAGGGCGCAATTAGCACTCTGGCACCCGCGGCTCCTGGACTCATTAGTACTTATTGACCCGATCATCCAAATACCAAACCCAAGCATTTCTCTAGCCGGTCTTTCTACAAAGAGGCGGGATGTCTGGCCATCAAGAGGCGATGCTACTACAAGATTCAAGAAGAGCAAATTCTTCCAGTCTTGGGATCCTCGTGTTCTTGACCTTTGGATTGAGCATGGACTTCGAGATATCCCAACCGAGCTTCATTCAAAAGAAGAGGGTTCAACTTCAGATCAGCGAGTTACTCTCACGATTTCGAAGCACCAAGAGCTCTTCAGTTTCGTCAGACCCTCATACCTAGCAAGAGACTGGGAGTCATTCAACGACCAAGATACAGAACAGAATAAAGACTGCCCTGACTACCCATTCCACCGCCCGGAACCACCAAAGATATTTCGCCACTTACCCGAGCTTCGACCAAGTACGTTATTCGTCTTCGGAAAACAGTCAGAGTTCTCGTCACCGGAACGACGACAGGAGAAAATGCTGACAACAGGCACCGGACTTGGGGGCAGTGGAGGCGCAGCTGCTGGTAGAGTTCAAGGGGAGACTCTTGACTGTGGCCATTTGATACCGATGGAGAAGGTTTCTGAGTGCGCAGATGTCATCTCTTCATTCGTCGGGAAAGAGATGAGACGATGGCGTGATCAACAAGAATCTTTCAAGAAGTCCCGTGAAAACATGTCGAGACGACAACAAATCACGATCGATGGGAAGTGGGAGGAGAAGGTTAAGCTCGGAGATGAATACTTAAAGAAGTCATAGAGGCCCCCCGTGTCAAACCAACCTTGGTCAGCTGGGCTAGTAATACTATCTAATTCATAGATAAAAAAGACAATAGATTTGGTTTGTGATGACAAAAGGATTAGAAGGCAAAAATTATATCTTGATGAGACTGGGACTCGAACCCAGGAGGATTGCTCCACCAGGAAATTGGTGTTAAGGTTAACCTTAACCTGGCGCCATAACCAACTCGGCCATCTCACCGGTAATTGGATGAAAATGAAATAGCCAATTGAAATCTATACCTGCAAGCTGTCTAACTCATTCACGAACTCAGATTGTTCACGCCAACTGAGCATTTGCCACGTCACGTTTAGTAACAGAGTGAAGGGGAATATGATTTTGTCTCTGATGCCCTCTGGGAGAAGTATGACGGGGGCTGTGCAGTCAAGGGGAGGGTTGTCCTATCAACTTATGCCTCATGAATTATCCTTTAGGCACCGACCAATCACGACTATAGTCTAAGAAAGTAACTTACTTGCTCCCCTCATAGCCAACCAATATGTTCTCTCAAGTTGATATTTCGATTTCTATGCTCCCTTTTGATATAAGCACGCTGTATGGGCAGAAATTGCCACGTACTAGTCCCATACGTAAAACAAGGCGAACTAACTCTGTTGCTTCTTCAGTCTTTATTATCATGCTCTTCCAAGTGACATTGTCTCATTGGCTCATTTCTTTATGCTCTGGCAGCCTCGACCGCAGCATGCAATGTCGAATAAGCTTTCCAAGGTGACCTATCGCAGTGATTCGTGACTTATCCGTTCTGATTTTAATTCGACACGCAGTGAACTGTTCACGAACTCAACCATTTTGCTACTGACAGTCCCCTCTGAGATACCATCAGGGCTCAGGGCATACCTGTATAAACTCAAATCCCCTTCGTGTATAAATTATTCGTCTTCGTGCCATTCCGCCCCTCGGAAACTTCTCCTTATCATCACACAGACTTTCCAAGCATACTGCAAGCAAAGACTCTTTTGACACTTCTCTTTTACTTTATCTATTTCTTTGCCATTCTACTCATCGCTCTCACGTTTTCACTACTCTTCATCACTTCACCAGACTTTACGGTTCTGTGTTTTACATCCTGTCACAATGTCTAACATACCTATTCCCAGCAACAACTCATCTGAGGTTGCAGAGGATGTTGATTTCAGCTCTCTTCTACCTACCAGACTGACATCATCTTCTCGACAAAACACAGGAACTTCTATCCCACCCTCTGTGTTCACGTCAGTATCTTCTGTCTACGAATCAGCCCACACATCTATTACACCATCTGACCAAGGAGACTCTAATGCTTTAGCTGGAGGCAACACCCTCTTTGGTATTTCTTTTGGATCTGCTCCTCCCAACACTCCAGCCGATAATAATGATGGCGTCTCTCTTTCCAACAAACCGCCATCCAAGTCTGGTTGGACTGGAGAATACTCTGATCCAGGTACCCCCGCCGCTAACATGTCTAAGCTTGGCTGGACAGGAGAGTACTCGACCTCTGGTGTCGAGCCTGAACATTTAATGGCAAGACTCAGCACTGTGGCCAACAAATCAGACGATGGTTCCCACAAAACTCAGAATGGAGCGGAGGGGAGATCTTCTGGAGAGAGCTCCAGAACTAAAGGGGGTGACAATGCTTTCACTGTCAGAGACATCTTCTCTGAGGATGAAAAGGTAGCCAGACTGGCACTTCAGGCCATCGGTCGTGTCACTCCCCGTTCGGTCATGGAGTCTCTAGACGTCAGGCAAGTCAAGTCTGGTGTAGTCACTGTCACCAAGTCGCCAGCCCAGCCTCAATCTGCTGTTCTGTGCAACATTGAGGATGAATCAGTTCCCAAGGCTGAAGAGGCTGTGTTGTCTTCTCCTACTGAGCTAAAATCCGCAAAAGCCTTCAAATTTGTCAAGGGAGAAAAGGCCAGTATCATGGGTCGCATTTCTTGCTGCATGCGTGCCATCAAGATGGGCCGCAGACCCAAGCCTGGGATACCAGTCAACAAACCCAAACACGCCACTCTCTCACCAGAAAAGTCTTGTCTCAAGCCAGCTACTTCTTTGGCTGGCACTGTTCTTGATGAGATCGAGGAAGATAGCCCTCTTCAACCTGTCCCAGCACCCAAGCCCTCAAAAGGCACAAGGGTTACTTTCGATCTAGACGAGACAGCCAAGAGTGAGAAGTCCAAGTCCAAGCGCAAGAGAAAGTCCAAGTCTAAAACCAACCTCAGTTTCAACATAGCGCCATACTTCTTTAGCAAAATGAGCAATCAGGAGATCCAAGACACTTCCGATGAGAATGAAGAACTTGATGATCCCAATTCACCATTTGCAGCACAAGACTTGGAAATACAACGCCGTCTTGCAAAAGCGGACTGTTACCGCGATGCAAATGAACGCACTTCTATTATTCGGGGCGCGCTGGACTTTCTCTTGGTTGTCTCTGATAGAGTCGACACTGTTGCTGCTGATCGCATCAGTTGTCTCTTGGACAGGACTGCGGATAGGGGTCTTGGGAGCTATACTGGTGAAGAGAAGGATCACGTGAATCCTCATCAGTATGGGAATAGGGTTGATCAGAGGCTGTACCGTTCTAAGGAGACGGCTATGTCTTATTTGAGAAGACGACAGCCTCGCACTTTTATTCGCCTTGGGACTCCTTGCATGAGGGACTGTCAGCAATTCTTTTATTAATGGATATTACTTCTTCTGGGTGATATGGGATGGTTTTTGTTTGGTCTGGCGTTGGAGTTCGATGGATGAATATTTAAAGGGGATGGGATGATTGATGATACATGACAGCGGCGCCTCATATGATGAAAGGTGATTGCAATAACATAGATACCCATGTCTTTCATAAAATGGCACGTTATACTTTTTTTCCCAAACTGCTGTGACACGTAAGGTTTCTCGGTGATATGTCTGCTCTCATCGCCCCTGAACATCGCAGTACGGGGCGTTCCAGTCATTTCAGATCATCTCTCCACCTAAAGAAAGATCAGGAGGCCTGGGATGCTGTATACTGGGAGGCTGTAACCAGGGATGGTACAAGGCCAAAGAGACAATGTGTCCTATATCCACCACGTTGCTCATATCTGGGGCATTATGGTAAGTCTAGCCAAGCTTGCAGCGTCGTTACAAGACAGTGTACTGATCTTCTTTAGCAAAGAGTCTGAAACGGTCTCGTGAGCCCCTTCCCTAGATGATAAACTTTCCGAGAACTGTATTTCATCAATTTGTTGATGAAATCGTAAATGATCTTCGACCAGATTGAGGTTTCAGTGTGGAGGGAACTGCTCTTTCAGGATTGCAGACGGCCACGGAGGATCACTTGCACTTCGTGTTTGCATGTAAAAGACCTTCCCACCAGCTTGGCAACATGACATTTGTGATAACCATTGTGCTAATCGCTCGCAGTCACTGTCCCTTTGTTCGAAATGAGGTATCTAGGGGACATTGATGCCCCAAAGCTCCGTTATGTCTCGTGTCACACAACTTCAAGGAGAGAGGTTTGTCAATAGCGTATGGACATTGGACCACAATCTGCGAAACGAAGAGCGAGACAAGGGGTCCAAAGCACTCGCGCGGGTAAAAGCAGCTTCACGAAAGCGAAAGGCTTCCTTCAAGAGCGATCAACCTCGAAAGAAGATTGCTGAAAACCAGTCTAAGGAACAGAACAAGTATGAGAACAAGGCCGAATATCAAGAGGTGCCTAGTGAGGATGACGATGAAGATTTGTTTACGTTTGGCTACAGCGACGATGATATGCCAGCCAAGCTGGAGCCCAAGAGCGAGGGCAGTGACGATGGAGAAGGAATAGACATCAAGGAAGAGGACTCTAAGGATGCGTACTAGGTTTCTCAGGAGGGAGATCGTTGATACAGAGGCAGCATTTGGGCAAACCGTCATGGAATAGTGCTTGGCGATCGAGCATGATGGCGATGACATGGGGGTTCTAAGCAGAAAGTACATGCCTATTTTGGTGCATATGGGGATATTTCTGGTCAAGATTCTTGAAATATTGTTCATGCCACAACAATATTTGCTTTAATCATACTAGATCTTGCTACTATCAAAGAGAAACTAACACAGCGAGAGACTATCGCTTCACTCCTTGACTCGTGACTCTTTCATTATGTCTACCGCAGCGTCAGCTTCATCACATTCAATCCAGTGACGTGACTTGACACATTTTGATCTCAAAGGGAAAACGAGAAGGATTTGAAGATAAGTAGATCTTTTGGTTGTTACAATGATTGTTACAGCGTGATGTAGCTCTATGATGTAGTCATGTTTAGTAGACGGGTGCTACGGGACTGCTTGTCTTACTTTGTAAAGATCTCCCATGTCATAAGTAAGGATAATTGGACTTATAGTCCTCAAGATCAGGTACTTGACTAAGCACAAACAGAAATGCTCGATATTCTCAATCAACCTTTTTCTTACTCTTCTCTTCATCTTGATTGAACTCTGTAGTCGGCGTCTACTTCCTCTCCTCCCTATCGTGGTCTATACTCCGAGAATGGTATGCCGACTTGTGGAATACATACCCTCACAGAAAGTTCTCTTGGTTGCTAGCGGTCTCAGGTTATTGCATCCACATACACATCCGTGTTCCGAGTTATAAGAAGAAGTAGTAGTCTGGCAGATTTTCGAAGTTTCATTTGACTTCCGACCACTCACTCCTCACGGATCATACAAGATGTTGTACTTCCTGGACAAATAAGGATGAAGATAGGATGTAGGTGGTCTTTAGTTACGCTCATGGAGTTCCACCACATCATTTTCTGTTGTTGGAACAAATCACATAGTCTCCAGCCAAGACATGGCCGGCTTTGTATCCATCCCGCAGTTTGACATACAAGTAGGTTGATAACGACATCACCGTCCACATGTATATTCCGTAGCTGAAAGAGATCCGGATGGACGAGGCCACCGCTTTCTTCCGAGTGGTTCATTGAACGTTGAGGCTTACCAATGACGCTATGCTGGGCACAGTTTTCGGAGGCCGAGCCATCCATCGTCACTTTGGTTGTCATTGCTCAACCAGTCGCCCTATCAAGGTTGGTTTCTGTCGACGGGACTCGGTGGACTTTTGACTTCGGTCCCGAGCTAGTTTTACGCCGCTGATGTGTAACCATGTAGAGATTCTACCTGAGTTGCCTCGTCCCACCAGGGTCTCGGACGAATCTCGTCTAGCCATTGCTTTTAGACAACATTGTCATATCCCTGACACAAGTACGTAAATACAAATCGAGGCGAATATCTATAAAAGCTCGGGCATCTCCCGTTCATTCTACCTTTCTGACTACCTCACCCACAACAGTATTTCAGATCTCAAACTGTAACTTACAAAGATGCGCTTCAACACTATCACTTTATCCATTCTCCTCGCTCAGAGCACATGCCTCGCTGCTCCCGTAGACGGCATTGCCTCGTCCCCAGGCTTCTCTCTCGCTCCGAGAAGCAAGCTCGAAACTCGTGATTCCTACGATTGCAATGGAAGTGGTCTTTGCGGTACGATCTCCGTTAAAAACTGCGATGACGCCGTCAACAACCGGCTGATTCGTAACAACGACGTCAACTATGGCGCACCTGGGTAAGTCGACTCTGATCTGACAACAGGAACTATGTAGAACTAACAGCCGCTATCAGGAGCGGGAGACCGCAGACAGGTACATGCCAAGGCGCCTGCGGTATCTTCATCCAGGGGAGATCTACCTGTGCTCGCACGGGTAATCAGATCTGGTATGACTACCAGGACATCAGACGCTCTGGCTGCCGAATCTGCGGCAGTAAGCATTGGGGAGACGGATGCTTGACGACCATCAACCGTGTCAGTGGCTGCAGTAACTGAAGCCTGACGGTTTAAATATACATCAGGATCGAATGAGATATCTCACTTGTGGCTGAGAGCTTATATCACCACAGAGAACTTAGAATGGGATATCTCATTCTTGAATACAGACCCCATAGTTGAGATGTCCGGCTTTGAGCCAGTGAATGTAATCCTTGTGCTGTGTCTACTGGTCTATGCCGAAGAACTACTTTTTCCCTCCTATCTAGTCACTGGTAGCCAGCTTTTGTCACCCTCACCGGTGACACATATTGTGAAAGTCGCTAGAGGTATTGATGAGACACATCAGGTAAAGGTACTCCTCTTCTCTTGATATTATAGAACTATGCAGTAAACATCTACGTCCTCTCCCTCCTCTTAACCATGATCTGCACACCACTCGGCGGGTTATTCGCCTCAGCAATCCAATAATTCGGCGGTCTCTTCCCCTCATACTCATCCGCAAACTTAATATCATAATTCCTCAAAGCATACGCCAAGATCATCTTCATCTCAAAGTCAATAAGGAAGCGTCCCGGGCACGCATGCTTCCCATGGCCAAAGGTCAAGAACTCAGGCGACGTGGTGACAAACGTAACAGGCGGTGCTTTTTCGTCGCGGTTAGCTGCTGTCTCGCGAACCCTCGAGAATCGGAATGGATCGTATTTTAGACCGTCTTCGTAGAGTTCGTTATCGGTTTGTGCAGGGTGACCCATGAAGGAGATGATTGATCCCTTGGGGACGCGGTGACCATCTTCAGTCTTGAAGTCATCAATCATGACTTTGCGAAACACAGCGCGGCCACCGAAGGAACATAGACGAATTGACTCTCTCGCGACACTATCGGCGCGCGTCATAGCTTGGATACCACCCTTTGTCCAATTCACAGAGTCATCAGTCCCAAGAATACGGTCCATCTCATCGCGCAGAGTAGCAATCGTATTGAACTCCGCATCAGAGCCCAACACGTTCAAGAACAAGTTAACAACTTGGATCTGCGTGTTGTGAATTGATCCAAAGTTCTGAGCGACGACGCGACGAGCTAATGACTCCATGTCGTTTACTTCGTGCTGGCGATGACGCAGAGCGTAGTTGATCATCATTTGAACTTGGTCTTGCGGTTGCGGTTCGTCGGGGTGGTTGTTTATCCTGTCGAAGCGGTGTTTGAGGAGGGGGATGATCCATTTCTTCATCTTGTTTACTTTTGTCTTGACGATTTGGCCGAAGAGTGTTCCGGTTATGGGCTGTAGGATACGGGGTAGACCGCCTGTGAGACCAGCGTTCATGATGAAGAGATCGTTAGTCTCGAGCGCAAGCTGCAGGTACTCTTTATTCCGACCTAACAAATCAGCAATGTCCCAAAACAATTGACGTGATGGTTGGCTTACAGAGTGGAAGTCCAACGGTGAAGCGACTAGCGGCCTGGGCAACGATCATCTTGACTGTCTTGGTAAGGTCAATCCTCTTCCAGTTCTCCGTATCAGTACCAAACTGCTCATCAAAAACCTCATGAAGTTCATCCTTCATGTTGTTCGCAATAATCTCAATCGCACGATTCAGATCATACTTGACGACAAGACCTTGCCACGCATCAACGACATATTTGTCGTGCCCAAGGGACCATCGAACTTGGTCGACTTCAGCGAACGCTTGCTCCATGTCGAGAACGTCTTCAGGTTGGTTAAGTACGCCTTTCATTTGACTCTGTGGCAAATACACCTCTATCCTGACGCCGAAGCCTGGGATGACGACGGGTTTGCCTTTCTTGAGATACTGTGCTGGGTTAGTGGTGGTCATTGAGAGGGGAGGGAGAGTGTACTTCGTGGTATGCTTCGTAGAAGAGTGCTTGACAGTCTGTAAGGTATGCCCATCGTGTACGAAGACTAAAGCGACGAGCGCCCTTTGGTTCTCTTATAAGCGGGATATCGGGTGGGTAAGGAACACCGATGAGCTTCTCAATCACATAAATCGCAATAACCACAATGACAACAACTGAGGCAATTCCCAACGGACTCGCCAAACTAGGCAGACGAGCCAACAGGCCCAACTCAGCGCTGGACGACATCTTGAGAGAAATGAAGAACGGTCTAGCTCCCAACATGCAGCGAGGGGCCTTCTGTATTTAATCCATCGTATGCCACTGGTGCAGAGTGACGGCTGTGCATAAGCGCCTAAGCGCGGCACGGAATTCCGTCATGAGGAGTCCGTTCCACGATCAAAGACTGAAGGAATGCGCTGAAGAGGCGCGGCCATGGATGAAGATCCTTGTAGGATTGTAGATAGGGGTTTTACTACGCGGTAGTGCTGACGGCTAACGCATAATGACAAGAACTTGGCGGTTAGGTCAAAGATCCAACAGTCCAGGGAGGGGATTATAAATTCAGACTGCATCGTCATAAAACTGGCTCAATTATCTAAGTTGAAACAATCTCCTCTAGAAACTATCGGATTGCGTATCATGTCTGCATGGTCATGTCCCGTTCCTTGTTCGAAGGTGGAAGACGCGATCTGGTAGTTTGAAAGGAACTTGTTCGGCATATCGACCCCGAGATCTATCGTAAGCACTTGCTCACGCCTGATTTGAGGGTGCCTGGATGCTTGAGCCAGTGAATGCCGCAAGCTGTGCCACACCGTTTTGTAAACGAGTACGGATATCGCTGCGTTTTACCCAAAACGTTTCGTTGTCTGTTGGTTGGAGGTTTGTACAAGACATATCACCCCAACAACAAAGTGAGACAACAGTTTGCCTGGTAACGTTAGAAGAGAGCCGGGCAATTAAAAAGATGCAAAAATAACAGAATCAAGTACAATAACATCAAACAAAGCACTTATACACAGACATACCAAACCCATAATCTCAGTTTCCATCTCCCAAGAGCCTCAATCCGCGATCCAGGGTAGATCCATCTCCACATGCCATAAGGCCAGGGTGTCCCTGAAAATCCACTGAAGTTATTAACCCCTCTGCCCCTCCACGGCCCAATTCCCTCCACCAACACTGAAAATTTCTCCTCGAGCACTACCCAGTTCTCTTCACGCACATGAATCGCGATACCTGCACCATCTTCAACAAACAAGATTGAGCCCGGTTAGCTCAATCGGTAGAGCGTGAGACTCTTACGAGTACGCGATCTCAAGGTTGCGGGTTCGACCCCCGCATCGGGCTATTCCTATAAAACTATTCTTTTGCCCATCTTCTTGATGTTTATGCCGTGTAGAGTTTGGAATTAGAAGTGTAAATCCTGTTTTTTTTAATGGTGAATGGTGCTCGGTTATCTGAACTTGATACCCCTCCGTCGGAAGAGCGGGGCCGATCGGAAAAGGTGGCTCTTATCAGTTGATCATCTCCCGTCTCCATCGTCATCATCTGCGAGACACCGCTTGTTGAAGACACTCGCTCCCTGTGATACGCTTGAACGATAACTGGAGAATTGAAATCATGGCGAACGATAAACCGTATAAACCTGCGCTCATTATAGTAGACTTTCAAGAAGACTTCTGCCCGCCTGTGAGTATCCCTCTGTCGCCTATAAACATGGGGAATGAGTTGGGCATGGCTTCATGTGAAGCCATGTGGATATTCTGCAGGAATATTTGATGTCAAGACATGAGGATGTTGAAAGCTCAGCATGACTTGCGCGGAGTCTGGACACACACGTTGTTGGGTGTCATATCTCACGGCTTTCAACGCTTGCTATGAGACCATCATGTTGGTATAAGTGTACCACGCCACGCCTTCTCATCCATCACCACCTCTATTCGCCTCCCATCTCACTCAAGCCCAGCTAACATCTCCAGTCCGGCTCCCTCGCCGTCCCTTCAGGCCGCACAATCGCCTCCCCAATAAACCACCTAACAACCCTCCCCTTCCCCCTCATCCTCGCAACAAAAGACTTCCACCCATCCTCCCACATATCCTTCGCCTCAAACCACGCCTCCTCAACACCCTACACATCAACCACAACAATCCAGCACCCTGACGACCCTTCCCAGAGCTACACGACAACTTTATGGCCAACGCACTGCGTCCAAGGCACGCCGGGCTGTGAGCTGGTACCGGAGCTAGATGTCTCGCGTGTTCATGCTGTTATTGAAAAGGGCCAGGATGAGCGCGTGGAGATGTATAGTGCGTTTTATGATCCGTTTAGGGTGAGTGATAGTGGACTCGCGGGCATGTTGAGTGAACAGGGTGTTACGGATGTTTTTGTGGTTGGATTGGCAGCTGACTTTTGCGTCAAAGCCACGGCGGAGGATGCGCTGCAGGAGGGATATACCACCTGGATTGTTAATGAAGGGACAAAGCCTGTCATGCCTGATAAGTGGGAGGAGTGCAAGAGAGGCATGGAGGACAAGGGCATCAAGTTCACGTCTATTGATGGAGATGTAGTGGCGAGAGTAAAGGCATATGCATGATTTAACAAAAAAATGATTAAAATTGAATTGCGAAGTGGCACTTTAACATAACTACCATCTTCAATATTGCCATCTTTCGACGGCTGTATATGTATGTATGTATGGATGCTCTCATCTTTCCAGAATGTCCAATGCAAAAACTCCATGCTGTGTGACCATCCACTCCATCCCAGACCATGTGTGTAGTGTATCATACTCATACATGTTCTCGTCTATGTTAACTTTTTATCATCCGCTCGCCTCTACTCCTTCAAATGCAAAGTTATTCGTCTATCGCTTTGACCTCTGAATAGCAGCGGCGCTCATCGATGTTGTTGACGCTGAGCGCTCCTGGGCATTGGTCATGGCCAAGGAGACGGGTGTCATGGGAGGAGCGGGGGTGGTGCTGCGAGAGGGAGCGGCACTTCGGTTGTGCTGCATGTGAGCCCGGACGAGATGACCCGCGGCCAGGGCACTGCAGAGAGAAAGCTCGCCTGCGAGAACGGCTGCGCCGATGATGCGGGCAAGACGGCGGGCGTTGTCTCCAGGGTTGGTGGGGTGAGAGCCTCGGACACCAAGGATGTCGAGCATGGCGCTCTGAGGCTCGAGGATGGTACCACCACCAAGAGTTCCGACCTCAAGCGATGGCATAGAGACGGAGATCTGAAGAGCTCCATTGAGGCTGTAAATGTTAGCGTGTGTTCGGCTTGATTTCTGGGACAAACTTACTTCTTCATGATGGTGATACAGTTGGCGCTCTCAACAACCTGAGCAGGGTCCTGACCAGTGGCCAGGAAAATAGCAGCGACAATGTTGGCAGCGTGGGCGTTGAAACCACCGACTGAGCCAGCCATAGCGGAACCGATCAGGTTCTTGGCAACGTTGAGCTCAACAAGAGAGTCGACATCGCTCTTGAGAACGCTGCGAACAACCTCACCGGGGATGATGGCCTCAGCAACAACACCCTTACCACGTCCGTCGATCCAGTTGAGGGCCGCAGCCTTCTTATCCGTACAGTAGTTACCAGAGACAGAGATGATCTGCATGTCGTCGAAACCTCCATCGTTGGCCATGACGCTCAGAGCGTGCTCGACACCCTTGGAAATCATGTTCATACCCATAGCGTCACCGGTGGTGGTCTTGAATCGAATGTACAGGTTGGTACCAGCAAGAGCAGTCTTCATGGACTGGAGACGGGCAAAGCGACTAGTGGAGTTGAAGGCCTTCTTCATCATATCCTGACCAGCCTCAGAGTCAAGCCAGAGCTTGGCAGCACCAGCGCGCTCAAGAGTCTCGAAAGCAACACAAGGGCCACGAGTCATACCATCAGCAGTGAGGACAGTGATAGCACCGCCACCAGAGTTGATGGCCTTGCAACCTCGACTGGCACTGGCAACCAAGACACCCTCAGTAGTGGCCATAGGGATGAAGTAGCTCTGTCCATCAATGACGAGAGGACCAGCAACACCGACGGGCAGAGGCATGTATCCAATGACGTTCTCACAGCATGCGCCGAAGACGCGCTCCCAGTTATAGTTCTCGTAAGGTAGCTTGGATCGGTCGAGCGAGTGGGTAACATCGGTGGTGGCCTTGTTACGGGCGATAATGCTTCGTCGGATCTTAACAGCGCGGGTGAAGTCACCGAGGGTCTTCTCAAGTGCGTAACCAGGAATCTTGCCACGCATAGAGAGGGAAATAACTTCCTCGTCGGTCATCTCGCGGACGCGCTTCTCGGACAGGAGCTTCTCGAGTTCTTCATTACTTCGGTTGGGCAGGTTGGCAGGGCGAGCCTTGGTCATGTGAAGACCCTCGGCCTCGTCGTCGGTAATAGCAGGAGTGCTGGGCTGGGTTCGCATAGGAGTGGGAGGAACGTATTCGCCGAGAGGAAGAGTAGCGGAGCCGGTGTCGTTGAACTGCTGCGCACGGGCGAGCTCGTTTCGGTCGATGCTGTGCTCAGGGACATTGGGGTCCTTGATTCCCCAGCGAGCGACGTTGAAGAGGTAGCCGTTAAGAGCGACACTGAGAGCAAGGGCAATGACAATCCACTTGGACAGAACGGGATCCTCAAGAGACTTGAGAATACCGCCAACCATGCGGCCGCCGACACCGTAGCCCTGGAAGTGGTGGTGGAAAGCATCGTTGTAGGCAGGGCTGTTGGCAGCAGAACCTAGGGCGTAGTGGATCGAAGGGTACTCGAGCTCGTACTTGATGGGAGTCAAGACAGTGACCAAGGTAGGTCGGTTGTTGGCCTTGGCGGTAGCGAGGATAGCATCCAGACCGTTGGAGGCAACCTTGAAGGGGTCAACGGAGAGAGGAGCGATGACGCCGCCCAGACTGCTGGCCCAAGTTCGGATGGTGGACATAGAGCTGGGGTTGCGGAATGGGATCGAGCAGATGTTGACAATGTTGACGAAGATGAAGCCGAGAATCATCAAGACCTTGAACTTGGGAATGCTGCTGCTCTTGCGGCCGAACAGAGAGGTGTCGCCCTTGACGCGGTTCAAATCATCATCACCCTTGGCGACGTTCTCGGCAACACGGCGGCTGACACCATCATCCTCAAGGGCCATACGCATATCAACATGGCGCTTGATACGGTTGATTTCAAGCTTGATGCTGAGAATGGCAGTGTAGAAAGTGAAGAGGAGGATGAAGTCGAAGAACAGGGTCCAGGCGGCCAAGAAGCAGAACTGCTGAAGACCACCCTGAACACCAGAAGCAGCACCAATGACGAGAATGACGATCTCAATAGCGTAATCGCGGATGATCTCGAAACCCTTCTCCTTGATGGCGGCCTGAACAGCGTATTGAATCATGTTCTGCATGGAGCGCTCAGGAGATCGCTTGCCAGACTTGGAGTTCTGAGCCTGGATTCGTCGATGCTCAATGGCGTGGGACATGACGGCACGGGTGAGAACAATGTTCTTCTCGAATCCAATGGTGACAACCAAGAAGGGGAGACCCTCAGACAGAAGTATGACGCTGATGGGAACACCCAGCTTGGTAGTGACCACAAGACCAAAGAGGAAGGCAAAGACAGAGGAGAACAGAGTGCAGACACCGAGCCAGAACTTGGAACCCATCTTGCGCATAGAGAGGAAGAGGGAAACAAAGGTCAGGTGCATAGCGATATAACCAAGAAGCATGATGACAATATCGAGAGTCTCGGCGTTCTTGAGAAGGTCGACGAACTCAGTCCAAGCATTGCTGACCCACTGGACAACGCTGTTGCGGGTGTTGACCTTGGCAGCCTTCATGATCCATGTTTTCTTCTCGCGTCCGTGCTTGGTCTCAATCTCGACGGCATCTTCGTTGGGAATCTCCTGGGCAGCAGCCAGGAACTCGGGGCCCTCAGAGTAGGGAAGAGCGTAGGCGAGAATGCTGTCCTGGGAGTAGGCGGTGAACGGGTTCTCGGTAGAGGGAAGAGACGTAATAGACAGGTTCTGAGGGATAGGTACGTGGTGAGAGCGAGGAGCAGTGCTGGAGGATTCGGCGGAGAGGCTGTCGGGGAAGACAAGAGTCAGGAGGGCAAGGTGGTCGGCATCCGAGCCAGCATCGGGAACGGCGTCCTGCTCGACGGCCTTCCAGTTCCAAGCAGTCTCAGGTCCTGCGCGTAGGACTCTGCTACCCTCAACGAGGGTAGACCAATCGGCCTTGCCAAGAGTAGCACTTTCAACGTCGGTGTTAAAGAGGCTCTCCTGAAGAAGGCCGACGTATGAGGTGCTCGCGAGGACGGCGACAACGACGACGGTATGGATCGGGTGAGAGCACGCGAGTCGGGAGAGGAACTGGGCGATGGGCGTAAGTCGCTTGGAGGCCCATGACGGTGTAGTTTTTTCGGTGACGGGCGCCTCGCCGCGGAAGCGCTTCGGCAGAAGAATCGAAGCCATGATGTTGGATTCGATTCGAAGATTAGAAGGGTTATTCGTCGATATCGTTTACCACATTGATTTTGGTCTAAGCGCAGGTGTAAGTCCGGGGAAGAAGAAAAGATCTGGAGAAAAGGCGGGTATTTGAAGTAGCCATTGGCAACACCACAACAAAGAAATGGGTGCAGCGACGGAGCAGATGACGAGTATGGGTGAGGCTTAGGCAGATAAAATGTATTACTTACATTCCCTGAGTGACAGTTCTATTACTTCCAACTATTCAAGGCGGATGACCCAGAAACGCGGTGGGAGGTGGAGGGGCAAGGCGTTGAGGCCTAGCTGAGCTGGGGACAGCCACAGAAAAAAAAGGGACGAATCAAAGGAGGCGACGACCACCAACTCGACAAGGCAACAGAGAAAGGAATACTCTCTGATGTGAGAAGGGAAGCGATTACGACGGGAGAGGGGGGAATAGAAAAAAGAGAAGGAAGAAAAAAAGAGGTAAAAGGGGGTCAAGAGGGTGTGGAGGGAGATTGAGATTGATGGGATGGTCCAAGAAGCGGGAAATGATGGAGACCGGAAGAAAGTGGAGGGATATTCAAACTGTCGGTCGGAGGGTCGTAGGATCATAGGCAGTCTAGGCGGAGGACGCCTGTTCTGTTAGGGGACTCAACGTTTAACAAACGACCTAACGTGAGCATCCAATTAATACCGGTACAGTAAAGCCGAGAACTAATCTTGTTGTGGAGAAGGCCCTTGATCTCTTTTTTCTCAATGTAAAATGGCGGCGCTGTCACTGAAATTACGGAATAGAGTCCAGAAAAAAGAGATCAAAATGTCATCACCATTTCTTGAAATCAGAGTCTGAGTGGCCAATTGGACTACAAGTGCATGTAATAAACCAATCGGACAGCTTGTGTCATCACGGTACATTACCACAAGCTGCAAGATTCCGCGCCGAGCATAAGATTTACGGATGAGTACCTTGTCTGTATGCACCGCTGGGAGAGGGCCGCTGTTAGTGGCTTGCAGACACTGGTGTGGCGTATCGACCGCGTGGGCTACAGGGAAGACCTTGACTCCTTTCAGGGCGATCATAATGCGAGTAATTGACTTCAAAAAAAGTCAGTTGACTTCTAGAAGAATACAGCTTTCTCAAGATATTGTTCTCAGCACGGGCTTGAGGTGTCTTCCACCAACTGTGCTACCACAACTTCTTCTTTGTCAAATACCGCATGAATGCAAAGAGCCAAACGACTGTAACCATGCCACGATCTGACAGTCCAAAATGGAACCCTCTTTCACTTCCATGATGCTTGTCACCTCTTTTAATCTTATCTCCCCTAGCTTCCCTTTCGTAATCGTAAAAACCGAATACGCAAATAACCACCATCACTGTCGTCACCGACAATTAAATGATGAATAATTACAGCCAATTTCAGTATTGATCTGGTATTACGCGTGGTCTTTTTCAGCTCTCCTTGGATTTCTTGATGATTTGGATCGAGGCGCAGTGACCAAGAATTGAAGGCAACTGAACAACGCGTGATCGTAAACGTAAAACGCGCCGCAGCGGGAAGGGAAGTGGAGGGAATACCCCTGATCATCCACTTTCGAGGCCAACCGAAAAATGTCTGGGCTCTAGCTTTTTTCCCTCTTTGCTGTCAAATCTCCATGTCACCTCGACCCAACAAAGACGTAGCATTTGCTGTGGATTGGCAATTGTCTCTCACACAGTCATCTTTCATTCAATTCATGCTACTCACCGTACTCTTAACGAACTCAATGTTTCCCAAGTGAAGCTCTCACGACATCGTCGCAAAATATCGCCGGTCTCATCCGCGCAGAATCCTCCCTTGTACGTAAAAACTCCACATTCTTCATTGTCTTGGCGTTTCGCCCCACTCCTTATCAATCAGTTCCTCCATGCCACCATCACCATTGAGGCTTTCACAAGCAGAATTCTCCGCGCTAGTTGACCTGTGGTGGGGGTTAAGACGTGGCAAAGCTGCGATTTCGGCTTCTAGTGTAGTTTGAGATGCTCTAGAGGTTAGATTGATAAGATTCGATGTCTTCAGCCGAGGTTCTTGAGGCTCTTGAGCGGATATCCGGATGATGTCTTGTGGTGGTGACGTTGAAGAGGGACTGGCTATTAGCTTTGACTTTGAGCCGCATTCGGCTATGGTGCGCCATTATTTTCTGGTCTCACAAATGCCGAGAGATGTTGGACTCTTGTTTGGGGGCGGAGGGGAACCATTTGATCTGCTGAACCTGCATATTTTGATCAATCTTACTGCGCAACGACTTTAGCCGTACTTAATTCTGGGAACTCATACGGACTATTATTACGAGGCTATCATTACGCCGAGAAAGAAACGCAATCTCTGCCATAGCAAACTTGCTTGATGGTGAAGACGTCTTGTGGCCATGACTTTGAGAGTCTGAGGGCCAAAGCGATGTGCTCATGTCTTCCCACCAAACTCATCTGTAGCCTAGCGAGTGTTGCTCGTCGATCATCGTCTAACATGAAGTCACTGCAACAAATAATCCATCGCTTGCCTTGAACAAGCATGAAACATTTCAGGTTGCAATATCTCATTAACCATCCGACATTGACGCCGGTAACTCACGGCTCAGTGCATCAGATGCTACCCGGATCTGCGCAAACCACGACACAATGATGTACAAACTTCGGCGTTTTTGCTTCGCGGAGAATTGTCAAACTTGTGTACGTTGTTTATGATGCAAGAATCGTCTCTGAAAGAAGAGACCATTGTTGTGGTTAAACCCTGACCCGGCTGTTGAAGGTCCACCCTCCGGAGGGTTGTTTGCGGGGCCGTAGACCCTGAGGTCCGAAAGATGATTGTCATATCATTGAATTGATGGATACTCTCCTGTTATTTTTTTCGGCCAGCATTTATTTGCGTCGTCCGAACAATGAAGATCGCCAATTGAGCCATGAGTCTAAGACGTCTTGTATGGTTGAAGCCGGAGGCCAAGCGACGCCGTGACAGAGACTTTCTTGCTGTCATCATGCATCAAAGCTAACTCCTCCCGTTATAAAATTTCGAACCTAAAAGGACCTACAAAATAAGCATGTTTTTAAAAACGCAACTGCTGAGTGATAGCAGCCATTTCTGGACTTAAAATCCCGTTGCGCTACGGCGGCCTCAAGGAGCAAGAAAACTTCTGACTTTCAGTGAGGGTGTCAAAAATCAACTACTCTAAAGACCCACTAAGTTATACCAAACTTACCTAAATCTTTTTGTCGCTTAGGATACAGAGGTCCTAAGCTTTCTTACTCCCTGAGGGGCAGCTCAACGGCCTACGGAGGCCGAGACCCAAGGGTGCATTGGCCATTGAGTTTTCATGATATGATCTTTGCGTAACTGTTGAGACGTCAACAGAACCATGACAATAAATGTCACAGTCCATCAATTGATGTATGGGATATCTCAAAATATCATAGACAATAGCTCACCGCATATACAGGCTGTTGATGACACAATACATCAATTCTTGAAGGGCCGGCGTCTTCCGGAGGTCAATCCTTCATCCTCCGTCACAATCAGCGGTCCGCTTCCGATGGCTGCCCGGTCCACCCGGTATCACGCCAACCAGACATCGTACGATGCTCCCATATTTCATAACACCAGCATTTCATTTGTCCACAACCTGAGGCTGAGAAAAAAAGTCTCAAACAAGATCTAGAAAGAGAGGCGCCAATGTACGTGATAAGTCATCATATATGTGTCTCTTGTAATGGATGGGCCGGGCCGTGAAAGGGTTCGTGCTGAATGACGCCCAGCCCAGTCATAAAAATTTCGCCATTCTCTCGTGATCTCCCTTCTTCCCCAGATAAACTCGATCGATTTTGTTCTTTTCCCTCTCTAAAGAAGCTAGTAAAAGCTAGACTTGTCGAAAGATAAAAAAGCAAAAGGATTCTTACCAATTACATGTGTGTCTTTCTTCGCAAGGATCCTTCCTCGCTTGCAGCGATCACGACAATCCCTGGTCTAGAATAAGCCAAATCGAACGACATTTTGCAACTGCGGAATTGAGGATGGATGACAAACACGAAAATTCGCCCGATGAGAACAACGGGGTTATTAGCCTCAGCAACAGCCCGGAGAGCACTAATGACGCCGATGCGAAGGGTCCTCATGTGTGGCTTGTCGGCGGCGGTATTGCATCTCTTGCCGCCGCGGTCTTTCTGATCGAAGATGCGAAGGTCCCGGGTGATCATATCCACATTCTCGAGGCATCGGCGAAAGCTGGTGGATCAATGGCAACGTTTTCGAAGCCATCATGGGACACAGGGTATCGAGTATCTGCGATTCGCAAGATGAGTCTCACTTATCATTGTTTGTATGGGATGTTGGAGAAGGTACCGTCGGACTTTGAGGGCGAGACACTGGCCGCCAAATTACACCGATTCAACCAAGCAAGGAGAAAATTGGGCGCTTCAGGAACGAGGTTGGTGAGGCAGGTCATTGATGACCATGGAAATGAGAAGCCTGAAGCGGTTGATGTGAGCACAATGGGTTTGAGTGTCAAGAACCAATGTGACTTGATGAGAGTTGTTCTCGAGACGGAGGAGGAGCTGGAGGGCCTTGAGATCCAGACTCTGTTCGAACCGGACTTCTTCGAGACGAACTTTTGGGACTTATGGTCATCGCTCAATCGGTTCCATCCCTGGTGTAGTGCTGTTGAGTTCAGGCGGTGCTTGCATAGGATGTTGCATGAGTTTCCCAACATGGGGACACTATCTGGCGTGGAACAGGCTCCTGAGGAGGACTTTGAGGCAATTATTAAGCCATTGACGCAGCATCTGAAGGCGATGGATGTTGAGTTTCGGCACGGTAAGTTCGGGTTTCGTTCGAAGGGATAAAGCTGACCTGTGTAGGCATTCAAGTTAGCGGTCTGGAGATTGAGGACATCGGATCCGACTTCAGAGTGTCTGCGCTGAAAACATACCAAGATAACAAGCATGTCTTGATAACAACGGGGCCAGATGACCTTGTCCTTCTCACACTCGGCTCTCTCACATCTGGAATGGGTTACGGCACAAATGACCAACCGCCGCCGACGATGGAGCTTCGCGATTCAGCACCGCACGAACTCGACCCCTCGTGGACCTTCTGGGATAGACTTGCGCTCGACCGCCCAAAGACATTTGGTAACCCAGAAGCATTCTTCGATCGACCTTCAAAGTCAACATGGCTCTCCTTCACCGTCACGCTTCGCGACCCAGCATTCTTCGAGTACTTACGTACCTGGACCGGCACACTAACAGGAGCTGTACCATTAATAACCTTCCGCGACTGTCCCTGGATGCTCTCCCTCACCATTCCTCAACAACCATACGTAAGGGATCAACCGGACGATGTCTTCGTATTCTGGGGCTACGGCCTCTTCCCAGACCAACAGGGCCGCTATGTTAGAAAACCCATGCTCGAATGCACAGGCGCCGAAATCCTCACCGAGCTTCTTCACCTCATGGCCTTTCCCCTGCAACCAACCCTCGAGCGATCCATCACAATTCCCTGCCTGATGCCGTTAATCGGAAGTCCATTCTTGACACGGAAGAAGGGCGATCGACCAAAGGTTATACCTGATGGAAGCAAGAACTTGGGTTTGATGGGACAGTTTGTTGAGATTGAGAGGGAGGTGACGTTTACGATGGAGTATTCGGTTAGGTCGGCGCAGTTGGCTGTTTATGGACTGATGGGGTTGGATAAGAAACCTCCGGGGGTTATGGGTGAGGATCATTCTGTCCTGACGTTGGGGATGGCGTTGAAGACGATGATGACTTGAGGGGACTGTAACTGATTCGGAAAAGGCGTAAGGAAAAGCAACAAAATTGCGGGAGGGCTGAGACATGCTTAGCTTGATCACATGTATAGTATAACGGGACTCAAAGGTCTTTTGATAGGGAAATGGATGTATTGACTTCTTCAAGTGACCGAAATATGTTAGATGTTTGCTGCGAGTACGGCTTCATTATTCGCAGCTAGGAAAGGCAAACCTTAGGGCCTCGATTCTAAGCAATGAAAAGGTTTAGGTAATTTAGCATAGGTTTAGGGTGCTCTTTATCAGATTCAGGTCCCATTATAATGGATTCTTGCTCGAGGTTGTTTGGCAATCTCTATGAGGCTTTCTGCAACAATAGATAGGTACCTTAGTTATACAGCGTGAATAAGAATGAATGGGTATCAATGCTGTTTGTATATTGAAGGCCTCTAGGCAATAGATCTATTATTGTGTGTTGTCTGTGCTAGTTAGGGGGACATCTCGTGTAGATAATATCCAGCAGCATGGTCAAACCTCGATCCTCCAACATATCCCCCTTTTATATACACTCAAGATATATTTTATCACTTTTTTAACATCCATATCCCTATATCAAGCACTCCAGATCCGAAAATGCGCCGATCCCCTTGCATTCTAGTTGTTTTGAGCCCAGTGCCTCATCGACACTGCCGCGACCGGGCGAGTTCCCTCTCGGGGTCCCTCCAGGGGGCACGCCTGAGCTCCTACCTCAAGTCAATGGTAAGCCTGAGGCTGCCTTACCCTGGCCCATCCGCACCTTCTTGTAATTCCCCCGACAACGGACTGGGCTAGCCTTCTTCTTCCCCTCTTCTTCTTTTTCTCCTCCCCCACCTTCTTCCGCCTTCTCACTTCAACGTTCACATCTTCCTCATCCACAAACAAACATAACACTTCACCAAACTTTCATCTCGTTTTCTCCTCATCTTTCCTTCCATTCTTCACTGTCACTTGACTCCATTTCTCCACTTGTTCCGTCACCGTTGCCGTCATGGCTTTCGCGCACGACGCAACTCTGCAGCTTGTTGCGCGGGTGCAGCTTGAAGAACTCATTGCGTTCAAGGCACAGTACCCAGAGCAAGATGTCTGGCCACCTTACATCCACGACTTGGAGGCTGTTCGTCCCCACTTGGAACTTGTCGCCGTAGGGGGCGTAGTGTTCAACGAAGAGGCTATCAATGCTCGTGTAAACAAAGGCTTTTTTGCCGCCGAGTATGATCTCGAAGAGCTTCGCGCTACATCTCCTTCTGCCACGGCACCTACTCGCCAGGTCTATGGACCCGTTACCGCTGCTGCTGGCACCACGGGTAAGCAATATCAACGCACCCAGATCATCACATCACTGACTGACTTCCTTAGACGAGTTTCGCGTAGACGGACAGTCGGACAACGTCGAAGAGGATGCCTAGGAGCCCCATTTGACTGACTCCACTACTGCCACTATTGCCTCTTCTTCCGACTCTGCCAGCGACGTCATGACCACCCCTCCTCGTGTTACTCCTGCTGCCAGTTCTGTGGAGATCGCATATCAGAATGCTTTCTCCCGTCTTGATGCCGCTCTTCGAGGTAAAACACGATCTGCCTGTGTAATCTAATTTCCTTACTAATATTATACCAGCTCGAGATGATAGCCTCTCTGACATCTATTCCGATGACAATGCTGGTGCTCCTCCGAAGATCCTCTCGGAGTTGGAGACTGTCCACTCAAACAATAGCAAGGTCTCAAAGGTCACGGAAACTGCTCTTGCTTTCCTCTCCCAAACGGATGTGGGTCACATAATTGAAGCCTAGGCCCAGAGTTCCAGTCAGTCAATTTCTTCCCGAGAAGCAGAACATGGGACCCCTTCAAAGGACTCGGCTACCCACGATGTCGAAAGTGTCCGCATTGAGGCTGCATCCCCAGCGCCAACGACTCACCTCCACCACGATGAGGTTGATGAGGACCTCATTTCTTTTGATGAGGATCCCACTCCTGCCGGCACTATCCCGATTACTATTGCGGATGGTTTCCCTCCTACAAGCACTTTCGCTAAGGAGGTTGAAGAGGTCGAGAGTGGCAATGTCGCGCTCGATGTCTACCCTCCAGCCGGCGTTCACGAAAATGACAATGTTGTCAAGTGCTTCAAATGTGCCGATGACTGTGTTGAAAATGTCATCACATGCGCTTGCAACCATCAGTATTGTGCTGATTGTCTCAATGACATGGTCAAGACTTCAATCCATGGGCCTACTCCTTTCCCTCCTGTCTGTTGCGAAATTGCAATCCCCGTTGACATCAACTCTTCTGTCTTCGAGCAGAATACTTTGTACGATTTCCTGTGGAAGAAATTTGAGGCGTCTGATGTCAGTGAACAGGGTGGTGTCGATGAACGGGGTGATAAGTCGCTTCCCTCTCTTCTCTCGCTTTCGATCGAGGAGAAAACGGAGTACTCGTTCAGTGGATTTGGTGCAGAAGAAGCCGATAATGAGAATAAGTGTCACTTGTGTCACAAGGCTATTGAAAAGGGCTTGTGTGAGTAGCATTCTGTTGCATCGCGTACCACGCTAACAACCCCTCTTCATAGATTGCCCTGACTGTTGCTACCAATGCAATAACAGCAGAGCGGCCTGCAAATGCGACTGGTGGGATGGCCGCCAGCGCCGTGAAAAGGGCGAGGCTATCGTCAAAGCGTCATATTTTCAGACTGCTCAACCTCAGGTTGCACCCTTTCGAGGACAACGAAAGCAGTTCGGGGGCATTTTCGAACGCAACAATGGAACACGTCGTGCCGAGACCCAGAATCGAGCTTGCCAGCACCCATTGATGAAGCAAGTGAAGTTGTCGGGTCGATGCTTTGACTGTCAGCACATGCTGCCTGCGTTCCTGTGGCAATGCACACGCTGCAATTATTCAGTTTGCAAACATTGTGGTAAGAAGCGGGGAATATTCTCCCATTGATGTTTCTACATTGACGACGGAAAGGCTATGGGATGTATTGATGAGTTGGTGGAAATGGTAGGGTGTGCGATGGCGCGACGATGATGAGTGATGATGATGTGCTGGTGTTGGAAAGCAGTCATGATGGTGGGAGAAGGTCGCGACGATGGAGGGTCGTCTTGTGTGATCCAGTGTGCTCTGTCTTTGTCAGGAGTAGATATCGTAGTCTGTAAGATGGAAAGAATGTCGATGAGTTTTGTATTTAAGTTGTTTCCTATTTGACTGGGACCTTTTATGCTGATGTTTGGTGTCGAATGTAAGTTATGAAAGGCCTTGCTATACTGAACCTGACTAAGTGTTCTCTTACCTCCGTCTATGTATTTCTGGGATGGACAGTGTATGTACCATATGGAAGTCAGTTTTCTAGAAGCAATAGCCAAGGTGATCTGATACCCTCTACCAATCCATATGAAGCACCCTGTATTATCTTTGTGACAAACGAGACCTCTTTCCTTGTTCTTTTTTTCTTTTTTTCTTTTTTTTTTTTTAATAAAAAAAAAAAAGATGTTAGGGGCCAGATTGAATTAGTTTATATGACAAATTATCTACAAAAGCCTAGCTTGGCACCTTTCTCTCACGATGTGTTCCCGTTGCATGACAAACTTTGACACGGCCTTGTCATTGCATGAGCTTGTGCGGTAAGTGTCGCATCAGATATTGTTTGCTTTGCGGTCTGACTGGTGATAAATATTTCCATTGCGCTCTATCCAGGTTGCTCCGTTTGGTTTGCGGTGATATTTGAGAAGCTGAGAATTCCTCGATGCTTCAATCACAACTTGCTCGGCCTTGGTGGGCATCCACCTGGGGTCGTGTACCATGTGTTCTCCTCTAAACGCTTTCTGAGGCTTTTTGGACACGAAAATTACGAAGAGTTGCATTAGGATCGTTGTCTTTTGCATTAATATATGCTGTAGTTCTGCTTCTGCCTCGCAATGCAACATCCTCAACCATCCTAGCGACTACTTAGATGAGCTTAAGTTCAGTCTACCCTTTACCTACCGGATTGTTCTTTTATAATTCATCATTTGGAGTCAATTTCGCACTCTGGGAACACCCTCATATACTAAATCTGCTGAGAAGTTATCTAATTTGTTCATTACGGTTCCCATGTCACACAGTGAGAGGAAGAAATAAGACTAATGCTGTAGTAATTGGCTAGGTGTTATAGAAAAATGTCTAAGTAATGAGCTAATTGTGTTATTTGCAGTTAGGTATGTGAGTAATAGCATGTAGTGAGGTCAGTTGCGCGATGCAAGCATCAGCTATCAGGCCTATAAACTCAAAATAACACTCTCAAAAACACAATTCGGGAGCATAGCAACTACACACATAATAGCCCAGGAAAGGTTTTTTTTAGAGAGCTTATAATCACCACACAGAACATAAGAGAGGAAGACATTTCCTATTATTGTATTCATACAGTACTATTACAAAACTCCAACGGGGGCGACGTCTATATGCTCCGGGCAGCTCCTTACTACCCTCAACCCCAGCCTTTCCATCACCCATACCATCTCCAAGTTGCAGACGAATATGCTGCAACACTCAGGACTCCTCCGAGTCTATACGGGACCAAAATCTCCCACTCTATTCGTTGTAATAATGCTCCAACCAGTCGTTTATCTGAGCAACAGCGCGGTCTCGGCAGCCATGGCAAACACGAACGGAGCAGGCAGTACACTCAAAAGTGTAGAGGTGTATTCCCACACAGCACACTCTACAGTTGGCCGGGCCCTCCACTCTCTGCCAGTCGTGATCGCACAACACAGCTGGGAGCCGACGGTTAGCGTTGGGAGCTGCCGGAGCAGGCTGCGGCGGTGGTGGAGGAGCATCAAGTTGGTGTTGTTGAAGGGCAGGAATGCTCCCCTATTGACACTCGCATCCCCCATATTCTTCACCGCAGATGTAGCAGAACTCATGACCGCAGAGACACACTACGAGTTATAAGTCAGTAGATGTGAAAAGGGTTGGCGGACATGTTTGGAGACTTACCCAGATGTGTGCAGCCACCATTCCGCTCGATGAGGTGGCCACAACGTGCACATCGCTTCCAGCCTTCGCTCTCCGCGAGAGCCAAGGCCTGGTCCCTCTCAACCTGCTGCTCACAGGCGCCGGTATGCGACTTGTTCTTGCAATTGGTGCAAGTGATCTCGTTGCAAGCAGGGCACTGCTCCTCGTCTCTGTAGCACGGCTCACCAGAGTCGGAAATGTTCTTGGGTGGAATGAACTTGAGGCATTGACGGTTGCTGCAATAAGTTCGATCCCTTGTCTCGTGCTCAACCAATTTCTCGCGATACCGCTGTACGACATTCTCAGGTAGATGCTGTTCGATGACTCTGAGAGGGATCTCTTCATCGCAACAATCTGGGGGGAAGTGCCAAGGGGAGGTGAGGGATAGTTCGAACGTTCTGATGAGGCATGGACAGCAATAGTCATGTTCGCATGGCACCTGTTGGACTGTCATGATTGGGAACATTTCCTCGCAGCAGATGCATTCCTTCGTTTCTGTTTGCGCAGACGCTTGTGTCGCAGGGTCTTCCGGGGCGGCGTGTTGTTGATCCTGCTGCTCTGTCTCTTCGCCATGTTCGTCATCTGATGGGCCATCAGAAAGAGGGTCAAACATGCCTTCAAGATCCTCATCGGCTTCGTCGTCAACAGTCATTTCGTCGTCTGAGATGTTGTCTTGGCTATCTGATTCCCCATTAAGCTGATGCTCCTCTGCGTCTTCTCCAGGCTCGAAGTCTGGTATCCCGTCAGAAAGGTCAGAAAGGTCATCAAGCATATCTTGAAGATCCGTGTCATTTGCTCCGTCAAGGTTCATTTCGTCTTCTGGATCGTCTGATTCCTCGGAGTCTTCCCCAGTTTGGAAGTCTGACTCTCCGTCAGAGGGATCATCAAGTATGTCACAAGCATACTCGTCACCTTCATCGTCAAGGTTCTTGTCGTCGCCAAGGTTCACTTCGTCGTTTGAACTGTCTTCTTGTCCATCTGGTTCCTCACTAAAGGGGCGCTCAGGTGTCTGCTCGTATTGACGGTCTCGCTGGTTACTAGCTTCAGATAAGAGCCTCTCTACGGTGAGAGCCATACCGTTCTCAATCGAGGCCTCCCGGTGGTAGTCCTGTCGCGCGTCCATGACGAAAGTTGATGGGAAGTTACAAGCAGAAATAGCGGAGGATGTAGGAGGAAAACGAACATTACCGAACAGAGTTTTATTAAGTTTTAGGGGTAGAATAAAAAGGCAAACAGTTATTTCTTGGTGATCTATGCAGCTTCCAGGCAGCCGGCTCGCAGTGCTGAGCGTGAAACGCTGTCCATACTCCTTGTACCAAAGCTTATGACAGAGACACACCACTTAAACATAATTCAAGAACTATACTTAATGATCATACTTTTGCAAGGTCTATCAACGAAGAATTCTCTCAGTTAACGTACTTATGACGCCTTTTATCCAAAGCCATTGTCAGACGCATCTCGAGACCTCTTTGAGCTTCTTTTGTGGGCTCTGAAGGCTTCACTCAGCACTGACACTGGAGCCTCAGTGGACGCCGAGACGGTTGCAGCCAAACAAGAGTATGAGTATCTACTGCCATCTGGTTTACTTCTATGCTTGTTTACTTTCTTCTTTCGGTCGTCTCCTCTGACAGCGTTGGGGACTTGGCTGCGGTGAGGAGCAGCCCTCAGGGATAGCATAAAGCTGAGGACTTTAGTCCAAAGGGACATAAAGCTTAGGTAAGTTTAGCATGATTTAGGATCACTTGGACTGGTTCTTTGACTTGCCTACTTGGCCCTTTGGCGCAGCAGGTCTCGGTTCTCCCAACCCCTCGACGAAGCCCCAACGACAAACACCCCTTCCACCTTCAATCACTCAATAAGGAGTCCTAGACCTCGGCGCAAGAACACCAACACATTTCCAAACATCGAAGGGCTTAGCCCTAGGATCTGGGTTGAACGCAGGATTGCCAACAATGCGATCGCTGCTGAGGTATTGAACAAATCCGCATGAACTAGCAAGAATACACGTCACATTCTCGACCGTCACCCACATCACATTGGGCTTGATATCAACCTCGACCAGATCCTCCTCCCCATAGCGGTAGAACACCTTTCGATCCCTCTTCTCCTCGTCGACCTCCTCTTCGGCATCTTCCTTCGTCTTGCATGTGTGGCACGGGTCGTATTCCTCATCGATGAGCCAAAGTCGCAGCCTCAACATCCGCACAACGCAGAGGTGCAGCAGGAGCAGTAAGTTGCCTCTTGGGTTATTCCTGGATCTCTGCTCCATCAATGTCGTGGGACGCGGGTCGTTTCGCGTGATACCATTGGACCAGGATCTATCGTACACGAAGCCGATGTTTCCCATGATGGGAAAGCCGTTGCTTGTCGCGGAGATGGCGTTCTCCCGAAAGAGCTGAATTGCGTTGTTCTCTTGTTCTCTGACCGTGGCTAGGCGTGTACATTCAGACATCCATCGTTCATCTTGGATCATGAAGAGATCTCTCGCCGGATGAGTCGCAACAATGTTGTTGAACTTGCCGTCTATGTTGACTACCGATACGAAGTCTCTGTACCATTGGCTTATACTTTCCCGGCCGCCGTTCTTCATCAACTTGTTCTCCTTCTGCCACGCCCTCTCTATCGTGTACGGCTCGTGAATCTTTTCGGGTGCGGTTTGCAGGTCCTCCAAGACGATCATCTTCAGTTCTTGCCATTGCTTCTGTCGAAACCGTCGGCTAATGACCCATCTAGACTCAACACAAGCTTTCCACATCCCGTAGTCCCAATGAACCACAGATTTCAGCTCTTCAGGGCAATTTGACATGGCTTCGAGCGCGTTTGCCATCTTCTGACTCTCCAGCTCCTCCATGACTCGATATCCAAATATTTGCGGACTCTTGTGACCAACGTCACTCATCTCGTGTGACCTCGGATCCTCGGCCTCCCAAAAGTTCACTCGAAAGCTATGTACCGCATTGTAGTTCTTCGACGGCCGCGGACGCAGTGCTGCCTCCCAGATTAAGAGTCTGACATCTTGGTGGAGGTATGGAAACATGAGGAACTGGCGATCCGGGGCTTGTTTCTGAGCCGGCACGCTGGCTGGTTCAACTGGCAAAGCCAGGGAGCGCATATTTTCCATGGGCAAAGGCGGCGGGGGTGATGAGGACGAGAGAAAGTTGGTTCGGCCATGGTGAGGGGAATAATATGTAGATGGTGATGTGTTCTTTATTCAGGGCTGGGAGTGTATTTGGCGCACCAAAGTCAAAGTCTGGCTTTATTTATCGTGGTGATGAATCGGATTGGTCGTTCGTGGAAAGTTTGATAGAGGTGAGGCTGTGGCGATGATGGATGTTGAAGGGTTTGGCGGAAGCCTCGTTTTGTCTAACCTAGATTCGAAGGGGACTGATAATAAACGGTCACTCAATAAAAGATCATGAATTTCTTTCGATTTACCTCCTAAGTAGATTTCTTCTAAAAATCGGAACTCATGTCGTGCAGCGAACGGTAAACCGTAATTCCCTCGTGTCTCCAAGCAACAAAAGGCTTCAGACCGTTGAATCCAAGGGACGAGAGTAACGACATACCTGCCAAATCAGCAACCTGTCCTAAACTCATCCAAGAATTTACTCGTCAAGGGTTGTTGTCTCAAGTTTTCAAACTTGCCCTCCCCTTGGTATGCTGTCCGGGATTCGGCTGAGAGGATGATGTGAGAAGAGAGAAGGACGTAATGCATGCCAGGAAATTCGACCAAGCCATTTCGAGATACAGAAACTCAGGGAGAAGTGACAGGGCGGAGGCAGACGTCCAGGCAGCGAGGCTTTGTCATTCCGAGTTTGTACGGAAAACGACAATGATGCAAACAATCCAACAAGAGAGATTCCAGAAGTATGGAATTATCTCACTCTATATTACAACTATCTCTTTCAACAACAATGATATCTCTTGGTTGAATATTTACCCACGCGAAGCAAAGTCTATGATCTGAGTTACCCATTTAGAATAACTTCGTCCTCAACAGATTCCAAGCTCAGCAGGGCTGCAGCAATCACAGATCAAGCACGATAAACTTCGTCTGATCTGTTGATCAACTGCATGAAATAACAAGGGATGCTCCTGTGACTTGGCCATAGCTTTTCAAGTTTGTCTTCGTAGTCAGAACATTCTCGTCAGGCTCTGTCCCGGAATCCCTATTCCGGAGACCTTGATTCAGCTTTTTCTTCTCACCTCGCAAGGCCGTCCCTAATCGGGTAGCTGCTGTTCCTGCATTTGAAAATGAGGTACCAAATAGCTGATTCGGTGGCAACTGAAATCAAGGCCAGCTTGACCCGTATTGCCGAGTGAGCAGTCAGTAATGGAACTTGGGCACGCTATTGGAGGGATGATCTTGCAGTTGAGGCTGCAAGATGCCTCGCTTAGGTTCTACCAGTTTCCAAGAATGATCCTTGCGTCACAGCTGTTGGTCGTGATCAAAACTCTATCTTGGAAACAGCTGGTTCAGTTGACACGGCTTTTCTACCAAGTTCCCCGACGTAACCGTTTTATCCTTGGCGTTAGATCGAAACAGGACTAGGAGGCTCTTTTCTGCATGTTTCACCGGTAATAACGTATCAAAGTGACAGATCAACTATACCTATCATGTATTTTCCTCCGATGCCATTCGTGTCAAACCGTCGTCAAGTCGGAAGACCCGACGTTGAGGTTAAACTTTATCCGCTCAGACCATGTCTCAACTGGCAGGGATCAAGATGTGAGTCCCCCAGGATAAAGGCCGAATAAGCGGAACCCCCTAAACGGGCATATCCGAGTGAAAATCTCTGAGTCGATCACCACGATTCGTTGTAACCGAGGGGCCACAATCCTTGGTTACAGAAGAGAAAACGTCACTGTTCTATGACCCATTAAGTCATCTGGATATCCGAGCTGAAAACAAGGGTTTGTGATATTTGGATCTGCAATACGTGGGGAATTCGTAAACCTGTGGTCTAGACTCGACCCCCTGTCACAAGCTGTGTTCTCCGATAAAGCATTGATTGGCTCTCGTTGATGCATCAAGACCCTTACAGCGAAATCCAAAATTCCCCCCTTCTCTTCATCGCGAATTTCTTCAATTGAGACAAAGACAAAGCCACCATCGGCCAATTCGCCAAGAGCCCGATGCGATAAATGACTGCCGATGTAGGAGGACAGAATAGGAAATTCGAGTACCCATACCTCCACTGGAAGCTTCAGGCTGTCAATGGGGTTGACAGGTCCCTAAAAAGATTGGGCTTACTGCGCCGCAATGATCGCTACAAGACTCCCTGTCCCGTCGCCTCCTCCTCTCTCCAATGCCGTCTTTCCAGAGGTAGCCCACCCACTTTTTGTTCACCCGAAGGGACACGGACACAGAGAAACATCCCACTTTCAACGTCACCTCGACGACTTCATCTCGATCATCTCCGCCTCTTGATAGATCTCTCCTCGCAGCGGAACGATATATTCATCCATGTCTGTGATCTTGACACTCACAAGCTTCGTTGCGAGGTAACGAACGATGCGGCGACGCATTCTCATCGTTATCTCGAAGCTAATCTGAGCCTGACTCCATTCTCTATCCATTGATCTTGATTCGCGCCAGTCGAACATGGCCGCCAATTGGCATTCCCTCCTCGCGAGAGCGTTTGAGCTACCAGTGGTAAGTTAGGTTTTTCGTCAACTCTAACTCTATTTCCACTTCAAGTGACTGACCATCATCTACTCCAGGAGGGCGATGACTCTCGGGTTGGTTCCACGCGAGATGGTTCCAGTGGCGGTACTCTGAGCTCCAACAATGCTTCAAAATCGTCATCGCTGCAATCTCTTGGTGGAACATTTATACCCGTCATCATCTACTGTGTGGTTTGCATCTTGTTCTTTTCGGTTTTTCGCGTGAAATGCCATCGAGTCTACTCTCCTCGAGCGATACCCAGCTTGCGTTCCCCTCAGTAAGCAGCAAATCTCTCAGCTCTCGATCACTGCTGACAGACAGCCTTGTAGCACGCCCATACCGCCACTTCCCAATGGCTGGTTCAACTGGATCAAGCCATTCTTCAAAACACCGGATACTTTCGTGCTTAATCATGGCTCTCTCGATGGATTCTTCTTTTTGCGATACCTCAAGGTCCTGCGAAACACGTTCCTTGTGGGCATGCTGATTGCTTGGCCAATTCTCTTTCCTGTCCACCTCACTGGAGGCAAGAAACTCACTCAATTGGACATGTTGACAATTGGTATGATTGAGAACAAAAAGCGCATGTTTGCCCATGTCGCTGTTGCCTACTTGTTCTTTGGTAAGTGCCTAAACAACAGCGCTTAATGGCACCGCTAATTGATCAGGCTTTATCCTCTTCACCGTTGTTCGAGAGTGCTTCTACTATGTCGGCATTCGTCAAGCTTACCTCTCGTCTCCTCATTATGCCAAGCGGCTATCATCCAGGACAGTACTCATCACTTCTATCCCTGAGCGATACCTCGACGAAGCTCGGTTGCGGAAACTCTATGGCGATTCTGTAAAACGAGTCTGGATCCCACGAACTGCCAAGGCTCTTGTCAAATTGGTGGAGGAAAGAGAACAAACGGCAAGGCGCCTGGAAAAGGCAGAGATTGCACTCATCAAGAAGGCAAACATAGCTCGAAAGAAGCAACTCGGCAAGAATCCACCATCAACTGCATCCTCCGCCGAACCTTGCGCTGAACCATCTTCTGGAGATTCGAGTTCTTCATGGAGAACTGAACCCAGCAGCGAGGAGCCCCGTACGAGCTCCCCGCGACGTGTCGAGACATCGGAAACTCACGTACAAGAGAACGAGCAGGGAGGAATCCAGGAGCACAAGTCTACACCTGAGGTATCCGAAAGAACTAAGATCAGCCACAACACCCACGATATACTCGAAAAGTCCGCCGAAGACCCCGAATACGTCCACCCCTACGGGCTCAACCCAGATCTCCCCGATGTACGAGGATCAGTCGCCGCTCAATGGCTTTCCGTGACAGCCAGGCCCCACCACCGTCCACTGCACAACTTCTTTCGACGAGTCGACACTATTCGATGGTGTCGCATGAAGCTGAAGGAATTGAACCTCGAGATCTTCAAGCTTCGACGTCAGGTTCGCCGTGGTGATGGACAGACACTCCCTGCTGCATTCATCGAGTTCGATACGCAGGAAGCTGCACAAGCTGCACACCAAGTCGTCGCTCATCATCGGCCTCTTCAGCTCGCTCCTCGTCTTTTGGGCGTTCGACCAAATGAGGTGGTTTGGAGTGCTCTTCGCATGCGCTGGTGGGAGCGCATCATTCGGCGTTTGCTCATCATGGCCCTCATTGCCGTTGCAATCATCTTTTGGTCTATCCCGTCTGCCATGATCGGTATTGTGTCCAACATCAAATTTCTGAGTGGCATCGTGTTCCTTAAATGGATCAAGCTATTGCCCAGTCCTATCCTTGGCTTCCTTCAAGGTTTCATCCCTGCCATCGCTCTGTCATTCTGGATGTCGCTTGTCCCCGCAATGCTGAGATGTAAGTCTACTATTGCCGCTCCCTTGTTACCATCTACTAACTCTCCTAGTTTGTGGTGTCCAAGCAGGGATTCCCTCTTTAGTACTGGTCGAATTGTTCACCCAAAAGGTCTACTTTGCTTTCCAAGTAGTGCAAGTCTTTTTGATCACGACATTGACATCGGCCGCTTCCGCTACGACCATGCAGATTATCCAGCAACCAATGTCGACGCCCAGTCTGCTCGCGACAAACCTCCCCAAGGCGTCAAACTTCTACCTGTCATATATCCTTGTCCAATGTCTGGCCATTGGAGCTACCGGTCTCCTACACATCTTCGAGCTGATCCGACATCACGCATTCGGTAGAGTTGTGCAAAATCCCAGAACTCGCTTCAATGTTTGGTACAACCTTCGCCCTCCTCGCTGGGGTGGCATCTTTCCCATCTACACAAACATGGCGTGCATTGGTAAGTCGTGCAGCAAATCATCCCCTTCCATGCTAACATACCTAGCCTTCTCTTACACAGTTATCGCTCCACTGATCCTCCTCTTCGCATGCGCCGGAATGGCCTTTACGCGCCTCATCTACCGATACAACATTCTTTACGTCTTCGACTCGGAAATGGATAGCATGGGCTTGTTTTATCCCACCGCCCTGATGCAGCTCATCACAGGACTTTACTTGGCCGAAATCTGCATGATTGGTCTCTTTGCCATCAATTTTGCCTTCCCGCCTATGGTGTTGATGCTCATCTTCCTGATATTCACTGTCATCGTACACATGTCCTTGAGAGACTCGATATCGCCTCTGCTGCAGAATCTGCCACAAACATTGGCATTGGAGGAAGAACTACAGGAGCAAGAGAGAGCTGAAGCGGAGGCAAAGCTTCAAGCAGCCGCGGAGTCAGGAGAGGCCAGTGGCGGGACTGCTGCCAGTTACTTCGATACGGAACAGAACTTTGGCGAAGAAGAATTCGAGGACGTGCCGACAGATGACGAAGACGATCAACTACACGAGGGACCACAGAGCTCGAGGGCCGTTGAGGGCGCAGGTGGTCTGAGATTGATGGCCACTGAGTGGATAAAGTCAAGCACTAAAGAGCAATTGAAGAAAGAGGTGCAAGAGTCAGGAGTTAAGAAGTTCTTGGACAGATGGATTCTCCCCGGCGATAGGTCGAACCCGGATCAACCACCGTCCTTCATCCAGCGATTCTTCCACCCCGAGATCTACGAAGACTTTATCGCCTTGCGAAAACTAATTCCCTTCGAAGAACTCGCCGACGCAGATTACTCCGGAGACGAGAAGCTATCTAATTACTGGCCTCCTGAGCTCTGGATGCAAAAACCCGTCTTGTGGATCCCTCGCGACGAAGGCCGCGTCAGTCGCCAAGAAGTTGCACACACGAGAAAGATTACGCCGATCACAGATGTCGGAGCTTCGCTGGACGAGAAGGGATTGGTCGTCGTTGATGTTGAGGCTGCGCCGTTTCCTAGGATGAGACTGGTGCATTGAGCGAGTATGATATACGATAGATCTTGCCATGATACCCTCTTTTGCATATAAGCGTTGGATAATATTGCACTCTAATACATTTACAATACTGACGATTTTGTTCCTGGTGTGCTGGTGACTTCGCCATAGTATGCCCTGTCGTTGGGTTCGCGACCGAGAAAGTTGCTGAGGCTTTTGAGCTCAGGTTGACTTCCTCCTGGTTGAAGAACAAGCTCGCGATATCGTAGACCAGTAGTCTTATCCATTGGATCAGCTTTGAAGTGGCTAACCCATACGTCGGTCGCATACACCTTTGATCTGCGACTCGTTAGCAACACCCCACGACTCTCGCCGTGATGACTTACAAGGCATAAGTAAAATACGCAGCATCGTACGCCCTGAACGGATGCGCAAACGACGCCTGTCCGATACTATCCGCCCTTCCCAACCCCATGATCTCCGTCTTACTCTCATTCCACAACCTCGTCGTATCAACAGCCCCTCCCTCCCCAGCATTATGAATCGTGAGATCAAACAGCGCCAAAAACACCTGATACAGCATCGCATGCGCACCATTAACATGTTTCGTCCTTGCAATGTCCAGCGCCAACTTCTCCGGTAGCACCTCACCCGGCCTTTCACCCTCGTTCTTAGCGTTCCAGAACGTTAGGTACTCGGAGGATAAGTACGAGTAGTGTTTGCCCAGGCGTTGGAGCACGGAGGGAACCCAGATCCAGTTCTCGAGAAGAATGCTGGGGATCTCGACGAAATCGCGCGCGCAGCCGTGTTGGTGGTTGGTGTGTGTCACGAGTTTGTGGATTGCGTGGCCGAGTTCGTGAAACATTGTCTTTAGCTCGGAGTGTAAGAGGAGAGTTGGCTGGGAGGGCGTGTGGAGGAGGGATGTTATTAGTGATGAAGAGGGATAATGGCGTTTGTTCTCCGATGTTACAAAGCCCTGAAACCGTCAGTAAATAATTCCGTTAGCTGTGCTTGGGGGACCTACAGGTTGGATGAGAGAGCTATGCGCACCAGCGTACTTCCCCTCTCGTGCATAAAGATCGAGGTATAGATACCCAAGAAACTCACCACCTTGGTCCTCAGCATTCCACGCTTCGTAGACAGTGACATCCTTCTGCCAAACAGGCGCATCGGTAGGTATAAATACCATCCCAAAGATCTCCTCAAAGATCTTCAGCATGCCCTTCAAACTATGGTTAACCTCAAAATATTCCGAGATGAGAAGTGAATCAACAGAATATCTCTCCTTCTCCAGAATCCTCGCATAGAACGCCCAGTCCCATGCATTCAACCTCTTCACGTCCTCTCCATCCTCATCCGTGCCGTTATCTCGAATGTAAGCCTTTTTAATGTCAAACAACGTCTTCATTTCTTCATCTGCGAGAGGTTTTAACTCTGTTCTTAGCTTGTTCAGCATTTCCATGACGCTCTCAACACTCTTTGCCATTTTATCTTGCATTTTGAGCTCGGCATGGGTTTTGAAGCCTAGCATTCGCGCTGTGCTGTCGCGCAGCTCAACAGCGCGCTCAAGACGGATTACGTTCTCGGGAAAACGGCTTTCTTTTGCGATGTTGTATGCTTTGCGTGTGCTGGCACTGGTGGCGTGTTTCATGATTGAGATCATGTGGCCCTTTTTGAAGGTTGCTTTGAGGTGCCCGTCGTCATTGGTCTTCATTGCGTCGAGAATAGAGGTTGGTACACCGTTGAGTTGTTCCCGTGTAAAGAATATACCCTCGTCGGATTCACTAATTGTCTTGCGCGCTGCAACGAGAACTTCATTTCGTTCCTGTACAGCAGCCTTGTACTGTTCCCTCACATCCTCATCCTCAATGCCTGCCCCAGTGTTCTGATACGCTCTATGCGTCTTGAACAAAGTATACGCATCTTCCTCTTCCAACTTCTCCCCCCCATTCTGATGCTTTTCATAAACAGCTTTAACAAGAGCAGCTATATCTCTCCTCATGAGGGCTTCAGAATTGGCTTTAAGAAGCATTTCCTCTGCTGTACGTGATGCATCGCGGAGATCCTTATCTTCTGACACAGAGCTGAAGAGACGAATGATGAGGGTTTGTTTAGATACCGCGTGATCATCGTTCAGCATGGGAGTGAGTAGGTTGGAAAATGTTGCTGTTGATGGCGTGAGGGTTGATGAGAAGGCGTCTTCGAGGGCGGCGGTTGATGAAATGAGGGAGGATGTCTGGGAGAGGATGGCGGAGGGTGTTGTTGTGAATGAGGGGGGCAATTGGGGTGGTTTTCGAGACATTTTGTGAATGTGACGAAGTGGGATTTTTGAGAACAGAAGAGGGAGTCGTTGCGGGTGGGCGAGAAGGGGGAAGAGTCTCATGAGTGATGTTGGAGATGTTGAGTTTTGGAAGCGCCAAACTGCGGGGCTGGTGTTTTGCTGAAGATCCATCAAGAAACAGCCAAAGAAGCACAACAGCTCAACATTGCTCTATATACAAATAGTAGTCTTCGATAATGCCACCTTTCAATTTTCAGGCTTTTATTTGATTCCCTATCAGTTTGCATCGCACGCTTAGGTCTCAAACTCCTGGTAAGTGAGGCATTCTGCATTTGTCCCAGCTTACACGGCAAACTTACGGAGCATGATTAACAGCAATCATAAACCTTCAGCGCAAACATGGACATTGTGGATGTCTACACGAAGACTTTGTGACCTCTTTTATGGTGCACAATTGAAATCTAATACAAACCAAACATTATATTCCCTACAGTGGCAGTATGATCTCGATCGTTTTGCGCCAATGTGTTTGGGTCACTATTTACCCTGTATCTGTACCCCCATCCTAGGTTCTGTGTAATAACATGACGCTTCATTCTATAACTTGTATATGAGGTTACTGTTGGAATGGTGTTTCATCAGAGCGAGATACTCAGTTGCATTATGTAGCCAAGTTCATCTGATATTGTGTTCCATTCATGTCAAGAGTATATAACTTCACCGTCGCCTAGACTGTCCTACAACCGCCAACACCATTGCTCATTTTACAACTATACAACCAACCCAAACACTTCCAGAACTTTACTGCATAACCAAGACGTTCCTGAACCGAGGCTTTCCAGCCTGGAGGCTCTCAACTGCATCCTGCACCTTATCTAAAGGATACTTCTCAATCATGCACTTCACCCCATGAATCATGGAGAAGCGAAGAGCCTCCTCGCTATCGAGAGCATGACCACTAGGCCAGCCTACAACACTTGCACCCTTCAAAACCAGTGACATTGTATCAATCTCTGCTGGGCCAACAGGCGCAAGACTAAGTAGCTTGCCCTCGGCAGCGAGACCATTGACGAGTGGTGCCACAGCCTTGGGGTTAGGTGCTGTTTGGACAATGATGGCTGCACCGCCGAGCTTGGTAAGTTCTTCAGCTGGGTCGCTCTTCTTGGTGTTGATATAGTGATGAGCGCCGAGTTGTTTGGCAAAGTCGGCCTTATCGTCGCCTGACGAAAGAACAGCGACTTCATAGCCCATCTTGTTGGCGTATTGAACAGCCAAATGGCCAAGACCACCAAGACCTTGAACCGCAACGAGATTTCCCTGCTCAACATGCAACTTGCGGATACCATTGAATACAGTAACACCAGCGCAAAGGAGAGGAGCAGCCTCAGCAGCATCCATCTCCTTTGGAACACGAACAACAGCCTCCGCTCTCAAAAGCACATACTCCGCAAACCCACCATCACGGCTCACACCATTAATCGCCTTGTTATCGCACATCTGGAACTGAGCGCGCTGACACTGTCGACAAGTTCGATCATGACCACCGTGCCAAGGTCCACCGACACGGTCGCCGTTCTTAAAGTTCTCAACGCCTTCGCCGACTTCGACTACGTCGCCAATGATCTCATGGCCGGGCACACGGGGGAAGACATCGCCCATGTGACCGGTGCCGAGAGCTACGTCGGAGAAGCAGACGCCGCAGGCGAGGACCTTGGCGAGGATTTGGCCTTTGGAGGGGTGTTTGAGGGGGACGTCGCTGAGAGTCCATGATGCGTTGGCTTTGTCGAGGACACAAGCCTTGTAAGTCTGGGGAAGAGAAGACATGATTGATGTTTAATTGACTTTTAATTGAGACTTATCAATTGATCGATGAGATTGTGATGATATGAGAGTCTCAACGAGGAGAAAGCAACAACTTATATATAACGCCCTCAACGCCCATACCTCAAAGAGCGTCTACACTAGCGATGCATCATATCTAGCTCAAGGTGCATTTCCCTCCATTGGCGATTGGCTAACTCCGTTCTCCGATAAGGAAAGTTTCAGCGCATCATGGCAAGCGGAATAAACTCAACTGTCGCAAAGATCCGAGTGTCATTGGACAATTCCCGGATTTAGGGCGTTGACAATTACATCACCCGGCACTTCAGCCGTGCCGTTCTTGGTGTTGATCTCGGGCATGTGTAAAGCCGCCGTAAATGGATATCGGAAATGCAGTCATCAATTCTTCCAAAACCGATGGCCCCTCATTGGTCGGTAATTAATCCGAAAGCTGGGATGATCCGAAAGCTGGAGGTCAAGCCACAGTTCAGCCACATCTGAAAATTTCCCCCACCATCGAGGTCAAGCAGCATTTCGCGATGCGCAAAGCTCCAAGTAACAGTAGATACTTCATTACCGCAAGATGCCTCTCGATACGTCAACATACTCATTAGCGCTCCTGCGCGTCGACGGAAGAAGATGGAACGAACTCCGTCGTCTGCATGCTCAAATCCGAACTCAAGATGCTGCTGACGGTTCATCATATCTTGAAATGGGCCATACAAAAGTCATGTGCATCGTGACAGGCCCTTCAGAGCAGCAGGTTCAAAGACGTGGTGGACAGCAAGCTCCTCGCGACACAGCAGCTATCAACGTCAATGTTGTCGTAGCGGGTTTTTCGAGCGTGGATCGAAAGAAGAGAGGGCGCAATGACAAGTGAGTTTGAGTTTCTTGCTGTACAGTGGAAGACTTGAAACTAATTTGTTTAGGCGCATACAAGAGATTGAAACGACGATTGCGAATGCGTTTACTTCGAATTTACATACACACCTGTTTCCTCACTCTTCCATCACAATCTCGCTTCACGTTCTATCGCAAGACGGATCCCTCCTCGCCGCTCTTCTCAACGCAACGACCCTCGCCCTCATCGACGCTGGTATTCCAATGACAGATTACATCGCCGCCTGCACAGCAGGATCGACCTCAACATACGCCGCGGGCGACGACACAGCCGATCCTCTCCTTGATCTAAACAACCAAGAAGAGCAAGAACTACCCTTCTTGACAGTCGCGACACAAGGTGATACCGATCAGGTTGCTGTACTTGTATGCGAGAGTCGTGTGCAAGTTAGCAGGTTGGAGGGAATGTTGGTCGTCGGTGTGGATGGTTGTAAGCAGGTAAAGCAGTTCTTGGATCAGGTTGTTAAGGATAAGGGTGCTGAGATGGTGAAGGAGGGTGCGGTGGAGAAGAACGATGCTATGGGGATGGATTTGGATGATTAGATACCATGTGCATTGGGTCATAGAAGTGTTTGGAGTTATTTGTTTGATCTGCTATATGACAGGTATGTCTTCGCTATCGAGGCTATAGTCACAGACTAATTGTAAGATTTAAGGGATTCCCTCTATAGCTCCTCGTGCTTGATCTCCTCCTTGGTCTTGGGCTCAGCTTCAGACTCAGCAACAGGTTCAGCTTCGGGCTCAGGGGTCTTTGCCTCGGCCTCAGCTTCGGCTGGAGTCTCGGACTCGATCTCAGCCTCGGTCTCAACCTCAGTCTTGGCTTCCTTAGGACCATCAGTCTCGATCTCAGGCTCGGGGTCAGTAGCTTGAGTAGACTTCTCGGCAGCCTCAGTCTTTTCGACAACAACACCCTCGGGGATCTTCTTCTTGGCACCCTCGCCCATGCGGATAGCATCAATCCAGTTCTCAACGCTGGCGAGGCTAAAGTCGCCTTCGTACTGGCGCCACCAGTTGCGGCGGGTATTGATAGCGATCAGGTTGACCTCGTTCTTGAGACCAAGGGCCTTGGGAAGAGTTGAAGCGGCGTCGCTGTCGCTGGGAACAGCGATGATGGGGAATGTCTTGCGACCGCCGTGGACGTACTTGGTGTTGAGGTGGGAAAGTGAGTCGACTGCCTTCTCACCAGCTTCACCAGGAGTGAAGACAAGAACACAAGTGTGAGACTTGGGAGCGAGACACTCCTCGGCGAGCTTCTCCAGACTAGAGATAGTAGAGATAGGAATGATAGTGGGAACTGCTTCGGCAGCCTCAGTGGAAGACTCCTTTGGCTCAACGGGCTCCTCCTTTGCAGCCTCGGTAGCCTTGCTCTTCTTGGCACTCTTGGCGCTCTTGGACTCAGCCTTCTTGGGCTTGGAGCTCTTGGTGTTGCCAGTGGCGTGAACGGGGTTAGGCTCTCCAGCCTGTGAGAGAAACTTGACCATATCCTTCTTGACCATCTCACCGTTGTAGACAATAGGATCCTTGCCTTCACCGGGGATAAGAACAAGAGCGGGGAACTTCTCAATGCCAAACTTCTTAACCGCAGCTGTCTCCTTATCACGGATCTGGGCCACCGAAATAACATCAAGGAAGTCAATGGCAATGCTTCGGATCAAAGCACTAGTCGTTCCCTTTGAAGTGAAGAGGATAGCCTTAGGTTTATCACCCTTGAGGAAAGAGTCAAGATCCTTGTCGCTCACACGCGTAACATGGTTGTTGATCTTGCTCATGACAGCCTCTTGAATAGCACCTGCAGTTCGTTGACCCTGGTAATCCTCAACAACAGGGTTACCAGTCTTCTTTCCAGGACGAACGATCTTGAGAGTGGGGAAGCCCTGAACACCCATGCCACCGCAGAACTGCTTGTTGGACTCCTCATCACAGTCAATGGCAGCGACTTGAGCGAGACCATCGAGGTTCTTGGCGGCCTTTTCGTAGGCGGGCTTGAGGTTCTGACAGTGGCCGCACCATGGGGCGTAGAACTCGACAATCTATGATGTGTAAGTGGCGATAGTCAATTATGAGGGGGGGAAAGACTTACAGAGGTGTAGTTGGACTTTGCAATGAGCTTATCGTAGTTGCGAGCGTTGACCTGAAGAACGGGTGAGTTCTTGGTGTAGATCGCAGCTTGAGCCTCTGGCAGAGCCGCAAGGGCAGCTGTCAAGGTCACCAAGAGCGAGGTGGGGTTAGGCATGGTGAAGTATCTCTCAAGTACAATAAAACAAAAAAGAGATAATATTTAATGGTATCTTTGTGGAATAGAATCACTTCTACAGTGTTCCGTACTGAAAAGATGAAGTTATAGTTGCCTGTTGGTCCTCGTCAAGAACAAAGTGGCATCTTCTGGAAAAGGAAAGGAAAAAGCCACGGTAACAGACCTCCAAAAAGTGAAGCCAGGGTCTCTGATTCGACAGTTTGAGCTCGAGCCACAAGTGGCGTGAGCTGATCGAATCCGGGGAACTGGTGGCTGTGCGCCGCTAACCTTACGTCAATGGCCCAGGCAGACAGAAGAAGAGGAGGAGAGGTGGGGTGCATGATCTCCAAGACAACTTGACTTGGATGTTGGCATTAATTTGCGCCATCTTGACTCGACCCTCACCCTCTACGCTTACAACTGTGAGGTTACTTGGGGATCTTTAGATACTATATCATCATGGCAGAACCTCTTCCAGCTGCGCTCAAAATCCCTGAAGTCAGTCGCTTCATCAATCGCGCAAATCAGCTGAGAAGCATCAAGCCCGCCATCGCATACTGGTGTAGGCAACAACCACAAACCTCACTCAAGAAAATCGCTGATAATCTCTCACAGGTGAATACCATGCGGTAAACCAAATCGTGGGCAAGAGCCTGCATACCACCGACGACGATACCTTTGAGTTCACAAAGACACTGATCGAACGCCTCGAGGCAACCAAGACGGAACGAGCTGATGATGATGCGATCGTGGATAACGCTGCGGGACAAGCTTATGTTGAGCAATTCGCTCAGCAGACGTTTGAACGAGCTGAGCGCACTATGCGCGCTAACAAGGTGACGAGGTATGTCGTCCTCGCCAGGTTACAGGGGCGCAACTGACAGATGTAGACAAACCGCCGACACATTCGACGCTGCTGCGACGTTCTTCGACCTCACCCGCGAATGGGGTGAGCCTGATCCCGAAGTCGTCAAGAAGATCAAATTCGCCAAATGGAACGCTGCTCGAATCCTAAAGGCTATTCGCGAGGGCAAGGATCCCAACGAGACGAACCCCAATGCCCCTGAGCCTGAACCAGAAGTTGCCCTCGATCCCTCCGATCCTGAAGTCCAACTCCTATCTGGAGCCCCCCGCGCTTCGGTTGAGGATGCACCAGATGCCGGAGAACCACCTAGTGTTCCTACCTTCACGGATGCGCCGCCTAGAATTCCAGATGACCCTGGGTATTTCCCTCCTCAACCAGAGCACCAGCCCCAGGCGCCGGAGCCATTCGTCCCATCGCCTTTGAGTCAGAGTCCTACGCCAGGTCTATCTGGCGGTCCTCCTCCTCCTCCACCCGTTGGTCTACCACCTGCTGTGTCTCCTGTGCCAGAGTCCCCAGCACAGCCTGCGACACAGATCCCTCCTCAGCCATCACCTCAAATTCCGACCAAGCTTCCCTCACAATTTGCTCCTCCCCCGCCTGAACCATTCACCCCTCCAGCACCTCCATCCTGGACAACAACTCCGAGCGCCCCTCATCCTGCTGCGTCAAACCCCGCACCTGTGATTCGTCAGGCCCCTGCTCCCCAGCCTCCAGCTCCAGCTCCAGCGCAGACTACCGGTTTTGCAACAGATCAACGGGATATCAACCAGGCGCAGAAGCACGCCAAGTGGGCGATATCCGCACTTAACTTTGAAGATGTTCCCACTGCGGTTCAGGAGCTGCGCAATGCACTTAGAATGCTTGGGGCTCAGTAAGACAGTTTGTTAGTGTTTTGGATTCACGAAGCATAGATGAGAACGATACCACGAGTTGAAATAGCATGAAAGAGCTACTAAAGTGTTCATCTTATGAAAAAGGCTAAGAGTGTATGTGTTATCTGCTGCATACCAGTATAAAAGTCCGCTACGTAAATCTCATTTGAGCCAAAGCTCTCCGTCGTGTGAATCGTACACTTAGGCCAAAGCCAGTAAACCATGAGCCTCATATCCGGGATGAGGAAACCCTTCAGGATAGCCCACCCTCTGGGTTTCATCTTCTTCGTCAACAGATGTGTCCGTCCATCCTCTCTCAGGACCCCATTCAATGGCTAGGCCAGCTTCGTTGACGACGCCCATGAGACCCTGCATCATATCGCCAGACTTCTTGACACTAGTCCAACCGTCGAACTGGACGGTATGAACGGATGGCAGAGCCTCTAAGACATCGGTAAGTAGATTCCGGCTGAAGCCCTCGTAGAATCCATCTGAGCGACGCCAACCCTGGAAGATGTTGTCGCTGGGGTCGCACTCCACAAACACGTTCAAGCGCTCAACATCAACACAGTCGGAGAGCCCCAGCGCGGGGTTAACAACCCATCCCCTGGGTGGCGCATTCCATCCCGGGCCAAGTCTTAACTCAAGCGACGTAACACACTTGCGCTGCTGTGGCTTCAACCTCGCCAGCAGAGGCTTCTTGCTCTTGAAGTATTTTCCAGGGTACGTCGGAAACAATCGAAACGTCCGTGTGCTATAAAACGCAAAAGTCGCCTCATCATGAACCTGTCTGCAAACGCGCATAAGACCTAGTTTCTTATGCACGCGCTTATAATTCTGAGGACCGAGATCTAAAAGCGTATCGACATCGTCGAAGAAGTATGTGTAAATCTGAATGCGCACTTCGGCGGGAAGTGAGAGAAAGTGAAAAGGGGTTTTTGGGACTCGGCGTTTTGGGCGGAGAGGAATGAGAGGGACGTCGAGGGTCAAGTCGGCGATGTTGATCTTGTTGACATCTTCTTCTGTGACGGCGGGCGCAGGGTCTGCTGGAGGTGCGCTTTTGGTTGAAGGCATCACGATGCGTATTGAGCCAGCTGGACGGGAGCTCAGCGCTGGGCGAGACGCTGAGCTCTTGCTCGATCGTCGGGCCATGGTGAGTGGTTGTGAGTATTAAGTGGCAAAGAGGAGAATTTCGACGATAACGAGAATTGAGGTGGGTAGGTAGGGCTGAAGGAGATGACAAAGGGCGTAGGCTAATTGTCGAATGGTGAAGGGTTTCGTTTAGTTTCGAGAAGTGAGGTTTGTCATGAGGGTGGGTATCATGGTGTAGAAGCAATCGATGAGAAAGCACTTTAGAAAGGCGGCATCAACTTGGTCTCGGGTAGCTAGTCGGAATAATCGGGGACTACTTAGATCGTGGCGAAAAAAAAAAAGGAATATCTTTTGTGAAGAGAAATTCTTTTGCTAGAGAGAAATCGTCGGAAGACTCTCGATGTCACAAGCGAAGCGATGGAAATGAGATAAGGAATAGAGAAGCGCTTGCACTGTTAAATATCGTCTTCTTGTTTGAGAATGTCATCAACTTCAATGGCCAATTCACTGAACAAGGGTCTTTACTGGGCATCATGGAGGGGTTAATGATCGGAGGGCGACCGGAGCTGATGTCCCGATTTCACGTGAGCGATAAGAGAATATGACGCCATCGGCCTATCAAAAGTCCGTGCCACTGAGCACGGCTAATCCGCGGTGTCTTCCCTCAAGATGCTCCACTTTGGAGCAGAACCGTGCGATTTTTTTCCACGGCCGACGACGCCATGCCATTCTATGGCGGAGTATCAGACCAACTTCGTCAAGCTGCACGTCAACACCCCAGGCCATTGAAGTTGGATCCTTCACCATCGAAACCGCCAAACAACTCCTCCAGCCACAGCGGTTCAGTTCCTCTCCCTTCGCTATGCTGTCCAGAGTAGCCCAGGCTTCGCGCTTGGGCTTGATGACAGCTCGTCTGTCACGGCCCGTCGCATCTCCTTCTCTCCGAGCTCTTCCCGCCGTCGCTCCTCAATTTGCCTCGCCATGGATCCGAACATACGCCAAGAAATCCTCCTCTCAACAAAACAAAGATTCGAAACAGAAGCCTTCCCAGGCGCAAAACGATGCTGAAAACGTCGAGAAGCCTGCTGAGAATGACGTCGACAAGGCTGGCGAGAAGTCTACCGAGGCTCCGAAGGAGGGGGAGCAAATACCTTTCCACAAGCTACCCGATCTGACACAGGGTATTCCTTCGACACTGTTTGAGGAGATGGGTGGTGATAAGAAGAAGGAGCAGAAGGAGCAGAAGGAGCTGCAGGAGATGGAGGAGGCTGAATCTAGTGGCGGACGTGAACGATCGGAATATGTCTCTACGTCTGAGCGAAATCGCAAGTGGTGGACAAGATTCATGCTTATTGCGACTGCTGCCGGTGGAACTCTGAGCGTTCTATACATGGGCCGAAACTGGGAAGACACCATTGAAGCTGAGCGTCACTCTGACATTCCTAACGGCCCTGGCCTTGGTTTGTGGTGGAAGCGCGCCAAGACCCGTTTGACCGAGTCTGTCACTTACTACCAAGAGCCTGCATTCGAGAAGCTCCTCCCCGATCCCGATCCTTCGTTCGAGCGCCCTTATACACTCTGTCTGAGCTTGGATGACCTTCTCGTTCATAGCGAGTGGTCCCGTGAACATGGCTGGAGAATTGCAAAGCGACCTGGTGTGGACTACTTCATACGGTATCTTAGTCAGTACTATGAGCTGGTCCTTTTCACCTCTGTGCCGTTTGCAACTGGAGAGCCTATCATGAGGAAGTTGGATCCTTTCCGATTAATCTTGTGGCCCCTCTACCGAGAGGCTACCAAGTTTGAGGATGGAGAGATCGTCAAGGTAAGCGTCCTCAATAGCTATTAATGTTCTTGCGCTAACAGCTTAGGACCTTTCTTACCTCAACCGTGACTTGAAGAAGGTCATCATCATCGACAGCAACCCCAAGCACGTCCGCAACCAACCTGAAAACGCCATCATCCTTGAACCCTGGAAGGGTGACCGTAACGATAAGGAGCTCGTGAACCTTATTCCCTTCCTCGAGTACATCCACACCATGCAGTACGACGACGTTCGCAAGGTCCTCAAGTCTTTCGACGGCAAGCACATCCCCACCGAATTCGCCCGTCGTGAAGCCATCGCCCGAAAGGAGTTCCAGGCCAAGCAACTCGCCCACAAGCAAAAGCACGGCTCTGGCGTCGGCGCTCTAGGCAACCTCCTCGGTCTCAACCCCAGTAACATGAGCATGATGGTCTCCCCCGAAGGCGAGCAAAACCCCGCCGAGGCTTTCGCACAGGGCAAGATGCTACAAGACGTCGCCCGCGAGCGCGGCCAGCGCAACTACATGGAGCTCGAGAAGCAGATCCGCGAGAACGGCGAGAAGTGGCTGAAGGAAGAAGCCGCGATGATGGAGGCGGCCCAGAAGGAAGCTATGAACAGCATGATGGGCTCGTTCTCTGGCATGTTCGGAGGCGGCAACCCACCTGAGAAGAAGGCCTAGAAAAGGGGGGCCGCTGAGTGAGGTGGCAAGCACATCTCCACTAATTAATGTCTTGTAATTTTTTACGATAGGGGATCTCTGTTACAAAATACCATACTTCAGATTGGGAAGAGGTCTTATAGAAAAAGCATGGAGGGATGCATCCTTGATGATTTGGGGCATTTGGTGTAAGAGTGAAGAGGGGCTTTGTATATTAGGTGTATGCTGGGGGATGAATATGTAAAAATATGATGTTACAAGTAAAAGTTATGAGATAGGATTGAAGCAATGTGCTACCGCCTCCTTTACTGTTGCCGTGATGTTTTCGGCTGTCTTGGGCTCTGGGAGTGACTTGTGTTTGTGTATTGAGTATTGGAGTGAGCCGTCAATGTTTACTTAAACTTCTGTCTAACTGACAGCTGAGAGCTGACGCGTGTTGCGCGCCTCACCTCGCGTCGTCATCGTGAAGCTATCACGAAGACATCCCGGCCTGGAGAATGACAGACTTTGACAGACTTTGACATTCACCTATAACACTAATCCATGCGATCGTTCTGCTATTGCTTAAAACTCCCCATTTGTCACCGCAGCCTCGAAGTTAATCGCATGATCGTCCCCTCAAAGAAACACCTTGGGAGTGGATCGTGTCCCCTTTGCAGAACTATAATGAGTGGGCAACAGCGGGAAGTCAATCCGTGAGGCTATTCACGATTCACTTTCACCAATCAGAGAAAACCCCCCTAGATCTGTATTGGTCCAACTATAGACGATACTGAGGGGACCAATGATTGCGAGATAGTGACTTTTGTTGCGATACATGGAGGAACTGGGAGGGGGAAGAGTCTTTAAGTGATCGGTCTGTGTTGTCTTGAAGATATGCACTGTGACATCCCATTGGCATATTGACGTTTTGACGTCTCGATCCATCGCCTCTCAATTGAAGAGGTGTTACTGCAGCCCACGAGAAGGAAACAGCCAACTCTGTTCCTCGCCTTCCCAATTATCATCTATAAAGGCCACACCTCCTCCTACACCCCCTTCGTTTCTTTTTCCCTGCTCCATCATCATCAGCATCACAAATCACCCCTTATCAATATATTTTCCCACACCATCTTAGTTTTGTCTCCCAGTCACGGGCCTAAAGTACACATATCACACTCACCCCACCTTTCAAGATGTGCTCTTTTCTCATCCGCGACAAAAACGCAGAAGCTCGTGACAAGAACCAGTTCAAGTATCGTCACACCAATTGTGTTTTCAACCCCCCGGATGGTAAATACATCATCCGAAGTGATCCCGTGGAATGCCTTATAGCCGGCCAACGTCAATTCTGGCAGGCTGGACCCCATGCTATCACACATAAACCAAGGGCCACCATTGACCACAGTGCCAAGCCCACCTTCAAGACGGTCAACTGGAGTGGCGGGGCCGGCGGGGGACACCAGTTGCGAAAGAAATCTCCCCTGGGCACGGTTCGTTACGAGTCTAATAGCCCCAAGCCTGTCTTCAAGACGGTTAACTGGAATGGCGGGGGAAACCCGGTGCGATCGGAATCTCCCCGCGGTACGACTTTTCGGCTTGTAAGTAGACCAAGACGTGTTGAAATGATAATGGATATGTGCTGATACTTGAGAAGTAAGTGAGCAAGCCCACTTACACGACCACGCTCCCTAGAGTCTGACGCCATTTCGTGACATATCTGATAATGCTATGCACAAGCCTTATCAAGGAGGGGGGTCCAGGCTCTGTAATGCTGGATCTGGATCTGTTTTTCTTTTTTAGTAAACGGGAGAAGATGGTTATTGGCCTCGGTGATGGGATAGAGGCGGGAAAGTTACTAAGTTCTATGGGATATCATCATAAGCTTAGGGATATTAGGATGAGGCTAAGGGCTTCAGAAGCCAAAACTTTACTAAGTTTCAGACTTCAGTGTATCACTCTGAAGTGTGATAACCGACACACATTCACACATAAGGGCTATGCACTCTTTGCTCTCACTGATGCCTAAGACTTCGTTGTGGAATACAGTCAAAAAAGGCTAATACACATCGCCAACAGTGCATTGTTACTAGTAATCTATCACCCAAAGATCCCCTAGCCAAAAGACCAGAGCGATGGAGAATTACCTAGATACCTAATCCCTAACAAAAACGGGCCAAAACTACTGCAAGCTAGGACTGCCTCAGTCTTCCGAAGTTAACACTTGTTGTACGGCTACAGGAGGAGCTATAAAGTGTAAGAATAGGCGACCAATGATGAAGCAAGATGATCGTGGTTACCAAACGCGTCTGATTTGTTGACGCGGAAGTCATTCCAAGATAAAAGCCCACGGTTCCTCCTCTTGACTTCCCTGCTCCTCTTTCACATTTTCTTTTCTTGTATTTTTTCTTACCAATTCTCGCCCCAATCTCCATCTTTGCCTGATCGTCAACGCACAATATCACACGATTGAAATACCTAAGTTTTGCGTGGTGATTGATATAAGGTCTCAGCCACAGGTCTCAGCTGCAAACAATACATCTAACTCACAACTTAGACCAACATTCCTCACAATGTGCTGTGGCAGCTCCAAAGATGTGAAGCCGGTTGCAGAGCGAACTCCTCAGAACATGGGAGGTATGTTTCGTAACAAGCACTTTCCTATGTATCCTGCGGAGTATGCAGAGGACCGCTTTCGAAGGGCCGAGTACCAGTCGGTAAAGTACAAGAGTAGGTTGAAGAGCCAGCGGAACATCAAGGGCCTCGAGTAAGCACTACCATGATATTCACTTTATCAAAGAGTCGAGTGGGCTAACAGTATTCCAGGCCGTTCAAGGGATTTCCACTGCCCGGCGAGTCCGGTGCCTCAGGGTCAGGAAGCTCAGGACGCTCATCCCCCGCCCCAGTCATGTCGGTGTCAAGCAAAGCCCGTGCCTCAGCAAGTCAGTACCCAAACGTACCGCTCGGAAGCAAGCGCCCTTCCATAGGGCGCTTCGACAGGACCCCTGCCTACGGCTGGGGAAACGGATTAGAAGCTCCGAAATGGTCGTCTCAACATCCTCATCAAGAATCGAAACGACAGAGGAGAGCAATGAAACATTTCTCAGACTACTTATAGACTGAGTTTACCTAAACCATCTCGTCTAAACTACTATAAGTTTACTCAAGCTCTTTTGTCGCTTAGGATAAAGATCCTAAATTTAAATCTTGCGTCCGCTTACCCTACCACTTGACCAACAAGATCAAGCCGAGAACCCCTCAATACTCTCCACAAACAACTTAGCTACCAAAGCATGTACCTCTTTAACGGGATGGTATTCATCGAAGAAGATATGCTTCTCCGGATCACTGCATAAATGTCGTGGAACACCCTCGCTCGTATAAACGCCCGTGAGACAGGCAGTCGGAGGATTAACATAGTCTTCATCGAACCCGTACGCCTCGGGATCCGAAAACATGTCGTTGAATAGATCCTGTACGTCGATCACTGCGGTTTTGGCGTATGCTGAGTATCCTGCTGCAATCTGCTCGAGACCCTTTGTCAAGGCGGGGACGTAGTCTTGCACGCTGGGGATGTTGTAGGTTGAGGAATTATATGTTGCTGGAAAGGTCGTTGCGTTGAGATAATTTGCTAAGATGATAGTCTTTGCACCTGTATTGAATCAGAATATGACTTATGAGCTTGAAGGGAGGTCTTACCGGCTTGATATAATCTGTTGACGTTCTCGTTGATCAAACTTGTGATCTGCCCACCAGTAATACTTGTGTTGAAAAGAATATCATTGGCACCAATCCAATGAACAAAGATATCACCAGCCTGAGGTTTATCCCAAGATAGAAACGACAGAACTTGATCGGCAGCTGAAGGCACAGGAATCGTCGACTCAGCACCTGTACCTCCAGCGACGAAATCATTGTTCGTAGTCGCTCCACCCGTCGCGAGGTTGATGAGCTCAAGATTCAGCTGCTTGGCCACTACATCGTTCCATTTCGGTCCATTACTGTTCAGAATCAGTATATAACCTCAATAGAGAAGAACAAAACTCACGAGAAAGAGTGGTGGTAGTATGCTGGATCAACAGGCCAAGTCCCATTGCTCACGACCCAAGAACCATTCCCGTTATCGCTGAAACTATCACCAAAAACGATAAGCCTGGAAAACTTGGCAGGGTGATCAACGGGATACGCATGTGCCAAAAAGCTGCCGTAAAGGCCTGTCAGCAAAGCGCTGAACATTTTCATGGTTGATGAAGATGAAGTTGGTAGCTTGGGATTTTTCAAGGGATGGGGTTGATAACCTCGGCAAAAAGCCACCGACGGTGGGAATGTCTTGTATTCATATAAACAACATTTCTCTGCCACAATATGACGCCCAAAAAACTGAGGACCTGATTGGTTACTCTGACATTGGGCTTATTGCTTATCAAGAAAATGAATCCTACGATATTTCGTCATGCAAGTTTGCGTCCATACGAATGCCCGGGAGGTTTTGGCCGGGATGTTCGGCAGTGAGATTGTTGCGATAGTTTGGGTCGATCTTATAAGCACTACGACTCAAAAGCTCTAAGTTTTACCAGAGCTGTTCCAATGAAGTTGAATTTATCATCATTAATGGTATCCTTCTCATCTGGCTGGTATTCCGCCTCAGCTTGAGATGCGTCCCACGTTCATAGGAAGTCTCCATCGCCCAGAAAACTAAACAACAAAGCCTCAGTCTCTTCATCCATAATCATATTCCCCGTGTCAAAACTCTCCGCCGCCGTCGGCGTCCCAACATATCCCTGCGCCATAGCCTTCGAGCTCTCCCCAACCTTCCTACAGATATCAATCAACTTCCCCCTCATCTGATTAAACATAGACGGCAAATATCTCGGCGGCGTCATACCCGCCCCCTCACTCATAGCGCCCTCAATCTTGACCGCCAGCCTTTCCAGCGTCGACGTGAAATCGTGTATGCCCGTGACGAGGTTCGGATCCCAGAGGGTGGAGTGTGTAACCAATAGTCGGGAAAACATGTTTATGCAGTGTCCCATTTGGATCCAGTAGGTGTACGGCATGGAGAGGATGGTGGGGGATGTTAGGAGTAGGAAGTTTTCGATTACGGCTTTGACGGCGTTGAGACATGATACGAGAAGATAGGAGCAGCGGAGGGCGTGAGGGGAGGGGTCGGCGGCGGGGAGGAGGGTCGGGTCGGTTGGTTCGTGGAGGCGTTCGTCGATGCCGATTTTGTAGAGGTAGACTTGGAGCATGTGGAATGACATGGTCAATGGTGCTACTGAAGGTTAGATCCAGGTACCGAAGAAGTTTCAAGCTGCTGTATTACCTTGTAGACGGGATCCTTGGTGCAGAGTTGCTCCGAGATCTTGTACCTGCCTCTCCACATGCGAGGTTGCCATAAATAGCGTATGTGAGATCTGTGCCTCGTTTCTATCCAAGTCTTGGTACAGCGTTGCACTGATAGAACTAGCAACGAGTTGTATCCTCACTAGTTGAACAAGATATGTGTCCCAGGGAGATTCCAAACCTGCTTCGAGAATTGAGCAGCTATTGTTGATGGAAGGTCGTGAGGGCATCGGTACAATGTCTTTGACACAAATCCTTAGTCTAGATCAGGTTAGTTAGCATATTAAGATTATATGGTGGCTCTCTCTTACAAGGAATTCAACCAAAAGACTCCCAGGTGACATCTTCTCTCATCACTTGTCCTAACAGGCTGAGGCTCTTGCTTCTTGGTGATTTCAGTCAAAACGCCTGGTGCAGTCCTGGTGCCTGATGAAGGCTCTTTGTCGAGGCCGAGCTCTGTGACCAGTGACATGGCCATGTACATGAGATTGCTGAGTTGGTGACCGAGAACCCAATGAGTTTGATACCTTCAGATGTCAGTATGTGCAAGTGTTCGCCTTGAACGAAAGACATACCAAGCGAGGAAAACCAAAATCCCTTGAAGCAACTGAAGATTCTTCTCCGTAAGCGTCCATATTCTCCGCCCAATCTCCTCCCGATACTTCTGCGCAAGTTCCTGCTGAACCTCAATATTCTCCTGACAAGTAACCATCATGATGGCCATATACAGCATCGGCCGTTCCTGAAACAACTTCTCCGGACTTTCATCCAAGCCTATCCACACGAAGGGAAAAAGTGGCATCATCTCTTGACGATAAGTTTCTAGCATTTTGTAAGCCAGACGGTGCGAGCCAGATGATAACGGGAATGAAAAGAGTGCGTGGATGGGTGATTGAGATTCTGGTGGCGTTTGTGAGCTTGAACTAGTAGCTGATGACGCTTTTCTTGGATGGGTTGCTATTGTTATCGAGGGAAGTGTGGTTGTTGATGAGGATGATAGGAGGTTCGCGACTGAATCGAACTTGGACTCTAGTCTTAGAAGATCACTAGTAAAGTCAGTCAACTACTAGTTCGCAGGATTGAGTATACAAACTCTCGTGCATAAGTCCCTCCTTTCGAATGACTCCTCCGACTATGACTCCCCCTAGGCTGAGAAATACACTCCTTATTCAATCTCTCACATCTATCCCACCAATATTAGCTCGATCCCCGACTCCAATACCGAGTACTCACCTTGTACACCGCTTCTGGCCCAACACCATATCACATCTGACTTTTGCATTAGCACAGACCGTGCAAGCCTTGAGACCTCTGAGTTTCGTATCATTGCCGTCCATGTTGATTGTGAGGTGATGTTATTGAAAAGGTGATTGTTGGGCTTTGCGATTGACTGCAGCTTTGGACGTCATCAAATGGGCTTAGTTTCAGTGGCTATGCTGTGGTCTTGGCGTGGCTGGCGCTCTGATCCTTGGCGTCTTGAATCCTTCGGCAGTGAGGTGAGAACAGCCTAAATAGGAAGCCCGCATATGTTTTTCCGCATCTTATAACACTTATAAGTCTGCTGCTTGTTGAAGATCTATTGAACATTTGATAGCGGGAAATTGGGTTCTGAACAAGTTGTAGACGCTAAAAGATGTCCATACGCCACGCTGGGAGGGAAGATCCATGTCGTAGCGCCTGTCCTGGCGCTAAACTCAGTGGAAACAGCCTGAGAAAATACCACATTTTGTCAGCCCTTTCCTATTGTTCAGGTTCCGGGTTTTGAGTACCACTACAAAAGCCCGATCTGAAAGCAGTAATGAGCGACTTTTGAGGGGGTGAAATTGAGCCATTTAGTCCCGGGGTAGTAAGTAGCTCTGCCAGAGGGCTCGATGATACAGAACTCCAGTCGATGATAGATGTGATGTTAAAGTCCTCATCAACAAAGATATTGCCTAGGTGAAGGTCAGGATGGCAGAGCACATAATTTTCATCTGTTGAGGTCAGGCTGGGAACCATTTCGTTTAGGAACTGGGCCGCGATACAGAAGGAAAGTCGGTTCTTGTTGCCTTCAACTTTGTCGCCAATAGAACAGAAAGCTCGCCATCTTTCCACTGCCTGGCGATAGCTAGTCCAATTCGGATATTCGAAAGGATCAGGGATTGGAGCGAAGAAACTGTGGGGACTAAGTGGAAGTTCCTCTGCATGAGCCTTGAATGCTGAAACCAGGGACTGGAGATACTGGCTCTCCTAGTCAAAGGGGCCTCGATCTATGCCTTCTAGCTCATCTCTGTGTTGCCAAAGGAGAGAGGGGCTGAGGCATTCACCAACGAAAGTGTTGCCATTACTGTCTTCCAACAGTGATCCGATCTTGTCGAAATGACAATCCGAGAGGCGTGACATAATCGCTCCCAACTGCTTCATTACCTTCTCCCGATCTTGGTCCGTGAGAGGGAGAAGTGGGCGTCTAGTCGGATACCCTTCAATTCGTGACAGCTCAATCCAGTCATACTCAGACAATGGACGGCCACTAGCCTTACTCATGAGAATGTATGGCACTACGATGTCGCTGTCAGCGTTTCCACTGTTTGGTATATCAGTACCTCTTGTCTCCAATCGGTGCATTTATTCTGGAGTAGCCAAACTCACCTGAACGAGAAGACTTCTGGTACCGGTATCGAACCCAGAGTCCTCAGATACTTGAGAGTCGCGGCTTCGCTAATGAGTAACTTGGATGCGGATTCTTCAGTGATGATAGCGCTTGATCCGCCATGGGGCGACCTGAAAACCCATTCGATGCCATCCTCGAAAGTGATGAAGATAACCCAGTGCGTACTACCCGCTTTAGGCCTCGTTGATGTATCAACAGTGCATGATTGGCCTCGAAGATTTGTAGCCAGAGAGATAAGAGCATCGAGATTAAATTTGGCATATGCAAAAACTCTCGGTCGCATGGTGGTGGTAGACATGACGGTGCTTGTAAGAAGTGTCGTGATTTGCTAAACTGGATGTTGGTTGAAAGAAATGAACCGGGAGTAAACAATGCCACTCACTCTTGTAACTGCCAGCGAGTCAACGAAACGTGCGGAGTTATGCAATCACGGACCTGTACATGGGCATATGGATCGGATCAGCTAAAATCCGGTTCTTCAAATGGTGAATCACAATCAAGTTCTATATGCTGTTGGTTGATGTGAAAGAGCTTCAATGAAACATATTCCGTTGGTAGGTTGATTCGAATGCTTTCTATACAAGACTACACTCACTTCAAGTCATTATATGAGCTTGTGTACAGGAAGGAATCGGATGATATCCCTCAACTATTCGACGAGAGGAGCATACAAGAGTCTGGCAAAGCCATCTTTGCTAAGTTGTGCCAAGAGAGTCCTGATGAGGAAGAGGACGAGGAGCATGATAGGAGTGGCAATAGCCAGCTGAGCAAATCAGCTGATTTCGCCATGGCAAGAAAGCTCACACTGATGTCAGAAATGAACCACAACTTTGTTGCGGATAGGAGATTATGGCTCTGGATCCCGTCAAAGCCATGGCTTTCCAGAGAGCGTGATGCTCAATCCTCTATTATCAGATCAGCTGAACTGAGTTATATCTAGGCAGAAGTGATATGATTTACGAAGAAAGGTCTTCATGACTTACAACTTGATATGTGAGTAGATGGCATTGGCATGAGAAAAGACCAAACCGTAACCTATCGAGATATTCATGTCAATATAGTTATGAGCGGATTGAAAAGCTGTAAGAACAAGGAGCCATGCAACGCAGATGGCTAGAAAGCATGGTATTTCCTACACTATATACGATAATCTCACGATAACTGATAGGCTTTAAGGACTTAATATAATTCTTCTGATCTCTCTGGTAGCCAAGAAGATGTTTTCGGAGCAAGGTTACTGTTAGTTTGAGGCATGTGAACTGCTAAGACATAAAACGATGAGTTCAATATAATTGGATGCAAGTCAACAGTAGTGACAATAGAAGATAGAGATATCGTCGGAACTTCTCAAAACATCAACATTTCTCAAGAGAAAACAAACCCCAAAAGAAAGGCTCAAGTGAGTAGATCATAATAAGATGTACAACTCTGTTTTAGCATATAACCCCTTGGACACTTCCAAATGATGTCGTCGACCCCAAGGGCCCAAACAACAATTAGCAACATTAGCCCGCGCCTACTGAATCAAGAACGTGGTAAACTGGAATCAAGAGTTGCAAGATAGATGCACAATGGGATGACCAAAAGGCTACCGGCTTTACTTATGAGATGAGTGAATTGCTTTAAATATGTAAATCGCATTCTTTAGACTTGACTTGCGAATAGCATCTATGAGATCAAACGCCAACATGTGCATTTGCCATGAATGAGAACTGCTTATTCAATCAAGCTTATCACAACTTACTATTACATGGAAACTCATACTGTGGTTACCATTTACATGGATTGAACTCCGATCCTGGGTACGGCAAGGCCATCTCTGGCAAGGAGCGCCTAGCTGAGCATAAGGCATAGATTAATTTACTCGCTCATGCAATGCCAGAATGAGATTTGCATGTGCCGATCGAGGTCGGTGAGAACAAGGCAGAGCGGTCTCACCAGTGGTAGGGTCGCGTCTTTGGGGTGGCACTTTGTTTCCAGAAACTAGATTGTGTAGATTCGCTGGCGTTCATAGAATGGTTGGATGAAAGCTCGCCAACGAGTTCAATCACTGTCAGAGGAATGCTTGACGCGCCATTGACTTTGTTATTCGAAGTCAGGCTCTGTCTCGAACAATCGAATATGAGTTCGTGTACGATGAGAGAACCACGTGCTCTTCTCAGGAATGGCGGTTGTTGACTCAATTCAACCACAAAATAGTTTTCTTTGCGCTGCCGCAAAAAGATACAATGGCGTTTGTTGGACTGCGGTGAGATGCGAGTACGACATGGAGCCTGCTCAGAATCAAGTGGCTTATCTGCTAAAGCAAGAGGCCTCAAGCAATATCGCTCGTATAATGCCAATATTGACTTTGTACAACAGACGATGTGACGAGACCGAGTAAACAAACCCAGCATAAGGTCTCGCTAAAAAAAGAGACTTGGCTTCGTACCTGAATGCGCCAGAATTGGCCCTGTGACATGCATCTCCCCGTCAGCGCGAATGCCCTCAGCTACCTTATGCATTCCAACAAGGCGCATGACACTGCAAACAATAGTCTCATGGCATTGTTTATCAATTGCATATAATTCTGTCGCAAACATTTAAGATTCATCTGTTTTGATGAGGTATCGGAAGATCCCCCTGGAGGTGGTATTTGGCCTAACCCATTGCAGCCTCATTTAATTTCAACTGAAACATCCATGTCCAGGACCCGCACGCCATCAACTCCTTACAATATGTCTTCCCTCGCCCTGTGGCTTTGACCAATCGTTCATCTCTCCCCACTCACTCTCTTTTTTTGCACTCTCGATGAGAGAGAGCGTTGCGTTCTCTACAGGATGGCAGCCCATTCGCCTCAGCTCAACCGCCGCGGGTCGGTAGACCAGCTCTTCGAGCTGGTGGAAGGTCTCGACGAGACCCAGATTCACACTCTCCTTGAAGACTTCAACAATACCGTCTCGAGCAACATTCCCGTCTCCCACGGCATCGACTTTTTCGAACATCCTGCGACGGGCGTGACCAAGACGAAGACTACACCTGCGCGATCATCGTCGATTCGAAAGTCGTTTAAGCAACTTCCTAGGTTGTTCACGCGCACGCCGAGCAAACGAGCTGTCTCTGCACCGATTGCGCGTCCGAAAACAGCGGCGCCGACGACGAAGCATTACAGACGGATTAGTCGACCTGTACTACCGACACTTTCGAGTGGACCAGACCTAGATGCTCTGCTCTCAGCATATCTTGCGCCAGCTCCACCGCCGTCGTCTTCGCATAAGACCATTTCGCCATCGCGATCGATATCGAGTTATTCTACACTGAGCCTCGAGGCGGAAGATTCGGGCGTTGATTCACTGGCGCCGCTTGTATTCGGTCGACCGCAGCGAGAAGCCAGCCCAATGGGCGATATTATGGAAGTGCTCTCGTTCTAAGCACCGAATATGGACGAATAATACCTGCCAGCACGGCACTTGGACGTCCACCACGACAGTAGTGATGCAACCACTACAACACTATTTGCTAGCTCTGCTTTGACATTGGCTCGGCGTTTTTCTATTCTGTACGATCATTGGAGGCGTTTTTAAAGCTGTTTGCTAGTCAGGTACTAGACTGTCTGTCACCCAAGGGGAGGTCCACTTTCTACCATATCATCCTGTTTGTACTCGATGGATTCACGAATTCATTATAACTGCCCAACTACGTACCAATCTACTATACCCTTTCTTTGTTATACAGTTGTTCCTTGCCTCGAGGCCTTAAAGACTGTTTGCTGTAGCAAATTTGCCCGCATTGACTGTGCACATCGTCATCTCGTAAGGCGTTAGCGTAGTGGGCCTCCTAGACGACATGTCTTGGCAGAACTTGTAAGCTTGCTGCTTGTTGGGGATCGTACTGCTGCATCATTATTTTTGTGCTGGTGCCCTGCTCAAAAGACTTGAGACCGTGGATCAGGGGCCAAGGACAACTTTAGTAAAGCGTTTGCCTAAGTTTATCCTAAGTTATCACAAGTGATCCTCAAGTCACCCTAAATTTACCGAAGTATTATTATCATTTAGGATCTTGCTCTCCCCTCGCCCAACTAAGACTGTGATCATACCACGTGACCCCACACTGAGGGAACTATCATGGGCTTGGGCCTAAGGAAAACCAAAGAAAGATTCCGTGACAGAGCAAATTCATTCGACAACATCCAAAGATTCCGAAGATGGGGCGCGGAGATGTTCCCTGCCACATCATCGGCAAGGTCTTCGATGAGAACCAACAGATCATGGATCTTATCGACGAGCTCGCAGCAGAGAAAGAGCAAAACAAGGCCCAGCTGCAACGCATTCTTGACAGGATCTACAGGAATGTCGCCAGATACGGTGATGCCTCGGAGGGCAAGCAAAGTGTTGAAGCTTATGTCTACGACGGATGGCGAGGCCTCCTGAACACCATTAACGCTATCCTGAGACTGCCTGCTACCGACTTTGTAGGCACCAGGATGTATTTGTTTCTCAGTGCAGAACTCATCCGTCATCCCGGTGTCCCCAAATAGTATGAAGACGACACAGCAGATGAGGATCTTGCGGATTTATATGAGCTTTGCACAGAGGCTGATGATGTCCTCCTCGGCGCCCTGCGCAAGATCTGGATCTGTAGCGGACAGACTGAATTATTTGACTGGGTATTCACAGAGCACCGAATCGACAGACCGATCAGACAGTTGGATGCTGAAATTGCCGTGTTTCTCTCACTCCAAGGGTATAAGCGCCGCTTCAGCAAAAGACAAAAGGGAGAACGGTATTACTATTCAGAACCGAACGACAAGGAGAACTACAAACTATACACAGGGCCGAAACCGCGATGGCACTCAGAAGGAACGGGCTTGGATCCGGACTGGAACTGGAAGCTCGAAGGAAACGCCAAGCCGATCACGGGTGGCATTCCCTACACAATTGACCTTCTGGATGATAGAGGGATACAATAGACGATTGGGTTTACGTCTTCCGCCGCTCTTGGCAGTTTTGCCTGGACGCGCAGCAGATCGCTGAAGGAAACCTCGGTTCCCAACGACAAGAATTCCTAAACACGATTTTACTCCGTCACCGCATCCCGCGAGAGATTCACAGCGAGATTCTATCTCATCTCACGGACCGCGAACCACTCCCTTACCTCAAGAAACTCGACATTGGTGCAGCCTACACCCGATACGAGCGACTTAAAGATAGAAATTTGATCTACTCTGAACCCTTCCGAGACTGGCACATGGTGGGTGGTCTAGGTGGCTTGGTAGGCAGCATGCTCCACGGAAGAGTTCTGTGGAAGGCATGGAATGAAGGCCATGACGATGAAGAGGATGACAATGACGATGACGATGAAAGCAGCGAAAATGAAGGTCCTCAAGAAGCTGGAACGCACAGTGAACCCGCCAAATGGGCTGTTGGCCGGAACTTGCTCGCTCAGAGAGTCGCAGAGATGGTGATCAAAGACCTCCACTCGTGGCCGGGGCGATGTGAGTGGTGCGAGTGATCCGGCAAAGAAGTCTTTGCCAGGGGAGTAATTCGCCCCCCTTTTCTTTTTTTTTGGGATGGACAGTCGCTCCACAGGATAGAGAGTTTTGCAATTGGAGGCCAGGTAGTATTTTTACCACAATTTCTCGTCAGCCTGGAGAGGATTGGAAATTCTGTAAGTCTGGATCGACAGGAACCGGTTGTTTAGACAAGGTTGACTAACATTTCATGCTGTCATTCTTGGTGCCATCTGGCTATCAAAAAACCCCACTACGGCTTAGAAGAAGCAAGTTTGGCCTAGAAGACGCATCGGGCCATCAGAGTTGCCAACCTCTGTCGAACTAGTGGTTGAAGAGTACTAACTACCACTTGCAAAGGACGGAAGGTTGGAGATAGATTGGGATAAAAATGTAATAGTTTGTAGGATAGAGTACTATTTTAGCGTTCTAATTCGCCATACTCTTGTTTTGTTACCTGTTAGGGGGATCTAAAGGTTGGAGTACTGTAGGATAATAGAGAAATAACCATTTGCGTAGTCTCGAATCTGCACGACCAACGATAGGGGTTGATAGTCAAGCGTGATACAGCCTAATCATAAGACTTTCACCCCGTGTAAATTCGCGTCTACAATTTGGCTTCTGTCTGTTCTCTTTGTCGTCTTTTCGCAGAACAGAAAATCAAAAGTCGAGTGTCTTAACAGCTTAAGTCCGCTGTGGTGATATAAGCTCTCAGCCACAAGTCTCAACTGCAAATAACACATCTGGCTCACAACTGCAAAAGACATGCCACGTAACTCACTACTTATCAAGGTAGTCTTATTTTTCGGCGTGCAATTGTCACTTGAAACTAATGAGCCCTGTCTTCCAGCTTGTCAGCCAATACCAGCTCTCAGTAACACATAAGAAATTGCAACTTAGGTAGATCGCTGGGCCTGTTTGACTGCCTCTCTGTTCCTGCATTGCCCTATGAACAAGTTTGCTTAATGGGAGCAAAGACTGACCAAACACTGGAACAAATGTCGAAAAACTTCTTTGTTCGCGACATCCTGGCCAGAGAAATAGCGCCTCTGTACGAATTCAACGTTGATCTTGATGATGCTCTCCTGGAGCCCTTGAAGAAGATCTGGGCGCTCAGTGGAAATCGCGAGCGTTTCGACTGGGATTTCACAGATTTTGACGCCACTTCTTTCCGTACAACGGTTGGAGCACTTTCACCGCAAGAACTAGAAGATCTTGGTGGTATCCGACGAAGGGAATATTGGTACAACGATCCAACAGAATCTGACGAGTATATTCTTCACGCAGGAAAGATGCCACGGTGGGACTGTGGCGAGCAAGACCACTGTGATTTCGAGTGGACGTGGGAGGGTTCTGACGGTCCCATCGATGGGTATCTGGAATACCACTTTCTGATCGATAATGATCCTAACCGGCGCATCTGGCACGGGATTTCGAGCTTTCGCAGATCACATCAACTCTGTCGGGATGCCAGGCAAAAGTCTGAGGCGCATATCGGACGACAACAACACCAAGCATTCGACCAGGTCGCCTGTCGCCATCGTCTCCCTCCCGAATTGCGGAATCAAATCCTAGGTTATGTCGAGTATCGCGACCCATTTCCCTACCTGGAGAAGCTCGACCTCGCAGAGGCATATGTCCCCTTCCCCAGAGTCGGTGGAAGCTGTACCCATTGCGATAACACCAAAGGAGAAACAACTGCCAAACGAACCTGTCCCCAGAAAGCCATGCACGTATGGAACCTGGCCCTGCGCCGATTTCACACGTTCCATAAGATCAACTGCCAAACATGGTCACTTTGCGCTCAACACGACTGCAAAGGACACCACGAGGACTACAACTGGAAAGTCGATAGAGATCCTGGTTTCAGCACATATCTAGAATCTCAAGCCGCACGGGGTAATGATAAATTTGTTTCCCTGGACCACGTTGGCTTCGGGCCCATGAACCCCATCCGAATAGAGCCATTAGAAGACTGGATACGACAGGATGCGCTATTCAGAGGCAACGGTGTCTACGATGAAGCACGCGAGGACATACTCATGATCGGAGGCCTCGGGGGATTGAAGGATGCCATGATTCATGGACGAACCTTGACGGCTGGGTGGGAGGGAGATACCGAGCTATGGTATAACGATGAGGAAGAGGGCGTCCGGGATATGCCAACTACATGGCAATACGGACGGAATTTGTACTCTGAGAAGGTCGCCAAGGAGGTTATGAGAGGATTGCACTCGGAAGCCAATTGTGACTGGTGTATCAATGTGCCGGATGAATTTGAGTTGATCATGTAGGGCAATTCTGTACTTAGAGCCTCAGGTTTTCTTGCTCTCTAAGGAGGAGATAGATGATAGAGAGGAAGTTTGGCAATCAAGAGGTTCAATCACAGTGTGCACGAGTTATAGTGCCATGCGCCATATCAGTATAAACTAGAATCCTAACAGCCTATCATGATCAGTACTAATGAAAGAGCACAATAGTCCCCACTCAACGCAAAACCCCGTGTGAGAAAGCCGAAGGTAACGGAATTATAATTCAGCGAACTCCAAGAACGAGCCGCCAAGAACAGACAAGCATGTAGCAGTAGTTGAGTTGATCATGCATTAGATCACACGAGCATCTCCTTTGGGCATGGCAGACACTTGAAATATGCCAAGAATTTGACCTGATAACTTTATTCGCTGTTTAGACGAGTTGTGAATGTGTGGCTTGGTTAGATCAGATAAGATAATCTCAATCAGGATAAAGTCTCGCGAGATGGCCTCACTTTAGCGCTTGCCAAGACATTTTTGACGAGCCGACCTCGGTAGAAGAGGGGAGAAAACTCTGCACCTTTAATAAGTGACTGATAGAAAAGACCATTCGCCAATAGCCTATCTATAACTTTGAATCCAATGAGGAGTAGTATATATTCTGTCCACATCTCCTCAGTACTCTGTAAAGATTGAACTGCCCCTTTTGGCTTACAGACCCGTCATTGAATCGTTGACCATGAATAAAACAGCTGTCACCATCGAGCTTGATCAAAACGATGATATAAGCTCTCCAATACCACCTTTGAAAAATCAAAAGCTGCCAGGCGTGTTGCGTATGGAAGCAGCAGCCAGCAAACTCACAACCCCCAAACGATGGATCTTCTTCACCAGCATCTTCTTCTTCAGCTACGCCCTCAACCTTGACTTCCTGACACGTAACACCTATGTCCCTTACGCCACATCATCCTTCGGAAATCACTCCCTCCTGGCTACGGTCAATGTCATCCGTGAAGTTGTGGCCGCTGCTATTCAGCCATCAGTTGCCAGACTGACTGATGTCTTTGGACGCATCGAGATCTTCACTCTCGCTGTGGTTTTCAGCTTGGTTGGGACGATTATACAGACTTATTCGGCAAACATTCAGACTTTTGCCGGTGGCGCCGTGCTGCATTCGCTTGGGTATAGGATCTCATTGCTTACTATCGAGATCATGATCGCGGATTTCACGTCGATGAAGACGAGGCTGTTCTTTGCTTTTGTGCCGAATTGGCCTGCCATTGTCAATACTTGGATCAGTGGTGATGTCACATCCGCTATTCTTTTGGTGACTTCTTGGAAATGGGGAGTTGGAATGTTTGCAATCATCAACCCGATCTGCGCTCTGCCTCTCATCATCTTCATGTTCATACTCGGGCGTCAGACAAAGCGATCAAGCCTGGAGCAAGAGAAATCAGGATCCTCCTCTTGGAGTGCCTCTCTCAAGGCATTCTTTTGGGAGCTTGATGTCATCGGCGTATTGCTCTTGACAGCTGCCCTAGCTATGACATTGATCCCTCTCACGCTGGCAGGCGGACAGAGTGCCAAGTGGAAAGACGCCGGCATCTTAACACCTCTGGTCATTGGCCTCATTCTCTTTCCAATTTTTGTCATCTGGGAAAGGAAGGCTAGTCATCCAATGCTCCCATTTCACCTTGTGAAGCATCGAACCGTTTGGGGTTGTCTCGGCATCAGTTCTGTCTTCCCTCTTGCTTTCATGATCATTGGGAACTATTTGTTCAGCCTACTTGTTGTCTCGTACAATTTTACCGTCAAAGACGCTACTCGAGTGGCGCTTCTCTATCGGTTCTGCGCCATCGTCGTAGGGTCTCTTCTTGGCCCAATCGTCATCAAGGTCCGACGCCTCAAAGAAGTCATCTTGACAGGTATTGCGCTTTGGTTCGTTGGATTTGGACTTATCTACCACTTCCGAGGTGGCTCTGGCTCCAAATCTGGAGTCATCGGCGGAGAAGTCATCGTCGGCATTGGTGCTGGTCTTTTCTCATGGCCAACACTTGTTCTTATCCAGACAGTCGCTCAACACGAGTACATTGGAGTCTTGATATCCCTCGTTTTCACTGCAAACGCAATTGGCCAGGCGCTCGGTAGCTGTGTGTCGGGCGCGATGTGGACACAGACTCTGTACAAAGAGCTTGAGAAGAACCTTGCGCCGTTTGGCAACGACACTTTGGCGTCAGCTGTTTATGCTTCACCCTTGACTGTTGTGCCGCAATATCGTTTAGGATCACCTGAGAGGGATGCAATTGGTGCAAGCTATCGCTACATTCAACGAAACTTGAGCGTTGTCTCGCTATGCCTTGTTGTACCGATGCTTGTCCTTGGATTCTGTCTGCACAATCCCATACTCTCAGATCAACAAACTCAACTTGACGAGACCATGGAATCTCCAAAAGATCCGAAGCAGGATACTGGCAACCAAGCATAGCGTTTCAGAGGCTACGATCACCAGCTCTGGCAAAGTCGCAGACGCGAAAGGAAAACGGCATGGCTCAGAAATCTCTGTTATGCAGACAAATACCGACAACTAAGCTTATTGATAATAAAGTATTTCCAAGCATGATTTATTGATAAAGAAACATTCGATTCGGGCCTTAATGAAGAGTTTATCACGATGTCACAAGCGATTGGCCGTAAAAGGTTTTCTCATTTGGCTAGGACGCCCTTTGTCTTGTCAAGGCGGATATAACGCCCGGGTTTAGTTGAGCCGGCTGTTTCGCAGACCACGCCCTGCAAAACCTTTCTCATTTGCTCCAAGGCGCAATCGGAGCTGAATTGACTTTTCTCACAGTGACAGACATTTTAAGCCTCCTTCTAGAACAATTCTAGACTGACAATGCCACCGTCGTGCAGATATTTTCTCTAGCTCGGACGCACGTGATGATGCGATGCATCATGATACCTCATAAACCCCCAACCTTCCGAGACAGTATTAGTCCACCAAAATAATCCCTATCATCACAGCCTCAAAAGAAAGCAGGTTTAGTTCTAGATAGCACGGACATGTTTACCCAACTATTACACCAAGCTTCCAGTCAGGATAACCAGTCACGTAAATTATCCCGAGGGGAGCCGCATCTAAGAAACACTACGCGCGCCTCGGCCGCCGGCGGCCAAATTCGCATCACGTAAAAGTTACCACTTAAAACTCCACAGCGCGGGATCGTCTTGTGTAATAGAATCCTCGCTATCAACTGCTTTTACGTACAACTTCCACCGGTGGGCTTTTACCCCAGCGTGGAGAAGAGGAGATTCCCCAGACCTTGGCGTTCCTTTAAATCTGGATCTTTGCTTTTCTTTTTTTCCAAAGGGCAGAGTTGATAACTCTGACTTGTTCCTGGTTCATCATCATCACTATTATTACTCGTATTGTTGTTATAGTACTTGGCCTAGGGGTTGAGACTTCATCATGGATACCATCACACCACAGACCGCGTCCAAGAACGCGACGAACAAAGACTCTACCCTTGATCCTGATCAGATTGCTCGCATCGACCATTCCTACGACCAAGCCATCGGCACAGTAACCGACTTCGAGAAACAGAAAACCGCTGAAGGCGAAGCTCACTTCCGTCGTTTAGGATGGAAACGACTCGCTGTTATCCTCATCGTTGAGGCCATTGGTCTTGGAACATTCAGTCTTCCAGGTGCCTTTGCGACACTCGGCATCGTCGCGGGTGTCTTCTGCTGTATTGCCTTGGGCTTTATGGCCATCTACACAGCGTGGATCATCGGAAAGATCAAGGTCCTGTATCCTTCGATCAAACATTATGGAGATATCGGTGGCTTGCTCATGGGAAGGTTTGGTGAGGAGTTGTTTGGTGCTATGTATGTGCTGCAGCTCATCCTCATCACGGCCTCTTTCGTCCTCACTGGCAGTATTGCCCTGAATATCTTGGCCGATGATAAGGTTTGCGGTCTTATCTTCAGCGCTGTTTCGGGCTTCATGCTCTTCATCCTAGCTATCATGCCTTCGTTCGCCGAGGCCGCCATCTTAGGTTACATCGACCTGGTCTGCATCATGACAGCCATTGGTATTGCTGTCATTGCATCCGGTGTGAATGCTTCCAACCAGCCTGGTGGCATTGGTGCTTCAGACTGGTCTGCGTGGCCTGACCCTGATGCCACTTTCAAGGATGGCATGGTGGCTATCTGCAACATCATCTTTGCTTATTGCTTTGCCATGTACATGACTCCTTTCATGGATGAGATGCATACGCCCGAGGACTTTATGAAGTCTGTCTGGACTCTTGGAGGTGTTGAGATCTTTATCTATACCCTAAGCGGTTCTCTTATCTATGTCTTCGTTGGCAAGGACGTGGCCAGTCCTGCTCTCCAGTCTTTACCTGGAGTTCTACCAAAGGTGGCCTTTGGTGTGGCTCTCCCCATGATCTTCATCTCGGGTGCCATTGGCAATACCGTCACTGCCAAATATGTTCATCTGAGATTCTACAAAAACTCGATCGTTCGATTCGTCAATACGCCCAAGGGTTGGGTGACTTGGCTTCTCACTCTTGCTGGCATCACAATCATCTCTTGGGTTCTCGGCGAGGCAATTCCCTTCTTCAACGACCTTCTCTCACTCAGCTCCGCCCTTTTCGTATCTGGATTCATTCTGTACTTCCCAGCTGTTATGTGGTACAAGCTGATTTGCAGAGGCAAGTGGTATGCCAGAGAGAATATTCTCCACGCCGTTGCTTGCATTTTTACATTCATCTTCGGCCTGCTGGTCCTTGTTGGAGGAACATATGCCACAGCTTTGGATATCGTAAGTCTTCTATTCCTCTATCTAACTGAGGAAATTCTGTCTGACACACACCGCAGCAACATCATTATGAGATCGGAGCTTTCCGTACACCATTTTCGTGCGAGGCGTAAGGGGCTACTGCGGAGTTAGGGTGTGAATTATAGGCATGATTGCTCAGCAATCGATTTAGGACGTTTGTTGTTTTTATTATATGTGTACAATATGTAAAGCCAGCTGAATTATGCAGCAAGTCAATGTGTCCTCTTGATTTTCCATTGGATCCTCGTTAAATCTTAAGCCACACGCGTCTCCCTTGTCACTATGTGTTCAGTATCAGTCATATGACACTCTAGAGCCGAAGTTAGGCGAGAATGATAATTCATCTTGCCAAACGCGTCTCTAGCTGGTAAGGGATCGACACTTGTTCGCTTACAGGGAGGGAATTTGATGATAATAGTCTCGTCACCCATGTAATTGTTCAACGGCGATCTACAAAGCCATGTACCGTTTGGGAAACAACAAGCGACACATTCAATTGGCTGAGAGTGGTGCTGGGCGGGATGATCTCGGTTTAGTGCCAAACACCATGACTACGATCCACAATGTGCTCAAGTTGCAATAGACTTCTGGGTGACGATACTGCTTATAAGTCGGACACTTGGTATATATGGTCCAAAGTAAATGCGGAGTTGCGCGACACTTCCCCCACGATTGTTGACGCCACGACACTCAAAGTCCTGATCATGGATGGCCCCTGAGTTGAATCGCCTCGGCCGATGATAACTTGAACCCCATGCTTCGTTGAGCCGCTCTTTAACATGCAGACCATGACATGAGTATCCGAACGCCATTAGGTAAGTTCTGCCATGGAATGTCCTCCCAAAAGCTTCTTTCGTACCCACTACTAGATATGTTATTTGCAGCTGAGACCTGTGGCTGAGAGCTTATATCAGCCCAGAGAACTTAGTAACCTAGCTCCCGGTATCGCTCTCGTAGCCGCTTTCTGAATCTCGCCTTTGCCATCTTTTCTTCTTGGGTATCCTCTTCTTCCTCTTCCTCATCATCGCTCCACCGATCCTCGCATTTCCTGTACATGACATCAAGATACTCGTTTGCATATTCTGCTCCTAGGCACAGAGGACAGAGCGTCATGACCACAGTTGCCATGCGATAATACTGCCCCGCAGAAAAAGCTGGCGTTTTCTCGTGGATCATACAGATATATATCCAAAGACTGGTCGCCCAGACATAGAGCAATTTCCATTCCCGAGTCGCGCAATTATATCCGGGACCTCGATATTGTGAAAGAGGAAATCTCCTTGGAAGCGCAGATGAGAAACCGGGATCGAGTATGCATTTTCCCGGGCAGTCTTAGTGATTCTGAAAAGGGTTCCATATCTTCTTCCAACCTGTCCTTTTCGGGGTCAATCTTATACACGGGGTCCTTAAGACATTTCTCATAGACGTTAACGAGATCACCATTCGTGAGTTCTCCGCATTCCTTCCACTCTTCAAAAACATTGCAGATAAGAGTGGGCTCGGTTCTGTTACCGTTCGTAGACTTGAGACTTATTTCAATCCCGTAGACATAGAGCTATGTCAGATCTAGGATGTCAAGCCATAGTTCAGTCGGAAGGGTTTTGTTGCCTTGCTTTGTTGTGATGTGAGTAGAACCGTGAGCAAGGACGTTGCGAAGGTAGCTTGCGCCCCAGCAGTCAACACTGAAAATAAGAATCGAGTTAAGCTTCACAAGACTGTCAAAATCTTGAGTTTTCACGGGTTTCATTGTGGGCAGACGTGTAGAGGGGAGTGAAGGCTGTAGTTATTGTTGCTGTTGTTGGATGGAAGGTCAATTGTTCCTCAAAATATGAAAAGGGTGGAGAGGGAAAATAGAAAGAATAAGATAAGGCGATCAAGTCCTTATTTTATTCGTAAGAATTGTCATTAAACTTTCGTATTTGAGCTATATGTTTGTTATACTTTGTGAGTAAGGTTCAGTGGCGATCCATCTTTTCACCTACATCACAATCTTCTTTGGTGATGAATATCAACCCAGATGGTCAAAATGGCGACTATCTACGTGATGGTTCTTGCAAATTGTTTCAATGTTCATATATCGCAATGAGACCACTCGCAAGTTCACAGCAGAGTTACATGTTATTTGGGGGGGGGGGGGGGGGGGTCGTCACCCGACGCCAACAATCACAAAATGGTCAAATAAGGCTACAGCTTACTGGAGCTAGCATGAATACCTCGCCCGGTTTGTCCAGTTACTACTTGAAGTAGACAGTACTACAATTTATAAAGCTTTTAGGAGTATCTATGTTCTTACAATAGAAGATTCTATCTGTCAGGGCACAGGAAATTAAAAGTCACAGAAACTTTCGGCTGCCAACTAACGAACAAAGAACATTAGTTTCTCCTCATCATAAGAACATTATTGAGGTTTCAAGATACAACAGCAACAGTAGAAAGGCGAGACGCATACTAGCCGCCTACCCAACATTGACACCAAGAGGGTACCTTACATATGTAGCCAAGGACTCTGGTCGAAGGACGTCCAGAGCCTTTTTGAAGTAAAGAATTAAGGACAAAGTACCCTGACTAAGTCTCACAGGTTCATTGTTTTCTTCTTCATGGATGCGGGAAAAGACTTTCTTGACATTGGAGGAATGCTAGACTGATGGACTCCATACTCTGGAGCGGCATATTGTAGATTTGGTCTCTTATTCATCCAGCCACCCACCCCACCGAATCTTGTTCGTTACTTTTAGATCTCAAGATATCTCAACCTTATCCCACCTCAGCTTTGCCGAGGTTACATGAAATCGTATCCTAAAGCGCAATCTCATCCGCAGAGTTTCACAAATTTTTAGCGAGTTATTCCCACCCAAAAACCACATATCACATTCAGGCAAATATTATACCCCCTTGAAACACCCGCCAACCACCCTAGTAAAACACGTTTCCATATTTCGACAAGCAAATTATTTTTCAACCAACCGAATCGCAGCAGATAAGGAATCAAAACACAAACGAAACTACAAACCGTCCGATGCCAAGACCTGCCACGCCGGTAAAGTCGGATCGAACTGTGAGAGAAGTGTTTCTAGATTGGGCGTTTAAGTGCATGTCATTCACCTCTCAGACGTTATTGGTGGGATTATCATTCGATGTATGGTCGGAAATAGCCGAATAAGGCTCGCAGACAAAGTGACAAGCGGCTGTGGCTTTTCGCCAAAATAACCATTTTAGAGAAGCTTAAAACAATGACATGCTCGTGTATTGACTATGAAACGCGTGAAACTGACTCAAGTCGTTCCCTTCGGCCGTAATGACCTTATCGCCCGACCCTTCAACCTGGTAATGATAGGTGCGCTTACATCGCTTCGCCGTTCTGGATTAAGAGGTTGACCGTGTTTTCAGGAATACCCTTCATGACGTCTTTCAGAGACATGGATGCAATAAGGTTGCATAATTCTGATGCCTTGATATCCTTGAGGCCCAGAAGATAAGCCGCGAGGCCAGTGACGTGTGGTGTTGCCATTGATGTGCCTGACTCGAGTTTGACACCTCCTTTGATCCAGGTACTTTTGATATCGACGCCAGGGGCAAACACGTCCACAGAAACACCGTAGTTGGAGAATGAGGCTCTAGTATCGTTCTGGGCGGTTGCTCCAACAGTACAGGTCATAGGCTCATTGCTTGGCGAAACGTGAGATGCGTCTGTGTCGTCGTTACCAGCTGCTACAGCAAGAAAATAACCCGATTTCACGATATATCGAGCCGCTGCGTTGATAGCAGGTGAAGAAGCAACGCTGACAGACATGTTCACCACAATACCCTTGGGACATTTGCGCGTAGCAGCATCCTCAACAATAAAGTCCATGCCCGCGAGAATTCCCGACCTACACCGAATTATTTTCAGTAACATTCACATGATCCAAAAAGATGATTAAACTCACGTCTGACCCGCTGTATGCTCATTTAGAACCTTGACAGCGAAGAGCTGCGTCTTCTTTGCGACAACATACGTTTTAGACCCAATGGTGCCCGCAATATGAGTCCCATGACCGTTAGCATCCAAGTCAGCGTTATCAACAAAGTTCTGCACGAATCTGGCGCGGCCCTCGAATTCCTGTTCTTTGGATTAGCTTGTTTCATTTTACCGCCTTGCATAAAAAGGTACTGACAGGGTGGTCGACTTCAATGCCTGTGTCGAGAACATAAGTGCATGTGCCTTCACCGGCACTTTCTTCATAGGTGTAGGTTGTATGATCCTTGCCCGGTAGTTTGTTGGAGATACGGGCTAGACCCCAGGGTGCGTTTTTCTGTGTTGATGCTCCATGCAAGGTGGAGACCTTTTCAATGAAATCGATGTTGGGGTTGTTGAGTAGATCTTTCAGCTCGTATTTGGTAAGGCTAGCTGAGAAGCCGTTGAAAAGATTGGAGTAGGTGTAGTCGGCATTGGATGCAATCTTAGAAATTGTGCTAATAACAGCCTGAGAAACCGCGGTAGTCTTCATGACGACGATGTACTTGCTTTCAGCCTCGTCAGCCCCACGAGGGATAATGAGAGGAGCCGCCATGACGGCCTGAGCCAAAGAGAAAATAGTAAGGAAGTGCATGGTGAGAATGTATCTCAGGTTGATCTAGAAAAGGCTGGTGCCGTTGATGGCAATTGGTTGCTCATAACGAGCGACATGACTCTATATAGTTACTGATGCTTTGATCCAAAGGATTCAATTGATGATTAAACTTTTGGGAGGATTCACTAATAGATTCAGTGACGCGTTAGCTCTCAAGGTGATGCAGCAGCGCAAACGTGTCTTGACTGTCGATCTCCTCATGTATCATGGCGACCATCATGGTAGCGCTTATTGTAGGATCAACAGAGTTTGAAAAGTCGAGAGAAGCCTCTTCAGGACTAATTACCAAAAAAACCAATCTATACCTTGATAATTTCTTGGACTTCATATGACGCCATAGGATTTCGTTGAACACGCGGTTTCTAATCTCCAACACAATGAAAAGGTTGTTGCTGACGTTTTTGACTAAGCCACGATGGATTTTAGTAAACACTGATACGCAGTATACTCTCTTAACGCATTTTATTAGGCTGGATGTCTTTGAGCTAGACTATAGAATGATTATCATGGGCTGTAAATGATTTTGATGTTGAATAATCGGTCGTTCAGATTACCCTACGCTACCAAGAAACTTAGGTCCGCAGGGATAATTCTGGTTCCGCTTATCAGGGCGATAACAACAAGAAGAGTGACCAAGCCGACCAGAAAGCCACCAACTGAACAGAGCTTTTGAATCGAAAGATTATGATCCCTCCAGGCTTTCTATCATGCCTTGACACCTGGATCACAATTATGGAAAGCTGAGGAATCTGTCATACAAATGTAACGAGGCACTGCTTGATGATCTCGCGTTAACTCGAGCTAGCGATGCGAGTCAGCCAATCAGAGGCAACACGGAATATCACAACTGCCAATCACCCAAAGTCTAAAATTAAACTCGTGTGAAACATCGGCCGAAATAGCTGCCAACGAATTTATTCAAACCTCAAGAACATTTGTCTTTTGATATCGGGAATCTCTCTTGAGATGTCAATTGAGCCCCCAAAAAGAGTCAGCAGCTCCATCTTTCACCCAAAGCTGAAGCTACATGATAATCCCGAATATGCAGAGGGCCGACATTCCGGCACTGATTTAAGCTTATGTTGCAACCTTATCTATTCTGGCTAAATAGCGCCATCTCAGAGCTGGCCCCCAGAATTCTCATTGCGATCTCAATCTGAATCTGAGTGGTTCTATTGCTTCGTTGTGGGATAATTTTGCTAGCTTTGAATCTAGTATTGTGACCTTTCGCTATGACAACTTTAGGAGTTTGTAAAATTCCGGCCCATCAAATTCTATAACTCTCCCTACCACGATCGTCTAATGGGCCACCGCTCTAAACTGCTCCAACCAAAGCATCCGCTTTAAGTCCCTAGATGACAATGAAATAGATCTCATCGAAGAAATCCTTAGCAACACATGCAACCTGTCCCAAAGCGGTTAATAAAGCCATCAAGCCTCCTAACATTGCGGCTCCGCAGTCCGCACAAACCTTAACTGCTACCTTGACTGTATCGAACTACGCGACCCCATTGACGAGCCAAAAAGGTATATTTGACTTGGCTGCGACCAGGGCTGCGTCAAGCCTCCCGAGAGTGGATTCAACCATATCAATTGGGCTGATGAAGTGTGTAATGGCCAAGAGACGGAGATTTCATACGAGTAGTGTGCAGAAGGTTCTGAGATTAAGTTGGATGGTTATCAATCTGGATGTAAGCACAACCACCATGGTATTTGGTCCCATCTGAAAATGCATGCCAATAACTCTGTGTTTTATACCAGCCCCTCACGAAACACCACACAAAATTACATTGTTACCTTCGGTTTCTGTATTATTCGAAAGTCTATTGTCAAGTGATATGATCATCATTCGATTATCATCGGAAATACAAGTGTTTCGAGACAATATATCCGCCAGTTCCCAGCAGTAAATCTTAGCACTGCAAAATATGCCCCCAAAACAGTCCGTCTATAGTAACCTTGTTAAGGATCGATGAAACATGTGTCGCCTTTGAAGCGAAGAAAAATCCACCCAGGTCGGCCCGCTTACACGACCCTGGGCGTTTAAACGTGCCCCCTTCACACAGCCTCCACTTTGTTTTTGATACAGGGGCCGTAGCAGAAAGAAACCCTCGCCAGCGAACCTGACAATAAAATATCGATATTTTTCGGATGCGAAAAATGTATATATACTCGTACGACGTACGATGGATGAGTTTGTTGTCTTGTTATCATCAGCTTCAGCTTCTACAGCAAAGTCTTCTCTTCTAGGTCCTGGTGATCGTTTTTTTTCTTTTCTCTTCTCAACTTTACTATTCTTTGTGCCGGCACATTTCTTTTTACTTTATCTTTTAACTGTCAAGATGCATTCATTTAAGAGAATTCTCTTCCCTTCCCTTTTTGCTTTGGCGCATGGGCACTCTGTCATTCTCAATGCCCAAGGTCTCGACACCTCTCCTGCTAGTGTAGGATTTCAAGGTAAGCATGATACTCTGGGTGCTTGATTGGCTTGAGACTAATCAGATCTTCAGTCGATCCCGAGATCGCCCGCAATTGCATCACTATCAATCCTTGCCAGCAGGATGCCACTATCATTCGTGATGCAGAGATCACTGCCAACATCGTTAACCAGTGTGGCCGCACTGAGCTGTCTGGTAATATTGATGTCGGCGAGAACACTGAAAACGCCCTTTCTGCTGGAAAGGTCACTCAGGTTGAGGCTGGTGGTGAGCTCACCGTCACCATTCATCAGGTCAACGCCGATGGCGCTGGTCCATACGTGTGCGATCTTGACGAGAGCAGCAACACCAACACCAACATTCAGGTAAGACATCCGCAATGGCAGCAATTCATATATCTAACACTGGTTACAGAACCTGACCGTCACAAATAACGTTCCTGGAACAAACGGTCTCTCTCAGGTCAAGACCCAGGCTTTCAACATCACAGTCAAGATGCCTGATGACCTCAACTGCTTTGGAGGTAAGCATCCTCAAGTTCCATCACAGCTCAATAATATCTAACAACAATTAGCTTCCACTGGTAACATTTGCACCGTCCGATGCCGCAACAACGCTCTTGCCGGTCCCTTTGGTGGCTGCTTCGCCGTTCAGCAGGCCGATTCCGACAAGAAGACAAACACTCCTCAGAACATCAAGACTACTCAGCAACTTCAGGCTATCAACGCTCAGGTCCTCCAGAACCAGAAGGACTTCCCTGATTCCGTCAAGGCCAACGAAAACGCTACCAACGATGAGGCTGATCAGAACAAGGCTGCCGTTGACGCTCTTCTTGGCAACACCATCGTCACCTCCGCCTTTGCTACTGAGACACCCTCCGTTGTTCTTGGACGCCCCCCTGCGGCTACCGAGACAGGTGCTGGAGGCAACGATAACAACAACGGTGGAAACAACGGCGGTAACGGCAACAACAATGGAGGTAACAACGGCGGTAATGGCGGTAATGGCGGTAACGGACAAGGTCAAGGCAACGGCCAAGGTAACGGTAACGGCCAGGGTAACGGGCAAGGCAACGGTGGTCAAGGCGGCCAAAACGGTGATAACAACCAAGGAGGTAGCGGCGGTAACCAGGGTGGCCGTGGGGGTTTCGGAGGTGGCCAGGGTCGAGGACAATTCGGTGGCGGCAACTTTGGCGGATTCGGAGGAAACGCCAAGCGAGCTGCTTCTAAGCTCCGATGGGCCAAGCGATTCTTCACCCAAGAAGATACCATCTAATTGATACTTGGATGAGTGAATAAAGGAAAAGAATACTGGAACACCGGGAAGTAGATGATGGGATAGCCATAGGATGAGGAGAGAGATAGACAATAAAGATGATGTACCAAAACAAGACGAACTTGGCTGAGAGTTAATTAACGGAGGGCGAGGATGCGGCGATAGGTATGTGGCTATTGGTCGGCTCCCATATTGGCCCAGGATGAGGTCTCAGTAAACTTTAAGAATAAGAAAGAGAAAGAGTAAGAGTTATAAAGAAAAGCAGGAAAATTGAAGAACTTAATATCTCTACTAATATTAGAGTTTTTACTATTTTATCTTTAATTATATACTTTTAACGTTTTTTTCTTTTATTAATATTTATTTTAAATTAGTAATTTCTAAACTTATCTTAATATTAAATCTCTAGAAACTAGTGTTATGATACATTAAACTAGGGTTCAATCTCACTTGCCTTACAACTACCATAGCTCTTAAGTAAATCCAGTAAATCGGTAAGCTTTTCTTCATATTCTAACACTTCTATTATTAAAACCACATAATTATTAGTATATAATAGTCACCTCTTAGAATAATCTTATTAGGGATATATACTAACCTGACTTTGACATCTTCTCTCTTGCCCTTTCTAGACTCAAAGGCCAAGACTTTAATAGCGAATCTAGTGGCGTCTCTGGTGGCATTTCCCTTCCGCTTGCACTCGGCCTACTCTTGTAAATAGGATTCACTTCAACTCCAGCCTCTAGCAAGACCTGAGTACTCTCGAAAAGTTCGTATTCAACTGCATAATGCAATAGCGTTCTCCTTGACGCCGTTTGCGTTGCAGCTATGGCATCCAGAGCCATGACTGCATGCTTGCGTAGTATTCTGGCTAATTGCTTGTCCTGTCTCCCAGAACATAACATGTTGAAAAGCGGATATTCGCCCTCCTCTAGACTCCAATTGGGCTTCTCAGGTTTGTCACTGATACTAGCCCCATTATCAAGAAGCAGTTCAACGGCAGACGTTCGGACGGAATGGGCTTGGGCTAGGACAGGTGTAAAGCCATTCTCATCACGAACATCGACCCGCGCTCCGTGGGCTAGCAGAAGCTTGATAGCGCGGATCTGGAGGTCTTCATTTTGTGTATAGTTGGGCCCAAAGCCCATCAGAGCTGTCCGCTTATCATTTCCAGCCATGTTCACATCTGCGCCTGCTTCAATCAACTCCTCAGCCATTTCAAGATTTCCTACATAGATAGCAAGCATCAGGCAGGTATTGGTGATTTGTCTATCAAACGGAAAAGGAATCCACGAAACTGATAGTTGGTTGATATCAAACCCATACCTCAGAAGTGTGTCGACCGTGTTTCGTATCTTGGCCCGGTCAAGTGATCTAGGACCTCTCATGACAGGATTATAGAACTGATTTTGGGTGCCTATCCAGCGGAAGTCCCCCGCGATCAGATGATGAAAGACTCCAATCCCATCCTCAAGGATCTGAGTGCCCCCTCTTGAGTTATTCTCGAGAAGGAGTTGCAGAATACCATGATCCCAGTTTTGGACAGCTATTTCCACAGCACTTGGCCCACCAGAGGCGCCAAGAATAGGTTCTTCAGGCAATACGTCATCAAGGGACCGCGGACAGAAGAAAGCTATGCCTGTCGAGAGTATAAACTGTTTATGGCCATTCGGAAGCCAAGGGTCGGCGCCGTGTCTCAAGAGAGCCTTTACTGCTTCTGCGCTGGAGAACTCGACCGCCCAATGTAGGGGACTGCCCACTGGAGTCACAAATGGGTAGTGAAGCATTTTATGGTCGCGAGTCGATAAAGCATTGACTAAGGCGCCGTTCTTCACAATCGCGTCTGTTACAGCTGTTATTTGATCGGGGTGAAATGCAAACAACCAGTGAAGACAGGATGGCCCGTCTCCCCTTGACTGAATTGTTGGATCTGCACCTTCATGGAGCAGAAATAAAACTGTTTCAAGGGATCCGCACAGGAAAGCACGATATAATGGAAATTCGCCCAAGTAGTTGAGACTGTTGAAGTTTGTCGAGCTCGTAATTCTTTTGAGAATCTTGAGAGCTGTAGGGCTATTGAATGAGCAGAGTGCATGGATAAGACAGTCGCCATCTTTGTTTAGAGCGCGAGTCGCGGACACTCCCTCGTGGATAATCTCGAGATCGAAGTCAATTAAATCATCCAAAGTAGATGGTTTCATGAGTGTAAAATGCTGGTTGAAGCCGCCATTTCTTTGGAATATCTTGATGGCGTTGTCAAAACGAGAAGGGTCCGTTGAGCGAGCCTTGGTAGAAGACGCCAACGCCCCTGTGGCAATAGAGCTGAATAGCCAATCCTGTCTGTGGACTTGGATTTCATCATCAGGTTGAAAACCATAGCGGTCGTAATATGAGAAAATGAGGCCTTGAGCTTGTATTACGCCGCTGAGAGCAGCTTTGCGAAGAAGTCCAAGCCAAGTATCTTTCGTCATTGGATCGAGGAGTCTCTTGTTGATGAGATCTTGGGAGTTCATAAATAGTCCAAAGACCTCTTCTGCGGATAGGCTGCTTTCATTCTGGCAATAAGCAGATAGTAGATAATTGGCCATCGCGTCGCTGAATACAGGAATCTGCCAATCCCATGGTGAATAGTTGTCAACAGCATCAACCTGGAACTCGAGATCTGCAACGCCCTCTTCAGTATCTCCATCGCTGCGAGTACCCCTATGCGTATCGGCTTGATGGTCCTTGTTCCTGTCATTGTCAGCAAATTATTCTGCCATTCAGGATTGGTTACTCACACGACGGCAGCTTTTCCGTCCTTTGATCCCAAGAGACGCACGACCGCAGCATCGCGTTCTTTTGCATCCTTAGTCAGACATGCTTCTGTCAACTGGCAGAATTTGTCCTTGAGCGCTTCTGGGATATCACTCTTGTTCCGAAAGTCCTGTAATGCCAGCTCAAGAGCTCTGTCTCCCTCGCTACCTTCTGGGGGGGACGTCGTTTGGCACAGGGTGAACCACGTTATGAGGCCAAAGGAATACATGTCGATGCTGTCTAGATACTCTGGATCTAGCGGTTCCCCATTCTCATGATACAGACGGAGCTCCGGAGCCCTCCACCCAACTGTACCTCTACCACGCAGGGAATTGGTTCCAATTATACCTGCGCCACCTCCAAAGTCGGTCAATCTGGCAAGCCAGCGTGCGTCTTTTTCATATATGAGAACATTTCCAGGCTTTAAGTCGCCATGAATAATACCGACGTCGTGGATAGCCCAAAGCGCAGACGAGATATCAAGGATAATTGCCTGTCGATTTCTAAATGTCATGGGCACATCGTCCTGAATAAACTTTTCAAGGTCTCCATTTGCCAGCTCCAGTGCAATAAAGGGAACCCGATGCCACGTTATATCAACCCCCCAACCAATCATGTGGACGATATTTGGATGATCTCGTAGGGCCGGATGGCGCAAGGCTGCAATCTCTATAATCAAGTCGTAGACCTGCCTGCGGATACTATCCGAGGACAGATCCAGCTTTATCCTTGAATTAAGCAGAAACCTGGGGTATTTGATAGCTGCCAGGATCAGTTGCCGAGAATCATCCGGCGGGACAATGGTTGCTTGTCGTACGATGAATTGAGCGCCAGATGCAACCTCACCCTTATCGAAGATGAAGTCGAATGGCCCAGGTACATGCAGCTCTGCAAAGACTCTAGATAGCTCAATAATAGGAAGATCACGCCGGTCACCATTCTTTGGTTTAGCTTCGGTAAGATTCAGCTCCTTAAGACTCGGAGCATTTATGGAGAGGTTGGTGATGTAGGCGGGGAGGGAAACATAGCCGGCCTCAATAGAACCAGATTCCATCGTGGCTTGGGCTCATTAATCTTGCACAAGTAGAAAATGGATTGTATCAGCTATGTGAAGCTGAAATATCAAGGTGAGGACAGCCTGATGGTCTGCATTGGTGCCTAAGATCACTTGTCTCAGCCATGATAACCCCGCACTCCAAATGATTATGTGACACAAGGTAGCTCAGCTCTGCTTTCTCAACTTCGACTACTCGTTCATCGATTATTGATCTTATTTCTCCGAAATCATGGCAGATCTGGCTCTTGGTATTGCTGGCCTAGTAGTAGGCGTACCAGGCCTGATCCAGGTCATTGGTCTTCTAGGAGACGCGGTGCTAAAAAGGCTTGGGCACTACGACGACAATTATCAGAGGCGGGTCAAGCTACTGATCAGAATCAGCAAGTCGCAGACGCAGGATTTGCTGCTGTATCTCGAGAGACTAGGTGACAAGGCTCCAGAAGCTTTAGTGGCTGAAGTGCACGATATGTTTCAAGCATTGCGTGATGCACTCGAACTACTTGTGACTATGCTTCCAAGCGTGGGCATAGACGAAGCTGCAGTCGTGCGGACAAAATTATCAGAAGCAAAGAAGGCTAGCATCGATGCTGAGGTCGCCAAGATCGAAGAGTGGAATAATAGGATCTTGAAACGAATGATCGTGTTGAAGTTCTTCGGTAACCTCAAGGCACTACCACCGACTTCAGCAGATGATGAAGTGGCTCCGTCTTTACGCAAAGTGGAAAAGCTTCGAGATTCGATAAAAGAATCACTTGACAAGGCGAAATCCGATTCTACCCTATTACTCAATCCCCCAGAAGAAGCAAGTTGTACTCTGCTCCCAAACTCAATCCTGCAGCTCAAGACTCCAAAGACTGGTGGGCGGCCATTCCTTGCTGAATGCCGAGTATACAGTGACAATGCTTCGGAGCGGGAAATACAGCAGCATCGACAAGTCATTCGAGAAGTTGCGAGAATACTTCGCCAAGCTGATCCGGCATTCATGGGTCTTCTTAACTGCAGCGGGTTTCTCTGGGACTCGCTAGAGTGTAGATTTGAGCTACACTTTCCGATCACTGAGAATATGGAAAACCCAAGGTCTTTGCTTAATTTGCTTCTCGACCCGATGAATAAAAAGGCCAGGGCAAAGCATCCTCTCAACCATCGCATTACTCTGGCAAAAAGCGTTGTGGTAGCTATCTTTATTCTCCATTCAGCAGGATTTGTGCACAAGCAGATACGTCCCGATAATATCGTTATCTTCGATAAAGCTCCGGACACATCACTATCTACGGGGACAGTAGACCCAGCTAAGCAGATATACCCGTATTCAATCGGTACACCGTTCCTTGTAGGCTTCGACAACGTTCGTAAAGTGGACGCAGCCTCACTGATGCTACCTATCGAGGAATGGGAGAAGACAATATATCTTAGTCCTGAACGTCAACGACTCCAACCAGGGGATGAATTCAACATGCGGCATGATCTCTATAGCTTAGGTGTTGTTTTGCTCGAGATTGCATTCTGGGCCTCCTTCCAAGATAAGAAGTCATCTCAGTTAGGCAAGATTATTTGGAGAGACGCTGGTCAGTCTGATCTTTGTGGACCAGAGGAGTTGAAAAAGATTTATATGTCTCTTGCCAAAGGATCTGTACCGCGAGTTATCGGTCAGAAGTATGCCGATGTTGTTATGGCTTGTTTAACCGGGTTAGAGTCTGAGAAAGATATGTTAAACGAACTGAAGGACAAGGATGGAATTATAATAGGAACAAGGTACATCTTAGAAATTATAAAAAAGCTAGAGGAAATTTCATTATAAGGAGCTCAATATACAAGATTTAATTTACATATATAATTACTTAGTTAAATTAATTTCTATTATTACTCTACTAAGAGGTCTATATATGATATAATAAATAAGTTTTGGACTTGATGGTGAATAAGGGGAACGTTCTTAACTCAACAGCAGGTATTTTAACTCTTGATTAAACTTAAATCAACTTAACTTATCTAGTATCTTAACCTCCTTACATTATAAAGCCAGTAATTCAAATAACTAAACAATACTAAGTTAATAAATCTGCTTTCTCCTTAACTATATCACAATTCTCGGAAGAATATGCTATAACCCCCTTCCCTCTTAGATAAACTTTAAAGCTAGTAGAATACATTGATTCAAGGCAGGAGTTGTCGGGACGCGATTGGGAATGCTCAAGATAATCGTCTGGTACTAATACCAGGAATCCATCTCCATTTTCTTTTTAAGTTGGATAATGAAAAGGAAGAAAATGTATTGATCTCCCCACAGTTACGACTTCTGTCTACGACTAATAGTACACGGGATGTCTTTGTGATACATGAACCAGGAGTTATCATACTTCCATCTATGGTTCGGATCAGTTATACGAACCTATATTTTGGGTTAATACTTGAACTCGATAGCTTGGGGAGATGACCAGACTTACATCAAAGTTCACATAAAGCGTAGCAAACATTTTATACATCTCCAACTTGGACATGTGTTTACCCATGCAAACTCGTGAGCCGTGTCCAAACATCATCTCAGTACACTCGTGCATTCGTCGCACGCGTTGAGCATGTCCCTGTTCAGATTCACCTTTGCTGCGAAGCCATCGCTCAGGTCGGAAGGTATCGACATCTTCACCAAAGACACCAACATCGCGAGTGATTACGCAAGGATTGATGCCGACTTTTGTTCCAGCGGGAATGAAGCGACCATCTGAAAGTTCGAGGCCTTCTTTTGGAACCTCACGCTCAAGGATGAGACCGACACCGGGTGAGATTCGCATAGACTCACGCATAACTGCATCGAAATAGGGTAATTGACTGATCTCCTTCCATTGGGGAACGGGCAGAGTCAAGTTGGCAGAACGGAGCTCGGCGACCATCTTCTCACAGACAGCAGGGTTCTTCAGAAGATGGTAAGCCGGAGCACGCATAGCACCAGCTGTCGAGTCACCGCCAGCTAAGACATTCAGCATAAGCCAGTTCAGAATCTGTTGGTCATCAACATAGTCGACAGTTTCCTTCAAGCTATTATACTTGTCGATGAAGAGATCCACGGGCTTACGCTTCGCAGCACCAGAAGCCACTTGCTGTTGGTACTCTGTGAGGATTTTGACGGTGTACAATACGCCATTGACAAGAGGGCGCGGGCCAATACGCCAGATGGGATTTTTGTCCAACCACTCGTCAAGCCACGGGATCTGGCTGACGGGTGTGAAATACTTGAGTCCAGCCGTGCTTTCAGCAATGATGTTCTCGACATCAGCAGCTTGATCCATGAAGCCATAGTTGCGGCCAAAGCTGATATTGGCAGCTGCGTCCCAGGCATAATAAGCGACCCATTCATCCATCTTGCAGACATAACCGGTGCTGGCAAAGCGATTGTCTAGGTGAGTAATCAGCTCACAGAGGGTCTCGTCCATGATGGGCTCAGCCTCCAGCATCTTGGGGAGAGTCCAGAAGCCCCGGATAGGTTTGGTGTACTTGGTGTGAAAGTCCTCATCTGCAGTGTTGAAAATGTTCTGCATGCGCTGGCCGTTGACAACGACATCGTTGGGGCGGTACATATTAGTCTAGCACAGTCAGAACCCATTGTGCCATCTCAATCCACCCACGGTCGCTACAGGGTGCTTACTTTTCGCCAAGGGTTTCTCGTCGTGTAAATGACACGAATCAGATCTGGGTCACTGATACTGATCGTATTTGGACCAACCCGCACAGCAGAACCCCATTTCTGATGCCATGCTCGCATATGCCCATCAACATTTCCCTTAGTGGCAAGAAACGCCCGATAAAAGTCCGTATACTTTGCAGCAAGAGGGCCAGGAATGCGTCTGAGAGGCGAGAATAAGAGGTCGTAAAAGATACGAGCGACGACAAAAGCAACGCCAACGTACAGCACGTAGCTCAGGTCAAAGGAAGAAAGGGCCATGATCTACAGAGACAACGAGTGCATCTGCGGAGAAAACAAACAGTATATGTCATAAATTTAATTAAAAAGCAGTTGCGGGATGCAGACGCGGGACCGAGCCGGATCTATATTGCTTTTTGCGGAGGGCATGGTCTGACTACTGGACATGTGTAATGCACTCCATCTCCACACTGTCTTTATCACAGGCAAAGAGAAAAGTGACGCCGTTGAAGAGTATGCGTCTGGATTATGCACCATGTAACAGTACTCCACCACAAACTTGCAGGGTATTTATGCTAGTGTTTATGATATGTCTGAACTCAACGCGGGAGAAACCAAAAACAGAAGCGGAGCAGCCATTGAGGATACAGGAACAGGAAGCCTTCCCTCGCAAGCATGTGTGAAATTGTTGGCTCCCCCACACAAGCATGAGGCTCCATGAAACTTGGCATGCAGTAGCTATAACAAAGAATCCCACGCACACGGTCTCGATTAGCAGCCACCTCGGTTGATATTGTCTGAATCGGCTTAGATGAGAACGAGAGAAGAGACAATATCTCACCGGGGAGGCGGGATCATCCTTGTGCAGGTCAGGGGTGTATCCTTGGAAAAAGGCTGAGCAAACAAAGAGCTTACAGGGCTCGAGGCAATATTCGACACACAGGTAGACAAGCTGAATACAACGGAATATGAGAAGTGACTGTCACGTAATTACTGGCTTACTGTTGGTTCGTAGACAATCTTACACAATAAGATAACGTTGAAGCTAGTGACACGGGACAAGTACGGCGTCATTAGTGCAGGAACTAAGCTTCGACTAACTTTAGACAAGACATCAATTAACATTGATCTTCACGCAACGGTTTCTTCAGCACTAAAATAATCAAGACTCTGATTCAAATCAAATCCACTCTGCACAAATTTCTTGCAGAAATTCTCGCGGCCGGCAAATCCACTCTCTGTGGCGAGCCAATATGCAGGAGTATGGCACGGCATCTGATCTATCAGATTCGCGAGGCCCAACAACTCACCGGGATTGGCAGCAATACGGAGATAACAATAAGCGACTCCCATGCTCTAATTTTGTTTACAGCCCTGTTGTAACAACTGATATTTGACATATTATGCAAAGCGAACAAACGTCGTCTATTGTCCCCCGCGATTGGATCTGCAGATCGCCTCCGTTGGGGCTTGGTTAACGTATGATTGTGATGGCATTGGTCGTCCCCATAGTTTTCTCTCCTCTCACAGTCGGGATATTCTCATGCCCTCGATTGGATTCGCTACTCGGCGGTTTTGCAGCCCCGTTTTCGACGTTGCTTTTCTCAGCCGTCGTTTCGAGTCCAACGGGCTCGGTCTCTCCCGAGGCCAATCTTTTCCCCACGATGAATATCCTTCTTTCTTTTTTCTTCTTTGTGATACTCGAAATCCTTCATATGGTCTCTTTGAGATGTGACATATACTTGAGAGAACAAAGCTATGTTACAAAAGAATTTGTTTGCCTGCCGGTTTGGTTATTTTCGTATTGTGTATCAAGGCTTGTCCTTGGAACATATAAGACGCATGAATGTGCCTGTTAAAGCAGTGTGAGACAAACTTGTTGGTTATCGATGCGAATATGGCTGCTGCTACGTCTTCTCCTGAGTATCTCGCTGAGACGCGAGGGCCGATGATTCGGACTGTTACTTGGCTTTCTGTGATCTTTCCCATTCTCTTTGTTGCACTTAGAGTGTATACGAGGTTGTTTGTTCGAAAGGTCTTTGGTCTTGATGACTGGGTCATTGTTCTCTCTCTGGTAAGAAGCCAACCTTCTTCAACATCTCACAAACTGACAAGCGTCTTTGATAACAGATTCTTCTCATTTGCTATGGTGCCATCATCGAAGCAGCCGTCCAGAAAGGTCTCGGTCGACATGTCGAATGGGTTCTCACCTTCGCCCCTCAAGACGCCGTCCCGGTCGCATTGCTGGGCCAAGTCTCACAGCCCTTCGTCGTCATGTCGTGTGCCTTAGGCAAGACATCCTTCTCCATCAGTCTCATGCGGCTGGCCGCACAACGATTCATCCATCGGTTCCTCTGGTTCATCGTTGTCACTATGCTTACGCTTCATATCCTCATCTCTATCATTGTATTTGTGCACTGCGAAGATCCTCGAACAACATGGAACCCGGCTATTGTGAGCAAGTGTTGGCATCCTAATGCCTACCTTGGAGTTTTATACTTCATCGGCGGTAAGTCTGTTCCATACGGTTGGCTGTGTCTAATACTAATATTCATCGAGCTTACTCTGCTGCCACCGATTTCATCCTCGCGCTTCTTCCGTGGGCTATGCTCTGGAACTTGAACATGAAGAACAAGGAAAAGTTTGGTGTAGCCATCGCCATGAGTCTTGGTGTCTTGTACGGTCTCGTTCCCTGGTATGATCATCTCTTACTAACTCCTCCAGTGCCGGAGCCATCGCCGTCATCAAATGCACCAAGCTCAAAGCCAACGCAACAAGCACCGATCCTACCTACGACGTCGGTGAACTCCTTCTCACAGCCTGCGCCGAGAACGCCCTCATCATCATGGCTGCATGCATTCCTACCCTCCGACCCATGCTTCGCAAGGTCTTTCCTTCATCAGCCAAGTCAAGCGAGAACTCGCATCGCTTGAAGAACATGAACAACATCATGTTCGTTCCCAAGAACAAGGCTGGTCAATGGAGTGCTTTGATTGAGACGGAGGCTCACCCGGATCATACTTCTGACAACCAGAGTGACAAGAGTATTCTCAAGGAACATCGTGGTACGATGAATGGTCAGGGCAATGCTGAGCCAGCTGGTGGACCTGCTAGTCCAGCACTATCACCCCATATCAGGAAGACCATGTCGGTAAATGTGTCTTACGACAGGAGTAACAGTATGTAATCGAGATTAAGCACATTGTCTCAGTACAGTAGCCATCAATCAAGGGCCTTCAGGAACCTTTACAAGTCAATCAGACTTACGCAGAAATTCTCGTAAATTTCTTCGTGGTCTCCTTGACCTAGCCGTGAGCATGCCTCCTAATTGAAGCTCAGTGGTCTGTGACCTGCGACTATGAAATCTAGACGTCAATTCATTTGCGGGCTAACAAATTCTAATGCTACAGAAGGTCTATTTGATCATTTATCTATCGACTTAAGAATCCCCTCTAAGCCAAGCGGACCTCTATGTTAACGTTGTAAGAGGTAGAAGCACCCGTACACTGACTCGTGAAATCGACTCTTGGCTGAACAAGGACCAATCGTGAAGAGCATGTCCAAAACTCGGCAATCTGATTAGTCCCCCACAAACACTGAAGGCCCAAGGGGTACGAAGTCGCCGGGATAATCTTGCAGACCAAGATGTTGGCTTGATTCGCTGTCGCGTCCTCGATCGACATTACACGCACGTAGTTGTCTGAGTTTCCGTTGACGTTGGAGTAAGCACTCTTTCCATTGGAACTTCCAGGCCCGTTGACGGGTTTAATTTCGCCTGTGCGTTGGTTGAGGGTGAAGGTCAAATCGGAAGATACGTCGGCGGTGAAGTCAAGGAAATATTTTCCAGTGCCGATTTGGTTCTCTAGGTTGGTGAAACCAACACCGCCGATGGGGGCGAGGTTGGGATCACCGCTGTCGTGTGCGATAAGGTAGATTGTTTGCAGTGGATCGGCCGCCTCGGTCTTGGTGCTGATCTCGGTCTTGGTCTCAGTAGCGATAATGTTGTCCTTTACTTGCGTTCCAACAACTTTGTTGATCTTCTCAGTGGTATAGGTCTCTTGGACAACCTCTGTCTTGACCGTCTTGGTGGCATAAGCAGTTGCGATAGCAGTCTTGATCGTAGTCCTTCGTGGAATAATAACCTTGTGGATGACTGAAACGATCGTTGTTCGTGGAAGAGTGACGATTTTGCTGGTTACACCAACACGAGAACATGCAGAGGAGTACTTGGCCGAGTTGCTGCACGCGCTGCTGGCGTAAGAAGGAATGACAGGCGCATTGGCTGCTCGCTTCTTGAATGGGGGATTGACGTTCTGAGCAGTGGTCGTGATTGTCTTTGTGGTCTGCTGGGTAACTGTCTTGGTACCATCCATTGTCACAGTAGTAGTGATATCAATGGTAACGCTCTGTACGACAGAGTTGGTCCTTGTGGCTGTTACGCGCTGTGTGCTAATTGCTGTAACTGATTTCCGGACTGTCGGGATGCTCGTTACAGTCTTTGTTCTATAGATAGTGCTGTTGTGCCATTTCGTTAGCTGTTGTGACACTGTCCAAATAAGGGTTGTTGTCCTTACGCTTTCTTGGGTGTCACTGTGGTGTATAGATAGGCTTTGCAGTCAGATGCATATGTCTTGCTCGAAACCCCAGTAACGGCTGTATTAAGTAAGTCAGCCAGTGCGCCCCTGAGAGATCATAGAATATGACATACCCTTCAAGCAAGAATCAGAGTTGATAGTGAGGGCGTCAGCACCTGACAAGGCCATGCCCAAAGCCACGAAATACTGTGAGAACCTCATTTTTGGAATACTGGCCAATCCAATTGTCCCAAAAGAGGGAACAAAGGAGAAAACTGTCGTCGAGTCGTGGCACACCGAGTAATTAAATACTGCTGCCCCAATGCCGCAATTCCGGTGGTATGGTAATAGATCGGTCGAGACTAATCGGACATATCCTGGCCCTTGTTTAAAATCATCGCTGCTAACTCCAGTTGGCCTTTCTAAACGAAATAGAACTAAGATTAGTTAAGCCAACGTATTTAAAACGATATAATTCGAAACGCTATTAATTTTCCAGACAACACTATCGATCATTATAATGGCGCTATTCGGAGCTAACCATGCCCTGACAGGTCTGGGCTTTGAATAGCTGCCACGAGTTACCCGATATCTTTCAATGCGAAGCCTCGTTCAGCTGTTTTCTTTTCTCCTCCCGAGACTCAAGAATGCTTTCTATGTTATGATTCAGATCCACTCCATCCATATATCTTGCCTCCATAATTACTTCTCTCGGCTCCGGAGCTCTAATATAGTCAACGCTATTAATGGCGCGTTGGTGCATCTCGTCCACAATATCAAATAACCCAGCCATACTTTTCCTCCTATTCTGATCAACGACCAGCATATCTTCGTGTATTATATCCAACAAATCATGAACGTAAGGGCTGCAACCCGGCTTATTGTGCAAAGAACCGATCCACTGCCAATAGTTTCAGAAAGAGCTTGTGTCAAATTCCTGAGTTGGGAGACTTACGTTGACGATCTGTTCTTTTACCCAAAGTCTGTAGCCCTCTCCAGGGCCGAGCCAGTGAATATCGAAGTATATGTCGGTCTTAACCCCCGTGATATAAGGTGAAACCAGGATCTCTTTAAATCGTTCCCTGAGTTCGTTTGCCCCCAGGATCCAACAAGTCATTTCAAGTAACACACAGCCTAGACTCCACACATCATATGCTCTGGATATCCGGCCATCACGAATATCGCACTCAGGTGCTCGATACCTGGGTGTTACAGGCAAATCGGCTCCAGCAATAATGGATCTGGTTTCTTCTTTGTGGGCATCTGCAATGCCAAAGTCTGAAACGACAAAGACACCTCTTTTTTCCTTCCGTGATCTGAACCATAGGATATTGGCAGGTTTTATGTCGCCGTGTCTGCCGAACATTGCTTCTGTATCCAGATGAATCTTTTGACCTTGGTGGATATGTACTAGGGCGGCTAAGAGATCTCGAATTTGTCCCGACAGCCATAAGAGACCTTCCCTGTTGGCAGAAGCTGGGTTAACAAGCGGGCCGGGGTGGATTTTCCAATACATAAGTAGATCGTATTCGGCAGCTGGAAAGATGAAGTGAAACCGGTTGTTGAGAGTGTATGTAGCCAAAAGCGTGATGATGTTTGGATGGTCTAGGCCACTGAATCGTTTGAGCATTTTCAACTCTTTGTTCGACGCGCCTTTCTTCCTGTTTGTGTTTTTCAAAGACTTGACGGCAACGAAGCTATTATAGAGGCCAAGCTATGTGGTATGAAAATTAGACTCTCGTAAGGCAGCAAGGCTCGAAATGAACTTACCTTCTCGAGTAACGGGGAAAAGCCATGTGATTCTGAGTCAATCCTGTACTTGACAACCTCTCCGCATCCCCCAGACAGTGTCTCTTCGTGTAATCCATAGCTGTCTCTACATAATACCCAAGGAAGCATCTGTCCTTTGGGTATATCGTAGTGCTGAGCTTCGTAATCCTCCCCCAGTGCAAAGAACCTCGGCGACGATCGAAGTTGGTTAATGTTGAAATAGTCTTTCTGCATATGAGACCACCCCAACCTCGCCATGCAAATCTGCACAGTAAGATGATACTCAGATCCTTGTACCAGAGGAAATCTTTCGTCATGCAAGTCTGCGTCTATGAAAGCCTGAATATCGCCGGGTCGCTCCACGATAACTAGTATTGCAAAGACTCGGAAAAATGAGGTTTTTTCGGTGCCCAGAATTAAGCTGCTATAAGCTTCCGCATCCTCCAGTCCTATCTTGACGGTATGAAGTTGCCGGATGATTGTCTCCCGTGTCATCAACCTTTTTAGGGTTGGATACGGCCAGAAGAAGTGGTTCTCTCCGTTAATGTGCGGCACCCTCTCTCTCCAAAGTGCGTCACTTAATAATATTTCGGGGTCTGGCGCGCGTTGTGTAGAAATCGATATAGAGCCCATGATCGCTCCACTATCAGATATCGCGTTGGTGTTGATCCGAATCGCAGCTCCCAGGGTGTGGGGAAATTCGCCGCATGCCAAGACTTCCAGAGCTCGATAGTGAATGGTGATGACCGGGGGTTATCGTCGAAAGCTTCTTTGAGATTGGGAGTATACACTAAAAAGACAAATGTAAGGGCTATCAGGTCTCAGTGTTTCTCAGTCCTATGTCACGTATATATTCTGATAAGCTTGTTAATGCGTCCTATGTATGTTCAACTAGCTTCTGTTAGTACGCCTCTATCATGACCGGTGAGTCTCAGTCGGTGACAGGGATGGCTAGAGGGAGACATAAAGGTTGAGACTCGGGTTGGTGGTAGATCCGGGGATGCCAGTCTCATGTTTTCTGTCCCCCAGAGGGATGGGTCACTTGGCCTTGCTTCGACGCGAGTTTGAGTGCTCGCCTCACCAACTCTATCTGTCTGACGTCAGGTCAACGTACGATTGCGGGGGGTATTGGCTCGGAGTTTACTTGTTTTACTTGTGTAACCACATTCTCTCCCATATCCGTGCAGATATATGCCTCACGATCAATCACTCAGGTTAGGTCGGCTGATTGAGTGGCTGGGCCTTCCGAAGGCCAAATCGTTGACCACTGACCAGGTACATGGAGACTTTGTCCGATCACCAGTGGGCCGCACATTTCGGGGACCGAGGCTTACCACATGACACCCTGACATCACCCACCATTCAGACATTCTAACGTAGGACTCTTTGGAGCTAAGACACATCGGCAAGAATATTCAATCTTAGTGAAGTACATACTTCTTCAACTGCCGCTTCCCCGCCTGCCATTGATCAACAGCTTTACCAGACATATACCCATCAATATATATATCGCCCACATATCTATACTCACCCTGCGTCCCCTCTGCTCTCAACAATATCGGCGTCGAACAACCTAGTGGCACAACGATTATATCACCGGCAAGCATGAACCCGGATCCCATCGCAAGCCGACGATTCTGTGTAAGACAGAAACATCTCCCCATCATACGATCCCCAAAATGAATTTGCAGAAAATGCCTCCTCATTTCAGCCTTGACCTCTGATGCAGTTTTCAAATAATGAGCTAGTCTCTCATCGAGCCTGATGTACGGTAGACGATCGCGAAAGAGGTTCGCAAAGACATGGCAGATCTCTGCCTGCCATCGACCTCGGTCATATTCCGATGGGATTTGACCGAGGCATATCGTCGCTGCGAAGCATTCTTCTGCCATCTGTATTTCCTCCTTGGTGCGACCTTCCACAGCGTGAAGAAGTAGCGCTCTCCAGTGTAGGAACGCCATGAGATAATCTCCCAGGTTACAAAGCGTTCCGACAACGACGCCTTTGCTTTGAACGATATCGATTTCGAGACCTGAAATTTCAAGCTTGTTGAGGCGTTCGTCGCGGAAGCGGCAGATGGCTTTGCTGGAGCCTGAAGCTGCGAAATTGTATTTAAAGCCCATTGCTGATGTTTGCGGTATGTGTGACCAGTCTGGGACGAATGTAGGAAGGTTGGCGGTGCTGGTGTGAACAGGGAAGTGGATTGCTTCGCAGATAATGTCGAGCTTCTCAGTCGTCTTGAGAAGAAAGTCGACAATCTCAGTGTACACATCCTTAACGGAGAGATTGTAGTCCGCGCGGAACTCGTCTCGAATGCTGGCTGGTAAAACGCCGAGGATTCCGTACAATTTATCTCTAGGATCAGATGCGAGCTTTCTGCGACAAGTTCGTAACACCTGTAGAAGAGCCTCTTCGCCATCCGACATGTGGAATTTGAGATCCGGTAGACTAGCGGGCCCTTGGTAGATGAGTGTCTGAACATAGCTGAACTGATCAGGTGAAGTTACTAGTCTCCTCTTGAGTTTGTCTTTGTTGTTGAAGATAAGCTCTCCTCGACGTTGGCTGAATAGAACTGAAGCACTCTGATATTTCTTCCACTCGAGGCGAGTCGAGCCACAGTGAACCATTATTCTTTTCGCGTTGAAAACTTCTTGGACGACCCACAATCGTCTCCAGTACTCCCTCCCAAAGAGTGATACCACTGCCAGAAGGTCACCGTTTTCGGCGCCAGCTGCTAACAGTTTAGAAATATTGCTGGAATCAAAAGGTTCACCTGTAGTCGCTATGGCATCGAGAAACCTGACAGCTTGCGCGCTGTCGTTTTCTTCCGGACCAAGCCAGATTGCGACGTTATCAGCATTGGAGTAGATAAACGGCATGAGTTGAACCTGCTGACTCCGCTCATCTCGGTCCTTTTGGTTGATGCAGAGAGCATCTGCCCACACCAGCACAGAAGAGTGCTTTTGTCGGAGCGCTTGCAGTGCTCCGTGGAGGCTGACAGCTATCGGGATCAAACAACCTTCAATCTCGATCTTCCGAGTGTCACCGGTATCTCCCCAGGTGTATGAAATAGCCGTATAAGGAGGAGGTTGTTCCAGAGAAACATGGATAACCTCGCACTTGATTATCGTTTTTCTCTCCGGCAGTATTCTAACCAATCTGATGGATGCATCTTCGATCGGCCTGTACTGGTAAGACAGCTCGCTAAAAGACGATGCGGCTTGTTGATTTTGGAGTAGCTTGGGGCTCGGGCTGAGGGCAGCCTTTGGAGTAGACGGAGATAGTGGTGGCAAGGCATTATAATCGTATGGATATGGCGTTAACTTATTGTTGTAGCTCGTCTCTGGAATTACCGCGTATTGCTGATTTGGCGCATGCGGTGGAGGGACGTCGTATCGACGACCTTTGCCTTTGCCCGCCCTCAGAGGCGGTGGGGAAGGGACTCGTGCTTCTGCGGAGACCTGCGCCATGACTATGGGTTGTGCTTTGAGCTGCTTAATAGTCACTTGAAGTGCTTTGCGTCAAATTCCAGTCGTTTGAAATTGCAAAGTTGAGTGGTTTCAGCTGAACTCATGCTTGTGAGCCTTGGAGTCAGCCTGTGGCTTGGAACGGCTGCATCCTATCAAATCGCCTGAAAGCGTCTTCAGCCTAATCTAGAATAGCGTCAGATCTGGGCATTAGTAATTAATGAGTTAGGAAAGCAATTTTATAAATTCTTGTATTCTTGCTAATGCTTTTCGACTTTCTCACATCTCGGGTTGATATAAAAAGCTATCCACATCAAGCTGTTCTGCTAGATCTAGCAACTCGCCAGGCGTCAACCCTGCCATGGCATTAGCCGCAAAGAGGTCCCATCCTGTCTCATCTGAGACATGTTCCTGTAACTCTGGTTCCCTGTTCTCCTCTTCCTGGACGTTACCATGCTCCTCCACTTGGGTCTGTATTTCTGGCGTTACGATATTACTAGCTGGCGTCAGAGCAGATAACTTCTGTTCCAGCTGCTCAAGCTCTACTTTACGCAGAGGAGCAATAAGACTACCTTTCGCAATAAGAGTATCAAAAACGTAGCGAGCATCATCACGCCATGAATCATCTGAAAGAAGAGATGGGCAGATTATGGGGATGAGGTGGAGGAGAAACGCCGACGATGAGGCATACTCTATTTGGAAGGGCAGAAACGCCTCTGCGACAAATAATCAGCTTCATAATTGACTTTCATGACGATCGTACTTACCGATGAGATCTTCATCTGCCAAGGCACGGAGCGTCTTCAAAATTGCCTGCGCCGAGCTAACGCATGACTGTATAAGTGATGCAACCGGTGGAGATAGTGATAAGCCATGGGTCATAAGCTGTGTCTTTGACTGTTCGATGTGCATATGCAAAGCGCACATTATCTGCGGCCTCGTTGTGAGTACGACGCACTGGAAGCAGGTCAGTTCAAAAGCTTCAAGTTCGGCACTGCGCTCTGAAACCTACGTGGTGATATTGGAGCAGAAGTCTTGTTGCAATTCGTGACGCTTTACTAATCGAGTCTCGGAAATGATTGTTGATAATGTTGTTCAGGTCACGGTTTAGTTCGGCCAAGTTCCTTAGGATAGACTGCGTGTTGCTAAAAAGGGTGCCGTCATAGTCTTTACCAACACCGTATACCGCTTTAAAAATGTTAGCATGCATTTCATGGTGATTTTAGTGGGGAATGACACTTACTCCCCAGTAGTCGGGCTATTAACCGAGCAAGCTGCACATGAAGGGTCAGACTCAGTGAGCTCAGCGAGCTGTCCGCCTGAGAAGGTAGCTTATTGGTGATATCTTCGTCTCGTATGGCACTCGTTGCACCAATGAGAGCAGCGAACTCTTGATCCAGCATATAGACAACCCAGAATATGATGTGGCATCGCTTAGAGTGCTGTGCCCCCACAGCTTCTTCCGGCATGTGTCTGTGAAATCCGGACAGTACACATATCCGGAGAGCCTGTCCGATATGTTGATATGCTGCCACTCTCATGTCAATCGACTGAAAGTAGATAGCGGCTAGGGTGAGTGCTTGCGCAGAGAGAACAGGGTCAAGAGCAATGCCGGCCAACTCAGGCATCAATGGCATCGCCCGTGCAGCATATTGGTACCCCGGCGGACTTCCATCAGGACTTTTCCCACCCAGAAAGGCCTTTCCAAAAGCTATCATGAGTAAATACTGCGCATACCACAGCTTGCACGATGCCGCTTTAGCCGAAGCATCTTGATAAAGCTCTTTAAAATGCTGAAGAAACTCAGCCTCATCTATCAAACTCGCCAAAGGACCAAGATAGAACCTCGCAGTCTGAATGAGGAAATATGCATAGTCTGACGGAGGTAAGTTGGAAATATCCGGTTGCTCATCTGGCATAAGTGGTCTCCACTGTAGTCGGAAGGCTACTCCGTCGAGGTGCCAGGGTAGAGGCTCGTTATTTGCTTCGGGGAGATGCTTGCCTACAAGGGCTAGGACTCTCCTGCAGAAGGCCCATGATGACGCGGGGCCCATGTACCCTGTGGAGATCTGTTAGTGTATGTCGATGATTGACGGATGGAAACGTACAGTATCGACCCATGGCTTGGCCGAAGACGTAGTCGTTGTCGACGAGGGGGTTCTGTCGGAAGGCCGGTTCGAGGACGTCATTGGTGGATAGAGAGGCAGCCTCGTTTGTTTCGTCGTTCTCGTCATGATCTTGAGGTGTTCCAAGAGTAAGATCTGATGCTACTACGTTAGTCAGGATGGTATGTTGTTGACTAGCTACTCACCTCCATCTGCAACCATGGATGCGTCTCGCGTGACTACACCGGAGATACCATAATCAGAAACAGAAGAGTGCCTTGGACGCGGCCTAATGCCATCGCCAAGAGACCCTGGAGATGGAAGTCCATCTTGTCGCCTCTCTAAGGCACGGAGGTAGCTGTCCCAACAGTTAGTCACAGCGACATAAGAGAAAGCGACGAGACTTACCTCTCGGGAACAGAGACTTTCTTCTCCTCCGCCTCGTATATGCATCTCTCATTCTTCCGCCCACACCTCAAACAAGGCTGCGCCCCCGAACACTTGACCTTCATAGACCGACATCGCTTACACCTACCCAACCATGGCAATCAGCTATCGGCTTTCAACGGCCCAGATAAGAACTCACGCTTTGGCACATTTCTTAATAATCCGAAATTGACCATTCTGTGTAGTAGGCATCGTTGCGCAATTGACAATGGCTGTTGAGGAGAGATCGGGGTGCTGTTCCGACTTAAGTCTTTCTAGCTGGAATATCATTCCGGCTGGGTCTTTGCCTAATGTGGTAGCGTTCGTGAAAAAGCTTATCAGCGGCTTTGGAGGATTGGGCTGCGTTATCGGCTGCGGAGTGAAGCGGTCGGAATGAGATCCCGATAGTGGAAGCTTATCACGCGGGATTGTTAGTGTCCTATATCGGTATAACAATCCCGACATTTCCACTTGAGATTTGCGTCAGTGTAAGTCGACTGCCGGATTCAGTGCTTCTGGAAGAGATCGCTGTTTCTAAAACTGGTCAGTGCTTTGATGTCAGAACTGTCATAATGACCAGGGTTTGGGCTACGTTTCGCTCCGCAATTGCATCAAGGTCAGTTAGAACGATATGTCCCGATCATATCATCCAGAGGCACAGTATCTGACCCTCCTCAATCCAGACCATCAACGTTACATGCACGCAAATGCCTGATAACAAACGCATCGCCCTCAACAATGCGACTGACTTCGTCAGCTGCAGCTGCAGCTAAGCCTGCATTCTCAGCAGTGCAACCAATCACCAATTTCGAGGAGACGATAGCCAACCGACCAGACTTTGATCACTCCGGCAAGCCCATTGAGATAACAAAGTCCCCAGACCCATCCTGGTCTTATGGAGATGGTGTCCGCACTGGTCAATCCCCCACTGACAAGGTCCACCGAGAGATCGACCCGTACTCGCCTGACAGATCCGTCGGGCAGAACTACCGACTTTTAATCTCTGGTATTGCACCTCGACCTGTTGGCTTCGTCAGTACTATTTCCGGCGATGGGGAGACGAAGAACTTGGCGCCTTTTAGCTATTTTCAAGTCACTGATCACGACCCGCCCATGTTTATCGTTAGCTTCTCATCTCGCTTTGGGTCGGCTAAGGATACGTATCAGAATCTGAAGGATACTGGGGAATGTGTTATCAACACGGTTTCGGAGAACATGATAGAGGCAGTGAATGCTTCATCCATTGATGCTCCATATGGAGTGTCGGAATGGGATATCACTGGCTTGACCGAAGCACCAACAACTACGGTCAGACCATCCCGTGTCAGAGAGTCGGTACTGTCTATTGAAGGGCAAGTCGTGGACATCAAAGAATTCGAAAGTCATAAGCCTGGGATGAGCAATTACGGAATGGTTCTCATCAAGGCGACACGGTTTTGGGTTCAGGAAGATGCTGCAAACGAGGATTTTAGCCACATTGAGCTTGACAAGCTACGGCCGATCGGACAATTGGGTGGCATGTCATATGGGCGAATTACCTCAACCTTTGAGCTCCCAAGAACGAGATGGGCCGATGAGAAGCCAAATAATAAGTTATTAACCAAGTTGGAGAACGAAAAGGCATTATAGCAAAGCGCATCCTATTTTGGTATCTCGCTGTAGAACTTCCTCTGAGACAGATAAACATTGTTCTGCCTTCAATCTTAGATCTGATCAATCTTAATCACGATTCCATAATTTGAGCTTCAAAAGTCTTCAACCTTTGTTTCTGTCTATTATCTACCCCAGTATCCTACGTCGGAGCTCCTGTCTCATCGCCTGCGCCATATGCTGCGTCCTCTCAACAGCACCACGATTCTCCACCGCACGTCGATACAAATAATTGATACACTCCTGCACCGAACCCCAAGGTAAACATTTGTAAATCTTCGGTGTCTCGGAAGTGACTCTGTTCTCCTTCACAGCCTGCTCGTAATCCTGCAGCAGCTTGCAACTCAACTCATCGGCCATGCCCATGATCTGTGCACACTTCATAGGCACTGTGGGAAGACCAGCCTCGAGACGCTTTCTGTGTGTGCCAAGGGCCTTTTGCGCACTCTCAGCATTATGTGTCGCCAAAACGAGTGCCGCGTCGGGGAAGCTGAGGTTGGCAGCTTCATCTGGCACTCTTCGAGAAATTAGCATGTCTGCAATATCATTATATGAGTTGTCCGTATCCTCTTTTGTATCATGAATGAGGGATCGGATTTCATTCTCGATATATGCGCCGCGAACTAGCTTGATACCAACAGTCCAGCCTTCTTGAGCTGCTAGTTGGATATGCCTCTTTGCATTCTGTCTAGCGCCTTTGAGATAAGCTTGAATGGTGTTGTAAACCAGGGCATTCCCGTTCCGGTTGTGTTCTCGCATGAGGATGATGGTCCAGTCGTCGAGTGTAGGTTGCATAGCTTGTTGTTCTGCGTCTATCCAGAGTTGACATCCGCGCCTTCGAGTCTCGCTACAGATATCGTTGAGAGCTTTGTGGAGGTAGCTATTCATCGGCTTACCAGCCTGTAAAGCGTCTACGGCGATGGGTCCGGCACCAGTCACCCTGGGCTATGTAAGTTGCTGGCCATTTGCACAGAAGTAGGTTACTTACTTGACAGCCAGAAGATCACCGGCCTCGATCATATTCAGAGTATTGATGTTACCCTTCTTCCACTCATCGATCATATCGTAGCACTCTTTTGGATAGCCCTCGACGCCAGTAGTCGGGAGCTTCACGTTAGGGTCCAAGACCACATCTTTGGAGTATCCGAGAATGATGCCGTGGAAACCAAGGTTCTTGATGTACTTGATAGTACTTGACACTTCGGGAATGCTGTTCCCTGCGCAAAAGTGATCATAAATAGTCCATTGAAGGATCCGACTGAGCACTGGGTTCTTATCTGGGTTGAGGACTGCTGAGTTCGACTGTGTGATGAGCGCGATGAATGCAAGTGACGGTTGCAACAGCCAGCGATTTGCCATTATAGTTGTCAATGCGACCGAACGAAGTAGAACCCCCATCGGTATCTTGGAGAGGGGTGATGGTTCATCTACCGTAGGTGCCTGAGTAGGCTTTAAAGTGGTTCTTAACGCTGCATTGGAGATAGCTCTTATTTGTGGTTGGGCGTAAAAGCGAGATGATAAGGGCAAAATATGCCTTTGGTGTTGAACGACGGTTCTGGAAAGCATGTTGAGATGACAAAGGAGTGATTGATTGATGGTGATAAAACACTTCTAGCTCTATTGTAAGACGGTCATGGCTTTCATATACTCTCATAAAAGCGCCATCCTCACCTCCCCGGCCTGGATTCCAGCCAACATTATCTACTATCAAGCTACATTCCGCCAATAAGCAAAGTCGGAATGATTCGCCGACGCTTCTATTCCTATCTCGTCACCCTGAGAGCAAACCCCGCATGGTCAAACGGACTCTCTTCGTCACAAAAGGCGTGGCGTTATGCGAAGAAGGTCATGAGGACGTGATGTTGTACTCATGCAGATCTCGCTGATAAGTGCCGGGACCAATCATTCCAGAAAGTGGAGAATCAATTATGATCCGGCTTCCTTTGTATATGCATGTGTTGACTGACTTGTCAGTCTGGGTGTCGGAGCGAGATATGTAGTCGGGATGGCATCCCGACTTCTCTTGGCCTACTCCGTGCCTCTTGACTTATAAGATGACTGGCTATGTGATAAGAAGAAGACACATACTACAATTTACCGAAGTCTCTATAAGTTGATTTTGCTTTCATCGGCCGAGAATGTTCAGATCTCTTAGCTCTCAGCATCGGCCTCTGGCTCGACTTGGTGCTCTTCACCAGCACAAGCCCAAAGCTCTGTTAGCCAGCCGGTATTTGAGTCTGTGGAACCCACCAAAATTCAAGAATGAGAAAATGGTAAGTCGGCTTAGACATGAAGCCCTTCGTACTAACGTGATATCGTAGTTCGACTATGCCAAGGGTTCCCCAGAACGAGCCCAGCTTACAGAAAGTATCAAGAGGCTCAAGAGCTCGTTCCCTGTCAAGATTCCCATTCAAATCAGCGGCGCAGAGGTGAGTAACTCGTGCTCCCATAGATACTACAATACTTATATCAGCCTCAGATCACCAGCAAGCAAATTCTTAAGCAGCAAAACCCATCAAACCACAAAGAAGTCGTGGCAGAATATGCAACCGCCACGCCTGAGCATGTCAACGCAGCTATAGACGCCGCTCTCAAGGCCAAGCCCGCTTGGGAAGCTCTGCCCTTTGAAGATCGCGCAGCCATTTTCCTTCGTGCAGCCGAGTTGGTAACTGGTAAATATCGCTCGGATATCGTTGCGGCAACCATGCTTGGCATGGGCAAAAATATATGGCAAGCTGAGATTGATGCTCCAGCCGAGACAGCAGACTTCTTCCGTCATTATATCGACGAGGCATGGAAGCTGTATGCTCAGCAACCGAAAGTACAGACGCCTGGTGTATGGAACAAGATGGAGTATCGACCATTGGAGGGCTTTGTATATGCAGTGTCCCCTTTTAACTTCACTGCTCTTGGTGCCACGCTTGTCGGACCAGCTGCTTTACTCGGGAACGTCGTGGTTTGGAAGCCTTCTGACTCAGCTATACATGCAAGTTGGCTTCTGTATCAGATCCTTCTTGAAGCCGGTCTTCCAAAGGACGTCATTCAGTTCTTGCCAGGCGAGCCCAACGAGGTCACTGATGCAGTCCTGAAGAGACCTGAGTTCGGCGCTCTGACCTTCATCGGCTCGACCAAGGTCTTCAAGGGATTGCAGAAGAAAATTGGCAACGGTATTGGGGACGAGATCTACAACTCGTATCCCCGGGTTGTCGGAGAGACCGGCGGCAAGAACTGGGGAATTGTTCACCCAACTGCAGATGTGAAGAGTGCTGCTCTCAACACAGTTAGAGCTGCTTTTGAGTACCAGGGACAGAAGTGCTCCGCCAACTCTCGTGTCTACGTCGCGGCGTCAGTGTGGCCTGAGTTCAAGAAACACCTTCAAGAGCAAGTGTCTGCTTTGAAGGTTGGAGACGTCGAGAACTACGAAAACTTCATCAATCCAGTCATTCATGAGGCCTCGTTCGATAAGCTTAACAAGATTATCGAGGATGCTAAGGATGACAAGGAACTGGAACTTGTCGTCGGTGGCAAGGCGTCTAAGGACAAAGGCTACTACGTTTACCCAACAGTCTATCGGACAACCAACCCTCGTCACGAAATCATGACACAAGAGCTTTTCGGCCCTATCCTCGGCATCTATGTCTTTCCTGACAATGAGTGGGAAGAAACCTTGACTCTTCTTGATACTACATCCAGATACGCTCTGACAGGTAGTATTTTTGCCAAAGACCCATACGTGCTACGCGAGGCTCAAAATGCTTTGAAGCACGCTGCTGGCATGCTGTATCTGAACACTAAGTGTACTGGTGCGGTGGTGGCTCAACAGCCTTTTGGAGGTTCTCGTGACTCGGGCACTAATGATAAGACTGGAACTATGGCCCATTTGCAGAGGTTCGTGAGCACGAGGACGATCAAAGAGGAGTTTGTGCCGTTAGAGAAAGTTCTATACCCCTCTAATGAGTAATTTTTTGGTATATATATAATAAATTACTAATTATTAGGAGTACCTTTTAGCGTCGCAGTAGACCAACAGCACTAAGATGGACGTAAAAGAGCAGTAGATGTCGATAAGATTACCTATCTTCAGGCGTTCGCTACAGAGGGCTGGTGCTTCTCTATGTATTCAACTGAGACACGATCCCCTGTAATGTACGATTTTGTGTAGAGCGTCTTGGTATCATTCCAAAAAACGGCGGTCATCTCCCCCTGCTTCTTGTTCCCATCTCCAGGTAGTGAACATTTGCCTTTCTCATTACAGGCTCGTGCATTCAAGAACGAAGCAGTTCCCCAGTTCGGAAAAACATATTGCGTTGTGTTCAGATATGTTCCTGCTTCAACGATCCTTTATATATCTGGTCAGCATGAGACCTAGAGGGAGCAGCAAAGGTTCTCACCATTCGGCGGTTGCACCTTGAGCTGGGAAAGTGGGGCCGCGCCATAGGTTTGCAGCGTTTTGACTATGTGTGTATGTCCGACTTGTGTTCAGATTTGTAAGCGTGGTGCTGCCATGGTATCCGTTATTGGTCGTCTTGAGAACTACATGGATGTGGTCGCCCTCTGATATGGCCAGCTTGGACGAGCTGACGTCAATAGGGTCATCGGGAATCCTTGACGAGGTGATTAGTACAGCTCTCGGAGACCAATCACCATCATCTCACCATTCGTGAAAGCCTGTATACTGGGTCGTCCCGTTTGGCCACACCGACATTATAACTCCAGCTTGCCAAAGACCACGGACGATATCAGATGATAGAACGCCATCGAGTCCGATCCAGAAAGAGGCAGTATACTCGTCGACTTCCTTATGCGGCTTCTTGGGAATCGATAGATGCGGCATCACAAGTGTGGCCTCGGCCATGGTGAAGCCGGTAGAATTGCTGGACAGGTTGAAGTTGTCAGCGAATCGCACTGGACCAGCCCATGCTTCACCATAAGAAAGCGGGTATTGACTACCGTCTTTCGCTGCGCAGGCAATGCCAAAAAGGGAAGCTGCTAAAACTTTGAAATTCATTTTGGAAGATTGCTGCGGTAAGTGTAAAGAATCAGAACTAGATGGATCCAGCTGCTACTTATAAGTCCCAGAAGTGGGTTATGTTACACTCACACCGATACGCGGAAGAATACGAGGAATCCGACCCGCTGATGCCGAGTTGCCGACATGGTCAATCAATGCCTCACAGGTGCAGCCACGGCTAACCAGGTAAAGAGATCACAGAATATGTAGAACTTTATTAGTCCGCCTAAAGTCACAGCTGCTCTGGCCGCCAACTATTCTAGCAGACAAATTGACACTCACTTGGCAGTGCGCCACGCCGCCACAGTCTATAGATTATGGCCCATTTGCAACGGCTCGTGAATACGAAGGCAAATAAGGAGGGTTTGTGCCATTAGAGAAGGTTCTGTATCCTTCTAACGAGAAAAGTTATTAAATATTAGGAGAAGCGAGCTTCTAGCTTAACACAAAAGTTTCCAGGTTTGCTCCCCGACTTTCAAGAGCTTCTGGCTCTAACCTTGGATCAGAGTTCACGATTCTGCCATCTTCCATATTCCGGAAGAAGTCATACACTTCTGGGTCATCGCCTGTAAGGTCTCGCCCCAGCTCCTCCACTGAAACGCGCTGCCATCCTACAAGAGGCTCCATCCTAGGATCTTCTGCTGTCAGCTCTCCTGTTTCGGGGTTATGATAGCGGGTGTAAGACCGGTGTTCAGTAACGGGATCATAGAATAGCTGGGCCTGCCACAGGGACGGAAGAGGGCCCAGCAAGCCTTGCGTAGCCTCTAGATCCCACACGTAGCAGTCACTCAGAAACTTCCAGGTGTTATCCTCAGATGGACGGAGCAGTACTGGAAAGTCGCAACCGAGGACGACGCAAATGACATCGCCTGGCGATATCAGCAGAGATTCCAAAGCTATGGTTTCTCACCTACCAGGCTGTGCGAAAGTACAGGCTAAACCAATACTACCCCTCTCAGTTGTGATCATTGCTCTACCTTTGGAACGTGTCCAGATGACATATTCCATCATGTCTCCGCGACTCAGCTTTGACACCGGTGTCGAGGATGTCGAGAGAAATTCGGTTTCGAACCTATCCTTGATATGTTCGAGTGTAAATCCCTCGGTAGGACGACGTTCAACTCTTCCGTCTTGAAGAAAAGTGGCCGCAAAAGCATCCAGATAGGTGCCCCCACTAGGATACGGGTCTGTGAGAGAACATTCAGGTTCCCAAGATCGTATACTGCGAATTGCTGTTTCGCCATCGTCCCAATGATCAAAGGTCTTCTCAGAAACAGACTTCACAGTGTCGAATCGTAAACCAACTACCTTTAGTAAATTGGGCGCTTGGTGCTCATGGTGTAGAGCAGAACATCCAGAGGCGTAGTGCTCTGACACTCTCCGGCCATATGGATCTACTTGAGAAAGATCAGGAACCCAAGAGGGGCAATCATCCTCATCCGGATTTCGAGGACAGCCACGCAGCTCCCAGCGGCTAAGAGCTTTGATATTAGCCAGAAAGCAGGACTTGTATAGCTCGACGACAGGTTGCTCATAATCCGGCTTGATCTCACTCGCAAACCTCGGCGGTAGAATAGCCAGTAGTCCGTATATCTTATCGTGAAAGTCTGAACACAACCGGGCTTGATATGCATCCAGAGTATGTGCCGGTGTTGCTCCGATGGGATTTTTCGCTATGCTTCTCATGGCACTGATAGAAACTCGAGCCATCGGCATTTCGTTTTTATGCAGAAGGCATGCAACTGCACGACGGAATAAAGCCCATGAAATAATTGCGTCGCCACTCTGTATGATGGAATCGCGATTGGCCATGATAGCCTCTTGAACAGTCCAAAGACGGTGGAACCAAGACCGGTCGCCGAGCTTTTTGATGGCTGACCATACCTCGTCGGAAAAGGAGACTGGAACATCGTCCTTCCACCACCTGAAGTCGGTTGTATCCGGGGAGGACATTATGAAACCGTTTGTTGTCTTCTCAACCTGAGATCCGATATGAGCCAGCTCAGAGAAAACCAGCCCTATGTCGTCCTTTTCGGGGCCAAGCCAGATAATAACTCGGCTACAATCCTGATAGATACTTGACATCCGAAGGACTTGAGTGGCCCTTTCGACATCGTCGTTTTGGTTGATGCAGATAGCATCCACCCACAGTACGCGCTCTTTATCTTGGTATCTCAAATGTCTGAGTGCCTTTCCTAGGTTCTTCCCAAGCTTGATGTTTCCCAGACACTCACCTGCCTCTCCCTCGATGGTAGCGACCACAGGGTCACATTGCCGACCCCAGACATAGGATAGAGCTTCGAAGACTGGTTGTGCGGGATTTACAGGTGGGAGCTCGTACAGTTCTGGGTCTATAGTTGGGTCTGGGTGTTTCCAAGTATGGACAATCCCACTTCCTTCATCACTTTCCTCACTTGATGCGTCGTCAGGCTCGTTCATGAAGATGAATCTTCCCTCAATTGTTTCAACAACATCCCACCCTGGAGGGAGCGTTCTTTGTAGATGTTTCCGGGATAGGCGTAATGACCTCGGTGGCTCTGGTTGCCTCAGAAGTTCATGTGAGATTCGTAGTCGAATATCTTCGTCAGGCTTGCCGGGTAGTAGATGAATTAACCTAATATGGAGTGGAGACTCGAGTGCCCGGTATTTGTAAGGCTGGTCTCGATCAGCCTCGGATTGTGGTTCAGTCATTTCTATTTTCGAGTTGCGATACTTATGATACAGGGCTTCTTTGTGCAAGCAGAGGAAGAGAGAAAGTAATGCTGTGAAAGTGAGAAAATAAGCCTAGTTGCGGCTCAAAGATGAGCGGTTATACCACCAATCAGAGACACAGCTGTCTACAGGCAGTCCCCGCTTAACCATCGTGTTTTATACACTTTTACACATGCTTTTCAACCTCTCCAAGAATATCCTCCAACATTCTCTGGGCCCACTCAAGGTCCGGAGCTTCACCGGACCACCGATTTATTGTCCATCGCGCAATTTCCAATGCCTCTTTCCAGCCTGGAGGGAGCGGTATGCGACCACTCTTAGCCGCAGCCAGCAAGACTAGAGCTTTGGTCACACAAGAACGGGCAATATACCACGTCCCATGATGCCGATTATGACCGTAAGTTCGGAAGAGATGCTCTACGCACAACTCCAGACACCTCTGCGCCAGTGGCATAGCTCGACCGTAGTGTTCATCTTCTGGCGATTGGTGAAGTATGTAGAAGAGAAACGGACGGTGTATCCATTCTCGACAAGATAGTTCACGATTCCTCAAAAACTGTGCCAGCTCGTTGTTGGTGTGGACTGCGTTCTTTGGGTCGATTTGAGGTGGAATGTGCGAATACCTGGCACACATTAGCGTCATTTCTATGCTTAAACGAACGACTTACCAAAGATCTATTTGTTCGTTGAACTCTTTGCAATGCTCCATAGCTTTACAGATATTATCACTCCAACCTTGCTCTCCGCTCCGGGCCATTACAGCCATGGCTCGGTTCATCATCCTTCGATAAGAAATCTCTGCCAAATAATAGAACCAACTCTTCTCTTCTTCGGGGACAATATCGTCGTCCAATGTGTCACCCCGATCATAGGCCGATGGAGAGGTCAGTTCCGTTGGTGGAGAGGGGAACATGTCTGGATAGTCACACTGTGTGATACCGCTTGGCGGCAACGGTATCTCGTACCGTAATTCACTATACCAAACTTCATGAGCCAGGCTATCGAAAGACAAAAGATTGGTTTCACTTACTATTCTGTTTTAACACAAGACCAATACAGTCTTTGTTCAAGTCGACGGGTTTCCTGTGTGGTTGCCTCACTCGATTTCTTCTGACTGCGGGTCCAGAGGATGTTTCGCAAATCGACACAAGCGCGATTGAAGTGGAACCAGGCCTGGAGTGGACGAAGGCAGTACATCTCATATATACCACAAAGGAATAGGCACTGTATATATAAGAGTGATGGCTGGAGCAGTCCCAGTCGTTTCTTTGCGGCCAGATAGTATGATGCAGCGGTGTCTGGGTCTATAATAGTGGTTGTCGATGAGCGCGTTGAGGCAGGAGAGCCGTCAAGGTCTGCCTCCGTGTGAAACGGTACCGATAGGCATGCAATTGCGCATGATATCAGCTTAGGATGATCAGTATGATCCATTGAAGCGAATAGAGTGGATGCTTACTACAAGGCAAGACGCGCCATCCCATCGTGGCCCATTCTCAGCTGCTTCTCTAACCTTCTTCTTGTAATCCTTGACATCCAGAATTGGATTCTTAACATGTACATATGCCAGAAACCGTTTTGAAAGTTGAATGAAGTCCTCTTCCTGAACTCCCTTTCCTCCTGAGACGCCCCTGGCAGCACCCGGTGTTGCTTCTGTATCTACATCTGATTCAAGGACAAAGTAGTGGACTTCAGGTACTAGGCCTTGGAAGATAGGCCAGCGCATAATACTTTCGCAACTGTTTGATGCTGACGGAAAATCAGGGCGGTCTAGGATCTGGAGAATATCATCTTCAGGGACGTGTGTCGTTAGATCTCTCGATGCGTGTATAGGAGCGACACGCAATGGCTGGGTGACACTAGAATGCCTTGCTGATAGGTTAGATGCTTCATGTGGTGAGTCGTATGACCCAGTATCATTCACGAGTACTGCTAAAGGTCGAGACTCAAGAAGAGAAACAACATGGTTGAGTCGATCCAGAATGGTCAAACTAGCCGGGTCGTAGCTATCCAATGCATTAGCCGATGACGATTATCGTCCGTCTGCTACTAACCTTGAGTAATCACTATCAGGGCCAGAGCCAGGATAAACACATTGAGCCCCGTTCCTGGAGCAGAACCCACAGACTGGACGAACGTTGTCGCACTTGGTCTTTCTCAATCGGCAAGATTGGCAAGCCGTCACGGCACGTTTCCGGTGGTACATGGCAGCCGTGCGTTGTCGCTTATTGCCCTGCCCCTGCTGATCCGAGGAGCTGGTACCGCCCTGGCTGAACATTGTGGAGTGAGGTATTGGAAAGGATCTTGCATAAGGTAGATGGAATGTCGGGGAGTAGCGGAGGTCTTAAGTTTGTGGTGGTTTCTTTTAGTGCCATTTTGGTCTCGCGGAGTATCGGAGACTAACTTGGATTGGATAGTGTTAGTGTCAACTGGTGTTTGAATGCGGGGAAAGGGGTACCCTACATCCCCTTGGCACTATCTTAAAGGGCGATCGCACAACTCTCTCCTGTAAAAATTCTTTCTTGGCACGCACTGTTAGTGCGGTGCTAGGAGCGGGATTTTCTGCAGGCCACGCGACCACACAAAAACT